GTAAAGCTAGCTGCTAGCTGTGCCTAGTTTGGATGTTCCCTCCTCTTTCAACTCCGGTATGGCTGTGCATTGAGGCTATGACTTCACCATGCCCTTCGTGATTCCAAACACCAGGTGCGGCCGGCGCTGGAATCGATGAGAATCCCACATCCGCCTTGGAGCATCCCCGGTGTCAGGAATACGTGGGAGATGATCTACACGAAGCCGGAGTTCAGCGATGAGTGGAAGGCCTGGGGTTGGGACCAAGGAACTTGGAGGGAAAAGGTTTTCGAGGGTCTAGTTGATGTATGCGAACCCCTGAAAGGTAGCAAGCAACACGAGCAGAATGCCTAGTATGCAGCAATAGGTCTTTACAGCAGTTCGATCCATTCAGAAGATTTGTGAAAAACACAGACCCCAAATGCACCGATTTGTCTTGCAAAGGCCATGCTTTCCGTATGCTTTCCGTTCTGGCATCTTCTATTGATCTGGGCGCAACAGCATGCCATAGCCTGTGACAATGCCAGCTTCCACACAGGTTTGCAGAGCTTTGGCTCGAAGATCCATCAATGATGGAGAAGTGTGCAAGCCCCTTGTTTTCTGCAAGAAAATCAGCAACATGTTTGATTTTTCACTACCCTGCCACTTACCCAGAAGGTAGAGGTGACAAGACACAATCAATCACCAGTTTGCAGCACCCTTGGCGGGCATTTCTTCACTCCCAGTATCTCGGCAGGAGGCGTTGATGACCAGCCCCTGGGAAGTCCGCTCGGATAGCACCTTGTCGCACTGATGCTGGCTTTCGGCCTGTGACACGGGGATGGTTGCCTAATCCTACTACTTCTTGGCTTCATACACCTTCCCAGGATTGGAGCTGATCGTAAAACTACATGACCCTGTCTGCACGACAACGGCAGGAGGAACATTATTTGTCAAGGGGCCAGCGCAGCATGCTGGAAGGAAAGCTGCAGAGTATATGTGCTGAGGGGTGTCCTGAAAAGCATGGAAGCAGTCAAGAATCACAGTTTGATCTCCTCTCCAGAGTCTGCACTTCGTCCGCCTGCGGCGGCCTGTTAGACTCCGAGGCTTCTACTTTGTGAATGGGCGTTTGATCATGCACAACCGCGCAGCACCTTGGATGAGATGGTGGCAGGTACTACAGGGCACACTCAACCACAGGTACAGTAAGGGTTTCTGTGGGCGTCACCATCCCAATGGGTCTCTTCCATATTTGCTTCTAAACTAAACCCTGAGAGGCCTCCTTGTTGGCCAAACAAACACAGCCACGTCCCAAGCCATTGTGTATACCCCTGCACCATCTTCGGGGCGGCGCTCCCCGATGAAAACTGGGAAGTGGTGCGCCCGGCATGTTTGGCACAAGTGTAGTTTATTGCTAGAGTCAGATTTCGAATTGACCTCCGGACACAGCTGAACATAAAGAACGCGCAGACGACATTTCTATACATTTCTGTTGAAGTACCCGGAATTGAATATGGCATAAAATAAGACTGGAAATCAAATTCAATTGGAATTAAATCTGAATCTAATTCCCCCTCTCTGGCTACCGGACTGTTGAGCACGTACTGAAGGAATTTAATTTGAATTTAACTCTTTGGCTTTGCTGTCTTCTGGTGCCTGATCCTTAATTCTTTTTCTATATTTGTTTCTGAGAGATGTCGGACCAAGAAGTTCGCCGTGGTCGGAAACGGAAGCCATGGGTGCATGTGGCGACGGAATCCTTTTTGGAGAAGGAGACGTTGCGCGAGGGTACGCAAAGATGGCTTCGTGAAAAGAATGTTAGGCATAGCACTCTGACCGCGACTACTTTTGAAGGCGTTGGTGGGGGCAGGTTGGTGCACCTATCTGCGGCAGTCCGCTTTTTGAGATTTTGGCGGTAGGTGGGGTCGAATTTGCGGACCCCCGCGGGTCGAGATCCGGCAGTTTGCATTTTTGGAGGAAGTTTGTGTTAACGTTCTTGACAAGTGGATCATGCAGTGGATGCTAGGTTGGGGCGGGGCAGTGTTAACTTTCTTGACAAGTGGATCAAGGTGCGGATGCTAGGTTGGGGTGGGGCAGTGTTAACCTTTCGGGCACATTGATCACGCAGTGGATGCTACGTTGGGGTTGGGGTGGGGTGGGGTGGGGCTTCCGGACACGTTGATCACGCAGTGGAGGCTACGTTGGGGTTGGGGTGGGTCGGAGGGTCGCATGTACACGCGAAATAAAGATCGCATGTGCACGCGAACGACTTTGGGAAGTGGATCGTATGCACACGCGGCCAAGATCGCAACTACACGCGAATAGGAAACGTCTATGTTTAGGTGTAAAATCCAATGAAAACAGAGACTTGTGGTATATGTGACGTTTCTATCTGCAACCATGTGTGGAAGTTGGTGGAAGCAGGCTATCTGTGCGGCCAAGATCGCAACTCCACGCGAAGAGGAAACATCTTTAATGTAAGTTCTCTCTCTATCTATCTATGTATATATGTATCTATGTATCTATGTATCTATCTATCTATCTATCTTTCTATCTATCTATCTATCTGTCTAAGACTCTTTACAGGGAGTTGGGAATGGTGAGACCCCAGCAGGAGTTCTTTAATGAAAGTTATCTATCTATCTATCTACCTATCTATCTATCTATCTATGTATCTATCTATCTATCTACCTATCTATCTATCTATCTTTCTTTCTATCTTTCTATCTTTCTATCTTTCTATCTTTCTATCTGTCGATCGATCGATCGATCGATCTATCGATCTATCGATCGATCGATCGATCTATCTATCTATCTACCTATTTGTCTAAGACTCGTTACAGGGAGCCAGGAGGATCTAAGTGCACAGTTTCTCTTGCCACGGGTAGTTCGTTGCACTGGGGTGCTTTCAACTTCCGTGGTGCTTTCTACTTTCTTGTTCTAAACTCAACCTCCAAAAACATGCAACGCGTGTTTCCCTGTGATGTCGTGTGACCTTTCTTGTGGTGTTTTTGTTATCTGTCTGTGTGGGCACTTGCCTGTGAAAAAAAACCAAGGCATGTACCTTGCGGCAGTTGCCTACGAAACTTGAGCTCCAAGTTGGGTCAAGATGGCATTTGACTCATCAAGGAGTCAGTTTTACCACACCAGATTTCGATGGCCCAAGGCCAACCTAGCTGGATGTGGTGATTCGGCCAACTTGTTACAAAACAGCCCGGCCCTGATGTTTTGTCATTACCCTGTGCTCTCACGATTCAGAATGGTTGTTTGTCTGTTTGCTTGGCTGGCTGCTTGGCTCTTTGTCTTTGTGTTTGTCTTCTATCTACCGGTTTGCTTCGCTGCCTGTCTGTCCGTCTGCTTAGCTAGCCAGCTGTCAGCTGTCTGTCTCTCTGTGTTCCTGCCTCGCTGTCTGTGCTGTCAATGTGCATTATCGGGGGTCTGAAATTCCCGTTCGAGAGCCCGAGTTCCGCAAGAAAAGCAGACCCCCGCACAAGTTCGTATGTTGATTTTTGTAGGCTACACCGGATGGATCCAGTAAGAGAGACTTGCATTGGTTAGAACAATCATTTGGCTTGCTTTGCAGGCACGGGAAAATCTTCGATCTGCTTTTGGCGCTTTGGAACCCTTTGGCTGGCCAAAAAGAAGTCCGCGGCACGTTCCAGACAATGCAGTCCATGACAAGAATTAAATTTGAATTTAATTCCTGCTTGAAGGCCAAATGAAGAACAGACACGTTGGAATTGAATTCAAATTGAATTCTTCTTTACATTCGGTTCCAAGCTTTTTTGAATCCGATTTTCATGCTCATCCTCAACATGGAACCATCACAGTCACATGTCACACCTTCCAGACATCCAGTGTGAACCAGCACCACGCTACTGTTTTGGGTGACTTCTTGGATCGCCCTCCACTTCTGTCACAGCGATACGTCCGTCCGGCCGCTCCCAAGGAGTACAACTATGGCAGCTGAACGTCCCTTAAGCTGGGACTTGGGTACGTCTCAATATCAAAAATATTCAAAGATCGCTGATATCGCTGATGAATCCAAATTACCAAAGATCCATCTGTCAATGTGGTAGACCCCTCACCGGAGGATGATGCGGGCATTCTGTAGCAGATTCCCTACATTTCTTGAGACATTCCCATGAGCGAATTGAATGCCTCGACTGGGCCACTTGGGCTCCGAAAGCGGCGAGCCCATGGGGCCCCAATGATTTTCAGGGTTGTCCTGAACAAAGTGCTGGCTTCAAATGGATCTGCAAAAACGAAGACCTGCGGTGATAGAATTGGTTTAATGAACAAATTTTGGAATATTTATGGGGTTTATGAGAGGATTTCAAGTACAGGTGCAGGTGCCCTTGTTTTTTGAGACGCCACCATCTGATAGCCAGCACGATGCTCGGTAGTTCACATGTCTCAAGTGAAACTCAGACCAGCTTGAGGCAGAAGCGCAGTGGAAAAACTGCATCCGGGTTGAGCTGCAACTCTTTTGATCATGGCGTTGGTTTTTCCATTGGTCATTGGTTTGGGCCGCCCTTCAGATTGTTTCGGTGATGGGCGTAGATGCCCCAGCCTTCAAAGATTGGTGCTGTTCCACTCCAAAACAACTGCTATGGCAGACGTGGCGGCCAAGACCTTGAAGAAGTAGCAACTGAAAGTGCAGCCATTCAACAGGAACCAACCAGCATCAAACCAGCAATTTTGATAACCTTGGTCAAGATTCATCATTTTCCGGTTGGTGGCTTTAAATTTTTTTCAACCCCACGGCCTCCCAATAGCCCAATGGGCCAATGAGTTTCCTGTTTTGCACGGGGATTGACTGGATGCCTTTTGGCTCAGTTTTGAGACGGTCCGACCTCATATGCCAATCGGGCGGCTTGGCCGCAGAGGGTTCGGACCTCAGCCATTTGCTGCTGCTGCTGCTGCTGTTGTAGAACTGTTTGATTTGTTTGATCAGTTTGGCGCATTCCAACAGCTCTTGGCTGCTGTAGAATTTGACCTCATGATCCCCCGCAGGGCTTGTTTTGACGTGAGTTGCATGACGGCACAGTGGTGGGGTGACCCTGCGGCTGGAGGTTGTTTATCTCTCGTGCGGTGTGTACAGCAAGGCGTGGTGGTAGGGCCCTGGTCCTGGGTCAAGTCATCCCAGCACTGTGGCTGCAGGGCTCGCAAACCTGCCATGGCTGAGGGCAAGCAGAGCACTGCTAGGTGCGCCATGGGTGCCTTGACGCAGTTTTTTTTGACTCATCTTAGTCTGTGGGCCACAAGACACTATTTCCTTGTTGACTTCCCCAGGACACACAGCTGACTGTCCGTGTGATCCATAGAACTGAGTGACGTGCTGCTGACTTTGCACAGGCGAGATCTGTTACAGCAGATCGAAGTTGATGTGCAGAAGAAATGGGAGGAGAATAAGGCCGACATCACTGCAGCAAAGATAGCCGTGCATCATGTGCATGGAGGAAGAAAATAAGAAAAACATCGGATAATGCAAATGATGAGGTTGGAAACTAAAATGTGGAAGACCAACATACTTTATTCAGAGTCAGTTGATGAAACCTATGGATCTATATAGCACTTTTTAGACTTAAGATGCACTTTTTATCTATGGCCGCTGTGTTTGCTGGGCGCTTTGCACTGGCGCTTCGGCCAGGTTTTTGAATGTGATGCTCCAGACAGCAGTTCAGAGAAGTTTATGTGCACCTTCCCGTACCCCTACATGTGCCCTGGCAGCAATTGCATGTGAAGGGGGTGAAAATCACTGTTTCCTGCAATCTACCAGAGATAATGAAAATTGATTCAGTAACGGTCTTTGTGCCAAGATGTGTGCCTGTTGATGCTTTGAATATCTATACTATACACCGGCAAGATAGTATCATGGGATATCTTCGCACACACACACACATACACATAATCACATATATATATATAGATATTATATTTATGATGATATGTCATGCGTGATGTATATAGGCATTCCTTTCAAACAATATTGTATCTACCTAATGAGATGGGTATCATTTTGCCCCTCTCCCGCTTCCGTCATTTTTTGACGTGGCCAGGAATGGTCTGCTGCACATTGGTCATGCTTTCTCCTTGACGTGCCTTGGCACGTCTGGGGCAAGGAGTTACCCTCTGGTAAACTAACATAACTATGGAAAATCACAATTTTTAATGGGAAAACTCACTATAAATGGCCATTTTCAATAGCTATGTTAAATTACCAGAGGGTAGTTGTAAGCCCAGGCTAAACTCTTTGGCATGGTGAAACTCATTGACATTTTTCAATGGCAGATGTTCGCGACTCCAAATTTCTCATGCTCTGGACCACTCGCAGCCGTTGGAGATGAGGAAAGCGATCTTCGCCGCACACTTCAATCGCTTGCTCGGGAAGAAGGTTGGCATCGGTGACGATCTGATGGGACCAGGATCGCCCTCAGCCTGGTACTGAATGCTCAGCAACCCTAGTTTTTTGTTGGTGTTAGTTCCACATAGATGGCACAAGTGCAGCTAATTAGACTTAGAATTTCGATGAACAGAATGCCTTTTGTAAGATGATCACCATGATACTTTGAGACCTATCCTGGCAACACAATGAATGCTCCATTTATACGTGATTTTCATTGATCTTACTATTCCGGGGAAATCTTGGATTGGCAGTTTCACAACTACTTCACTCTGTGGTCACAAACTGGGGAATATCATAGATAGCTAAAAAGCAAGCTTTTCTAGTGGCCTGTAGGGGCCATTCAAGATCAGCCGTGTATTGCGAGCCAGGTCCTGTTCCCCTTCGGCTTTCATTGTACAGGCATGCCAATTCAGGTGGGCGAGCTGCTTGGTGATGGTTGGGTCGGGCTTGGGCGCTTGGGCCATACAAAAGCTGCCAGAAATTCTTGCAGAAAGTCTTCTTTTTCCGTGGGCATGTGGAACTTGGATGAACTTGGGATGCTGACAATCTGGAAGAAACTGCAATCACCAACCATCACCATCACCAACCGTCGCCATCCATCATCAACCCCGACTCAGCCTGTGGCAGGCTGCAGCCAACAAGCTGTCGCGGGAGTCCAGTGCCGAAACGGTTTGCTGATGTTGGTGTCCAGAGGAGTCCAGGATGTGCCAATCCACAGATTCAAGAAAGGCCCGCTATGATATTGGTTGGCCCCTGTTTTGGATAAAGGAACCACACACGAACTTTGGTGCACCCAACGTTCGGCAGTACCGTGCCCAGACTCAAATTCACAAGAAAAAACGGTGATTTTTTGAGGGCTTCCTACCTTTTGCATGTGCCGAAATTGGGATATATGAGAGATAGACTTCATACCAACCATCTATGTATATTCATATTAATATTGATTCATGATCTCTCCGCATCCATGCCCCTATTTCTTGGTCTACACACGGGCCCCCGTGCAATGAGCGGCCCTGGCTCAGGTTTGAAGTCTACGGTTCGCCGTATCCGATCTTTCCTCCAGGGCGTCCGACACCCAAGGAGCCCTGGGCTTCGGGTCGCAGGTTTGGGACGTGTCGGGCCAGATGTTGGCAGATTCCATTGTGAGGGTGTTGCATTGTAAGGGTCGCAGGGTCGCAGATTTGCTCATCATACTTAACTCAATGCCCCCCAACATCAAACTCCTTGGTTCAGTATTGGCTTTATTCGCTTTTGGGCCCCAAAAAGATCAGAAAGTAGCCCCAAAAAGATTCAAAAGTAGTAGGGGGAGAAATCACATTATTTGTTTTATATGGAACCAATCAATGGGCCAATAATGGGGATGGAATTGCTGTCGTTTTTGCTGGAAGCTGAGCAAAACCTTGACCCCCAGGAGTCGGCGGAGGGCGTCATCGAGCTGGACGACGAAGGTGTTACCATGCTGTGGAAAGCACCTCCCAGCAGCAGCAAGAAGGCCAGATAGGTACCATGGGCAGTTTTTCCCCCCAAAAAACTCCATCCAAATCCATCCAAATCCAATGATTTACACTGGAAAAGTGCTGAGCTTCCCTTTAGTTTGATGACTAGAAAGTGAGGTATGTGTATATATATATATATGTATATATATAAATGGGCCTGTATGGCCCTTTTCTGGACAAACCCTGATCGAGTTGTAAGGCCGCAAGCTTTTGGTGTGAAAACCTAGGGTAAACCCATGCCTATATGTAGGGCGTATCGAAAAAGTCGCAAACTATACCAACAGCTGGAATAGTTTTGTTTGTTTTCATATAACTGTGTTTAGACAAACCCAGGTGACAATCTCTCACGTGTTTCCTTTGAATCGAAGTCCATTTATTGAGTCTCCAGTATTTTTCTTTTTTGGGATCTTTGGGCAGCCTATTCTAAAATCATTGTGACGTATTCCAAGTTGGCTTGAGACAACATCAATCCGCCACCGAGGCCATCAAAGAGTACATTGCTTACGTGAAGGCACTGGCGGAGCTTCGCGCGGCTAAGAAGGGGAGAAGAGTGTCAGTCAAATTATGTGGGGTGAGTCTGAAGTTGATCCAGTTTTGACTCCCAGAACTGAGATAACTGAGCTGAATATCGATTTCAAGAGAGGCTCATGAAATTATCCTTCCCCTTTCTTTACCCATCAGTTGGCCTGTACGATTTTTCCACAACACAAATTCTTGCTTTCCGGCAGGTCCGGTAGGTTTTCCCCAAGAAAAAACGTTACCAACCACCCCCACCCTCAATTCATCCCCACCGTCTTTGGTGAAAAACTCCATGTCGCTGTCACCTTTGGCTCAAAATCTATGGCTTTCCCATGTTTTCCAATTTTTTCCCATCATTTTCCCATTTTTCCCATGGATTTTCGAGGGGAACCCCTCCATGGTCAGGTGAAGGATGGCGAGTTCAAGGAGGTGAGGCGAATTCCGCACCCCAGCGCGGATGTGCTGAAGGCGGGGGGCAACAAGGTGAAGGCCGTTCTGCCCGTGGAGAGCGGTGGCTGCGTCTACAAGGTGCGGATGGATGGGGGATGGGGATGGGGATGGGATGAGGGTTGAAGGGATGGGGGTTGGGGATGTTTTTTTTTGGTGCGGTGGGATGCGGATGGAAGGATGTTTTTCCAGCATGTTAGGAAATTTGCGCTGCATCTGGGCACGTATGCAACAGCTGACTGGCTCAGGTGGAAGCCTTGCTGGAGGACTGTGGCAGCTTGCAGACGCATGGGAAACATAGCTTCCAAAGGCATCTAGTTTCAGTGCTTAAACGTGGAAGAGATTCCAATAGCAGTTTCATTGATTCAACCCAATTGGCGGTGACTCGTTTTTTCAAAATTCACTTCATCAGCAAGCCTTTTTGGCGCTTTTTTTTCCCAAGATTCAGTTCATCAGCCTACCCTCTGGTTATTTAACATAGCTATGGAAAATCCCTTATAAATGGAGGCTTTAATGGGAAAATCATCAATAAATGGGCCATGTTCCATGGCTATGTTGAAGTGCTCATGGTGTTTTTCCGGGACGACTAAAAGCGGCAGCTTTTTTAGGACGGCAGCAAGTGCCCTCCAAGTCCAATTTCGGATGAAGTCTCCGTGGATGCGGCGCCCAAGGACAAGAAGAGCGGCCCGGGAGCCTAGGGAAAGGTGTTTCCAAGGACATGATAATTATACTTATACTGTAATATATATATATATATATGCATGCACATATGCATGATTCTGAATCTGTATGATACGATATTTCTTTACATGCATATAGATAACAGACACTTGAACACACACACATATACATATATATATATACATTATGATATGATATGATATGATATGATATGATAGAATATAATATGTTATAATGTGATATTATATAAAATAAAACAATATAATATATTATCATATAACTTAATTTAATATAATATAATATACTATATATATATGAATCACATAATCCATTGACAGGCCATTTCCAGGGATCATTCCAACCTGACACTTGCTGCATTGCTCCCATCCCCAAGGTGCGGCCGGCGGAAAGCGCGTGGCCAAGAAGATCTTGGCGAAGAGCGGAGATGCGGCCTTTCAATACGAGATTTTGAAGGCCGATCTAAGTAGCTGGTGGCTATTTTCATGGCATTTTTATGGCATTCTAATGACATTTAGCAAGAATTTGAACTGGGGCGCCTCATGTGGATTTTAATGGGAGATATAATATAGCCAACAATACGGGTATTTAGTGCATTTACCACCAATTTTATATCGGGTTGAATGATGTTTAATGAGGGTTTCATGGAATATAACCAACAACGGCCGGTCGCCCTGTAAACGCGCGCCTCCACAGCCACTCGGTGTCTGTTTGTTTCACGGCTGCCACGACTTGTCTGTGTTGAAATCATAATAAATCCCCGGCTTGACATTCAACAAGTTAATTCGTTTTTGTCTGTACAAAGCGAACGCTGACAAACCTGAATGCAAGCCAGGGTGTTCAAGAAGTCGCTTTGCAGCTAGTTGGTGGATGTGCTGAGCAACACGTATGTCACTTCATGTACATGAACCACAAGGAACGTAGCAGCAAAAGGATCAACTCATGTACCACGAAGAGTGCGCACCGTAGCAACACATATGTCACTTCATGTGCATGAACCATAAGGAACGTAGCAGCCAAAGGACCAACTCATGTACCACGAAGAGTGCACAGCGTAGCAACATGAATGTCACTTCATTAAGGTGAGACATCAAGAACGTACTATCAAGAACGTTATCATCACCCCTTACCCCCCCCGAACCCCCCCCAAGCAATGACCAGCGTAGCAACATGAATGTCACTTCATGAAGAGCAAGCGCCAAGGAACGTTATCAGCCCCACCCTACCCCCACCCCACCACCCGAAACACTGACATACGTGGTATAAAATGCACACAAACGCGCCGTGCCTATGGAAAGTGCGTTCAAAAAAGCGCGCGTTTACGCGACGAGCGAGCCGCCAACAACAGGGAAATACGGCTATCTAAGTAGTTGGTGGTTAGGAAGGAGCAGTGAGCGGAGCTATGGTTGTATCCATCTTCCCCCCAAAAATGTAGAGCCAAGGAGGTGCGACGTGAGTTTCTCAACCACATGATAGGTAGAATTTCTGAATGGCAGCAAAACCACCAAGAATTGGCAAATCAACAGCAAATCAACGGTTAGTAGTATTAACTCCTGAAACCAGGGGGAAATGGTACCACTGTTGTCAAATACATTGGAGATGTACCCACCTGGGATGATGATTATCCAGGTCATTCCTATTACTAAGACTATCACTATGACTATTAATATCACTATTGCTATCATGATTGAATCATGATTATCACTGTCATTGTTATGATTCTTGTTGTTATTATCACTCGCATCAATATATTATCACTATTATCCACTTTTTGGATAAGTAACTATTGTTCAGTTTATCATACTTACCAAGAATTATCATTATCATTATTATACTAACTATTATTATCGTTGTTAATAGTTGATATATTAATGATAATGGTAATGCTGATAATCACTGTTATGATCAAAACAGTCAGAATCATAATATCTTAACCGTTATTATCACTATTATCCACTATTTTGATAAGTAACTATTGAATCAGTTTATCATATAATTACCAACAAATCTTACCAGTAATGATAATCACTGTAATGATAATCACTGTTAATCAGCATATCTTAACTGTTGTTATCACTGATCACCATTTATTGACTGTTTTGATCATGCTGATCACTATGGCTGGCACCATCCACAGTGGCGCGCAAGCGCCTTGTCAAAGGGAGATTTCACTCCAGGCCATGGGGCTGACCGCTGAGGAGATCCCCAAGTCCCTTGGCCAAGCCACGGATAACTTGGGATATGACCTACTTGGTGGGATGAGCCACCAAGTATGGATATTAATCATATATAAATCACATATATATATATATATATGTATACCTATACAGTATATAAATGTACATGATGAAAGTAGACCCACACACACACAGATACATATATAATATGTTGGTATGTCTCGGTTTAGTTATCCTTTTGATGTCTTGTAATTGCTGGGAACAACCATGGTTTCCTCAATTCTTCCCTGGAACCGACGCAGGTGAATCCAGGTATCCCCGGGAAGGCCACCCTCAGTGTGTCCGCGCAGATCTTCCGTGTGCCCCGAGGTTTGTTGACCCTTTGTTTTGGTGCAGACCTCAGCTAAAACTATGGCTGGGCTTGTCTCATTTCTGTATGGCATCCGGCAAAATCAGCAGCTCCAGAGTTGCCCCAACAAAGGGACATGATTGACAGACAATAAGTGGAATTGGTGATGTTATAATTTCAATCCATGAAGTTGGGATCAACCTGGTTTTAGGCGCTGAAACGACTGGTTGGAACTAGCAATGGTATCATACATTTTCGGACATGCAACCATTTGATCTGTGTGCAGTATGTGTAGCCTTGCAATTTTTGTTTTGTGTTTTCCCACGTTATGTATGTTGCCAGTGCTTTACATAGTTCTACCAATAGCACGTTCTAGCCTTGGCTCATGAGGAAGAGATGTTCAAGGGATTTCTGTGGCAACATCCAGCTGGTTGGGTTTGAAATGTTTTGAATGCTCATCCTTTGGCAATCGAACAGCTCGCAAAGGGAAATCCTTACTATATAGTGAGACACTCCTCCTTTTTCGGGGACCTAACTGGCCTGATACAACATAGATTCACATGATATATTTTGGTTTCTTTTCCCCACCACAGAAGTCGCATAGACATGATATATGCCGAGGTTCCCCAAAGATCCACGGCCCAGGCTGCAGTACTTTCCACCCCTGGGAGTCCGTGACCTGAAGCGCTTCGGGTGCCCCGTGGACTTCCGACGCTCGCAGTGGGGCCCAGTGAGCTCCGCAGGGAGATGATGGGTTTGAGGGTGAATCACCCTCTGGTAAACATACAAAAAACAATGGAACGGTCCACCATTTTCAATGGGTAAATCTACTATTTCGACTGGGTCATTTTCAATAAATCCATGTAAATCCACTATTTCGATTGGGCCATTTTCACTAGCGAACTGTAAACGTTTACCAGTGAATTTGGAATCATGCTTGATCTTGTTGAATGAATTGCTGACCTAATGATGTTTTTTTGAATGTGTGCTGGGATGCTTCGGATGGTCGATGAGTTTAGTCGACAAAAATGGGATGGTGTTGGTGCTTGGAGAATTAGGAGATAAACATATGATGGGTAGATTACGCGTTTATGATGGTCTATGAGTCTATGCCTCAAAAGTACTTGCCAAAGGGACTTCATAGGGATAACTGGATAACTGCAAAATCCCCAGGCGGCTACTCTCTTGAAACACGTCTTGACCGTCCAAGTGCCCGTAGGCCTTGGCATTTTGCCTCAACTTCTGTTGCCTTTAGCTGTTTTTATGGAAAACCAATTGAAGATCAACCATGGCCATGGAAAATCACCAATAAATTGAAGGTTTTCATAGGAATTGAAATAAACGGGGGACTTTCCGAGAAAGCCATGTTGGATTAGGTTCATCACCACCTCTGCGAACAGCTTCTATGCCAGGAACTGAGTGTGAGATGTGGGTCAGCAAGTTTGCTGTTATGGCTGTGGGGATATCAGCAAACATCTCCAACTTAAACATGGAAATATCAGCAACCAACATGGAGGAACTGGGAATCTCGTAAGGGTGGAACTGGGTCCATGGTATCCCATCAAGCCGCGAATTTCCCCAGTGTGCTGAGCTTAGGATAGCTTCATTCGGTGGCAGTTCAGGCGGGGCCCAAGGTGGCGGCCAATCATGCGACCTCCTAGTTGTTCTCTTTACAGCTTGCAGTGCAATGTTCTTCTTGAATCTATCCTTGATTCATTCTGATTGTCTAATGTCCAAAAATTGTCATACCTCCATTTTCACAGTTGGCTTGATTGAAGTGGTGTTAGGTTGGTAGTTGCCTGTGATACAGCCATGGCCTTACCCTTGCGGACGGTCAGGAAACTCCAGAAGTCGGAAAAAATTGGCTTTGGAAAGCGCCCCACCATCTTCAGCAGCCCGGTGAAAGCTGAGAAGTGCTTGCAGCTGCCGCTGTTCAGCCTTTCATGGTTTGCGACATCTTGCGACCATGTGGGTATGGCTCAAGATTGGGGTACCAATGGGCCCACAAGAACAGTCATTTGTGGTCTTAAAGCATCAATTTTGACCCATTTTGGGGGTTGATCTGCTGGACACTGGACAGTAGCCAAGGTGAAATGGATAAGCAGGTGCGGCACATGGCTGTTCGCGTAGAACACCACTGGAACGATCTTTGAAAATGAGAGTGTCTTGTATCAAGAAGGCCATAAGTTTTCTGTTTCTATCACCAGTTGAAGTGGTTCAATTCAGATGCCATTTCTATGCTCATTTCCAATGTTTTCATCAGCTCCCTGTGTTTACGTGTCAAGTTGATCCATCGGATCCTGGAGGCGTGCATGGACCACGACCGTGCGGAGGGAGAAGGTGTTGCCCCCCAGGAGTACACAGCCATCAAAATCGAGCTGCTGGCATCGGAGTGGACCAGTGCCATGCAGAAGAGCCTGAAGAAGGGCAGCAAGGTGCCCCGGGGAACGGCATGACTGAGGCAGGTGAGGAAAATTGAGGAAATATCAATCCATGCTTCAAATTCTGGAGGATTTTGATGTAAATATTCACCAAATTGCTGATGAATTTGTCTCCAGGAAGGCTGAACAATGGTTCATGAAATCAGGGTTTCCGCAGGTCTACTTGCTGGCCGCCACGCTGCGAGCCGAGACCATGCCTGGGCAGTGTGGGCACCCGTGTTGATTGAGAGGTGTCAAGATTGGTCAAGATTGGTACCCTCTGGTAAACTAACATAGCTATGGAAAGTCACCATTTCTAATGGGAAAATCCACTATTAATGGCCATTTTCAATAGCTACGTTAAATTACCAGAGGGTAAAACTTGTGGCTTTGCCCAAAAATGGCTGTAGATGGGCTAGTGGATGATGATTTGTGTTGACCTCGGGGTCTACGGATGGACCCGGTCATTTTCACAGATCAAAGGTGGATTTGCCGTTGGGGTGCTGACATTTTGACCTGCTAGATGAGTGACATGCTCCGAGTTGTCATTTTGCCATCTTTTGCCAACATCTTCCAATTCACCAATTCACCAACTGGGCGAAGCAGGGGGCGTCAGCATTTCGCCGAGGACCAACTGCTGGATTCTCCCTACCGGGCAGTACGGATGTTTCGAAGCACCTGAGAATCAGGTCTACGCCGCTTGGACCCGCGATGTGGTGGATGTCATGGTGGGTTCGCCCTGGTAGGCCATCACCAAGATGAAGAGATGATTTGTTTCCACAGCTTCTAAGTTCACTTTATAGATCATCTGGGGATAAGGAAAATCCCAATCAATGGAGAGTGATCTGAGTAATCTGACGATCATCCCAAAGATGGATCTTTGGTTTGGTACTTTTATGATGACACAGAACCTGTCCATGCCCCGCATTGGACAAGTGGCGAGTTTCCCAACCGGGTGCCCAGTCTGAGCACCACCTTGAGGTCACATCGCACAGAGCTGCCCGAAACATGAGCTTCCAGGCGCCGCGCTCAGCAATTGGGTTGTTCAATGGCCATTCCAGGAACCTAAATTGGAGGTACCTACCATATATAAGGCCTATGTAAGGCCTATGTAAGGGAATATTCCCCCAAAATATGGCCTTATATGGTACAGTACCTCCATTTTAGGATCCTGAAATTCCCATTGAGTTGTTGAATGTTGCCGTGGTTTCCGAGTGAAACCTCGGGTTTCACGAGTCACTAGCCGCTAGCCGCAAGGGCGGCCCCTCAGGACATCCTGATGCCATGGGGAAAGCCCAAGTGCCTCATGGAGGTTTCAGGCCTCGTCACCGTGGGAGCGGAGAGAAAGATGGCAACCACAGCTGTTCCATTCGTTGAGACGCGTTTGAGATGTTTACTAGATTGAAGATATTTAAAGATATTTAAAGGGTGAAGTGAGCCATCGCCAACATGAGCCGGTTCTGTTTTCGTCCATCGTCAGTTTGGAGCTATGGGCATCCATTTTCCCAAGAAAAATATGGAGCATTGGGGGCAATTGAGTGTCCTAACCATAAAAATATATGGAAAATCCCAACTTTCAATGGGGTAAGATGGGATAATGATCACCTGTAAATGGAACTAAGCGATACTAAATTCAGTTTGAATGATAGTATATAAACAATAATCCGTAATCAGTTCCCATTATTTCTCTACTCTTGTTGTCTGCATCCCCAAGAACATCGCATTTGTTCTTGGTTAACAACTGCACCGTTCACAATTTCAGATCGCAGCTCCCGCTACTCCAGGACAGGAGCTGCTAGGAAAGAAGGCGCCAGGGAAAAGGGGGGACACCACGAAAATGGTTTCAGCATCCAGCCACTTCGGCCTTGGGCCTTCGGCGGCCTTTGGGTATTGATCAACCGGGTCAACTGTCATCAGGTGGTGGCCCCGACCACCAAGTACAAGTACGTGCATATCTTGCCGCTGCCCACCATCAAGATGGACAAGGTGCGCTGATCGCTGGTGGAGCTCAGGCTGTGTAGTAACTGGATATCATTGGAGCGTTGAACTTTGGTTGAACCAAGTTGAACCATTCCAATTCAATTTGTCAATACCAGTGATCAAAGTCATTTGGGATAGTTGATCATGAAAAGTTGTTGGTGACTTAGGTTGCCATTCGGTTCAGCGTGCGCTTGAAAAGACTTGAATCATCTTGAATCTTGACATTATCACAAGAGGAACGGGCTTGTCTCGAGGGTGGAAGATGGTGCCGATTGCTCAGCACTTCAATTATGACCAGTCAGGTAGCATTAGCGGCTCAAAGACCTGTTGTATATAGGTGCGCTGAGCTACTTTGCTTCTTCTTTTTGTGAAGGTTTGATATTATATGATGCCCAGCAGCCATGGAAATGGAGGGAATCAAGATTGCGACTCTGAGTGTGATAGCGACGACCAGGACCCAGTTTCAGCAAAGGCATCATTGGCATCATCACAAAGAAGTTTGTCTCAAGATGTTCCAGAGGATTTCATCCGAGGCATCCCATTGCGTTGCCTTTTAGCTAGAGCAGGACGATCTCTGACAGTCCCTTCATCAACAGGTGCAGATGCCACAGATGACAGAGTGCGCAGTCATTTGAGACGGTGTTTGCTCTTTGACACCTTCATTAGTCACGACTGGAAGACAGCCCGCCGGCTGAAGTATGCATCTTTGCTTCTATTCTTCAATGCCAAGCCTGCAGCGGTTGCAACACTGTTGGTGAGCGTGACCGGGGGGGTCCTGAGTTATCACTATGAAGTGCTGCCCCCTCCTCGTTGGGCCATTTCCATCGGCTACCTGACCTTCGCAATCTTCCTCTTCTTTTGGCAAAACCTTCGGGACATATTTCGAAGACCAAGGCTTGCATTTCTGGACAAGTTCACCATACCACAAGAAGATGAGGAAGTCAAAGAGAGGTGCATTCTTGGATTGGCAGGGTTCCTGACCTGCTCCCGGCAATTCTTGATTTTATGGTCTGAGCCATACATTGACCGAATTTGGTGTATCTATGAGTTGACGACATTCATGCGGCTTCATGGTGGAAAGCGGCCAGTGCATGCCATCCCCGTGAACCTTCCATTGTTGCTTTTGGTGCACTCTGGTTGGTGGTTTGCAGTCAGGCTTTTGTCCACACTGGTGTACGTGCATACGGAGACAACGATGCCAAGCGAAAATCCAAGACTCGTCTTGGTATCCATATGTCTCCTTTCACTTTTCTGCATCACTTATCCTTTTCAACACTATGCTGGCACGCGGATGACAAGAAATTTACAGGCTCTCACCACAAAACTGGGTTGCTTTGAAGTCCAAGAAGCCAAGTGCTCGTGCTGCTCACAAGGCCATATGACGCAGAGTGGAGAGACCATACCATGTGACCGCGCGCTGATCTACCAGAGTTTCCGTTTATGGTATGGCAAAAAGGGTGAGGATATGCAGTCTGGACTTGAAAGCTTCAATGAAGCTGTTAGACGTCAATTCCGGGATCAGATCCTACAGGCTTGCGGGGGCTCACGGATGATCCCTCTTGACCTATTCATTTGTGTTGTCTTCAGTATGAACACACCTATGTTGATTTTGAGAATCCCAAAGGCCCTGAGACTCGCGGAGCAGGAAACTTCGGCACTGCAGTCATGCTTAGTTGCGACCAATGATCTGCTACAGTGGGCAGCGGTGTTCCCAAGCATGCTGGTGTACTTATGGGCAAGCAGGATAATTTGGTCCCATAGCCAAAACTGGCATATCTCAGTCCAAATCATCGCGGCCGCTGTAGTATTTTTCACAACGCTTTGCTCCGGTCTTCTCACATTTGTTTCAGTGTCCCGGACTCCTTCAGACAGCGGGCTTCCGCTGATGGTGTTTGCTGTCCTGTTGCTACTTGGATTTTGCCTCCTGGATCGCAGATGTGCGCGGTTCAGAGGTGAATTGCCAAAAAGTTCACCAACGATTGCCGTAGAAGCCGTGGAAGAAGTCAACGATGACAAAATCAAAGAGTACGACTCTGACTCCTTTTCGATTTGAGGTCAGAGCGCCCTGTCAATCGATGCATGATTCTTTGCATATAGTTTGGCGCATTTTCATGCATTTTCATGCATTTTCATGCATTTTCCTAATTGAAAGTTTGGCGCCTGGTGTTGGCAAGGCATGTTTTCATGCTACTGGACAGTGTTTGAATATTTTCAAGATCCTGAAGCTGTACAGATAATCTTGGATAACTTGGTTCAACAAAATTTGAATCACGTGGAACTATCCATCGTAGACCTGCGGAAGGAAAAGGGGAGTTGGTTCACATGATGGCCTGATTGCAAGACACGGTTGATTTGTTGGATGAAACATTCATGTTGAAGTGACAAAGGAACATGTTCCTTTGGGTGTTAGGGTTGGGAAATGATTACACATCTGCCGTTTTGGCTTAAGATGGGTATCCCCCCAATTAGCTACCCAACCTGTGGTCATTGTTGGGCTGTACTTGGGGGGTGCGCTCCAATAGTTTACCCTCCAGTAATCAACCGTGGTCATGGAAAATCGCCGATCAAGGGAGGTTTTCGTGGGAAAATTCATCGAAGGTGGACTGTCCATGGCCAGACACCGGAGGGTTGGTACCCTCTGGTAATTGAACGTAGCTATTGAAAATGGTGATTTATAGTGGATTTTCCCATTAAAAATGGTGATTTTCCATAGCTATGTTAGTTTACCAGAGGGTAGTTTCCCAGCCATCGGGAGTCAAACCGGGGCGCCCTGCAGAGATCCCATGGATCCCATGTCGCATAAAAGGGCACCGGCATCGTGACCAGCGTCCCCAGCGACTCCCCGGACGACTATGCTGCCTACATGGATCTGATGAAGTCAGGCGCCGTTCTTTTCAGAAATGGGTTCAGTGGTTGGGAGGAAATTAAGGAGCTAGATCTACAGTATATTCCCTCTTAGATGGGGAGCCAAGGAGCTAGCGGGAGTTAGCCAAGACCATGATAGACCTCAAGCATCTAGGAGTTAAGGATGATTTGGGGATGCTTTAAGTATCAAACATGGAGATGTTTGACAGAACAGCCAACAACAATCTCACCTGGCAAGTGGACAATCCCCCCATGTTATCATATCCATGTACTGAGATTGGGTGGATGAGGGAAGGTGCGCAAAAACGCATCAAAAAGCGGAGTGGGATGAGGTACTCGCAGACATCCTCAGTCCGACTAACAAGAGTCACAAGAGTTAGTTAAGTTGGTTTTGTGGTTTTGTAATAGCATGGCAGGGCAAAGTGTTTTCCCCCACAATGGATATCCAATGGGCGTGATTGGAGGTTTTTTCAAGCTCATCCCGAAGGGGTTTTCGTGCGGATTCCGCCCCCGCAACTTCGCGCCAGACAAAAAGCGCGAGTACTTCGGGGTGAAGAAGGAATGGGTGGATGGATTTGAGCTCATCCCCATCATCGATGTGGGGATACCATGGGGTACCCGGGTACCTGTCTGGCCAGTTGATAAACCTCCTTGACCCGGAAAAAGATGGAGAATGCTGTGTGTTTGCCATCTCAACGGGCCACACCCAGGGTGCAGCGTCTTTTGTAATCTCTATCATTGTGTTCTAGAATGTTGCCAGTCCTACGGACAAGCCACAAACACAAACACGTAACTACCATAGTGGATTCGGGTTATAAGCAAGGATGGACAATGCCGACTTTTCTGTCTTAAACCTGCATGCCTGACAGCAAACTCGAACAAGTGCGAAGCAACGTCAGGAAAAAAGACTAAAAAAGTCACGAAGCCATCAAGCCACTGAATAACACGAGGTTGAAATCGATGGTGAAGTTCGAGGTATGGCAGCACAGTACGTGCAGGGACCCCAGAGAGCTAGTCACAGTTGGCGCAGCTCCAGCTTGGTCATCAGCCAGGTTCCGAGATTGCAATCCATGTGACCGAGTAGTCATGGCTAGTAGATGGTAGCAGCAGTAGGAGTGTAAGTCTTGTTCTGCCTCTTCGGCACCCGTTTCCAGAAGTGGATTCCCTTTTTCACTCTTTGAGGTGCGAAAAGTTGGGCGTGCAGTCCATCAACGACCGGGTAAAGCTGGCCGAAGCACATGATACTTGCCCCGGCACCCAGTGGGGCGTGACGTTTCAAGGGCCCATTGAGGGACCCAAAAATCAGCGAAATCAAGGTCCTGTGCCATTTAAAGCTTTTCAAAATCCTGTTGATAGGTTTGATGCTTTGTATCTTCGGGCAGATAATCTACAATTGATAGACTTTGATAGAGGTTGGACAGACCTTACGCACGTTTGGGACCTCCAATACCCCTTCTCGTCACGGCCCCAGACATGGTCCAAGGTCTGTAAGTACAGCCCCCCCGGCCCACGGACCTTTGTCTTCAGGCTACAAGTTGGGCTTCGACAAAGGCTGCGAGCTTGGTGTGAGTCAGTGATGGCTAAAGCCTTTGGTCTTTGGTTGATTTGGACATGGCGATTACACCGGTTTTGGGACAGTAATCCTGGTAGATGCTGGCAAAACTGGGGGTTGAAGCACTGCAAACGCAAACCTTCTTCGAGTGTGCCAGGTATCATGTCCTTGGGGCCCTTCAAGGGTCAGCCTGTGAAGTGCTTTCCTCAGTGACCTTCTGCGGTGTCGCCTGTCGATGGTTTCGCATGTTTTAAGCGCGGCGGATGAGGAAAGCGAAGTTTGAATTCCGAAACGTCCAGTGCTCAGGATCTCCGGGGAAAGTGGAAGACCCACGACACAATTTGTGACTCTTCGTCTCAGCATGTCTCAGCTGATTTCTGTCTCTTTGAGTCCGAATCATCTTGTTTCCCCCTTCAACGAGCCCGAAGAGGAATTCTGAGCAGTAGCTCCCCACTGGCAGTGACACTACCAGGTGATGATTAAAGACAAGCAGGCCTTCACCTACTCAGAACCAGAAAAGAAGGCTCGTGCTTTTGGGCTGGAGATGGCTGGAGCGTAGGTTCTGAGTCAAGCCCCAGATTCTGTTCCCCACTCTCATTGATTGATATTCTCATTTCTGTAGATCCCTGTATCGTTGACAAATTTGCATAGCTGGTCGACCTCACCTTTCCTTTCGGGTCTTTCGGGTGTCCGGGGGAACGACAACAGAATGGAATGGTCACTGTGGAAGATGGTCAGTAATGCCGACTTTCCCTCATATCAACCTCATGATTTAAGGCTGGTGTATCACTGTAATGTGCAAAGCCCGAAACCGTAAACCATCCCCAATTTTGATAGACATGGGTGGTCTAAGTCGTATGTGATAAAAATCATCTATGTATCAATCCATCACCAAACGGAGGTTAATGATATGTTATCATATAGAATTCTTTGATTATCATATATTATCATTATTGTCGTTATTATCATCACCGACATTGTTGTTCTTCTTACCCTCTGGTAATTTAACATAGCTATTGAAAATGGTGATTTATAGTGGGTTTTCCCATTGAAAATGGTGATTTTCCATAGCTATGTTAGTTTACCAGAGGGTAGTTGCAATGACATGTTCTTTCCGTTACCATCGCTACTTGTCACTACTACTGGAGGTGGTCTCCCGCTCGGGCGACGAATGCGTGGTGGCGTCCATTGATCAGTGACTGGGCGGCAGCCCACGGCTTCGTTCAGCCGGTTGAAGAGACATTGACACCAGAAAAAATGGGGGAAGCGATCACCTGTTTACAAGGTGGTGCCCCCTAGATAGCTAAGTTTGTTGATAACTCCAATAACTATGGTTTATAGGTGATATATCTATAATTAATGGGATTTATAAACCAAATTATAACTAGGGGGGCACCACCTTGTATGATCAATTTTCGCAGGGCTATCGGAAACATTGGGGAACATACTTGTACGAGGATTAAAAATCTTGAAATCACGAAAATTTTGGGGTTAAGCTATTTTGAAACAAACCCTAATGCTAGGCCAGAATAGATAATTCGCTGTGTTGGAAGTATTGTTGCAAATGGTCGTCAACCCAGGATTAATGAACCCGGGGTCTATTTCTCTACTCGATAGTGTGTCATTACAAGTTCACGAAGGGTTCATTTTTGGGCTGGCCCCTGAGCGTACTTGGGTTCGTATTGTTATTTTTTGTTTCTTCAGAAATATCCCCAATTTTCTGTGGCTCTCGCCCCCCTTTGTCATTGCTTGAGCCACCATTTCGGTGGTAGAAACTAGGGAGATCGCCATGCCTCGCCGTATTTCTGGGATGGCGGCCAGATGGTATCTGAAGTATGGCGAGGAGTCTTGGAGAGGGCAGATTGAGGCAGGTCTGCTGACCGTGTCGAGGGTTGGCTGCCCAATATTGGGGCCCAATATTGGGGGCTGGATCATTGATTTTCCTCTTGATGTGATGTGTTTTTTGCTTGTAAATAGGAGGAAGTTACATGAAGTTACCTCTATCATGAACAACAGTTCAAATCTATACGATCTAACTATTTGGAGAAGCTCCATGTCTATGTGGTGAGATTTCCACATGCATCCCCGCCGTCACTCCGCAGGGCCATTTACAAAGCTCCAACTTTGTCAGTCCAGAGCTCAAGATGGGGAGGCCGCTAGGTGAGGTGCTGTTCATAACTTGATAGCTCCAAGGGATGACTTTGGGGTCCTCCATTTTTGCATATTCAGTTTCAGAAACTGCGAAACTCTTAGTAGTTTTGGGTCAGTTGCGTTCCGAGATTGGAGATTTGCAGGCATTTCTTCTCAAACAAGCTTGCTCAATAGCTAGCCACAAGCAGTGGCAAACAATATATTGACGGGAAGGAATCTCTCCGGGTGAAATGTATGGTGCAGTGGTGGGGGCTCTTCCAAGGCTACAACGACCGAATCAAGGCTGGCACGGTGGGCGATTGTCCAAGTCGCCATTCGTCCGTTGCCGTCCTTGTTCCCCACATCATCCAGAAACTTTGGGTTTTCAATGATAATTCCAGGGCTTCGACAGTGGTTTTTGCATCTTTTTGCTCAGACCAACATCTCCAAAACTTGGTTTTCAGAGCTACAGCTACTGCCTAAATTTTCCAAAGCCAGGAGTCCTTCGAAGATGCCATCGGATGGTTGAAGGAATGGGCTTGCAGCCGTGGCCGGCTCAATGGAGCAGAAACTGATGGTTTCGGCAATTAACAAACTCGAATTGGGGATGGTTTGCACCAATCCATTTGGTAAAATTGGTGATGTTTTCATTGTGGATTATTACATACATACATACATACAGACAGACATCCATGCATACATACATCCATGCATGCATACATACATACATACATACATACATACATACACACACATATATATATACATATTATATTTATATATTTATTTCATTTTTATCTTTATTTGGTTTGCCATACTGTTAAGGTAACAACTTCCAATCAGGGTAGAATTATTTTTACATAATCCATATGTCAATTTTTACATCAGCAGTCAGACTGTATACCAGTCACACGCACATGAATAATTATTAATATGCATTGTATACACACCACTACACACCTACAACCAATATCAACCAATATCAACCCTCCACCTACTGTCAATGTACATATTCAACATGTCATATCAACACTGGCCTGTGGTTCAAGGCCTTGAGCCAACTCCTGTTGACAACATACAGATTGAGTGCGTGCAACAGCAAAAGGTGCCGACAGTTGCAGCTTGACAACAGTGCTTGAAACATCTCGCACTTTTACATGGTAGCGGAGCTCTGCCTTACCAGGGGCATCTCCAAGCAACAGCAGTAAACAACAGGCAGAGGGCTTGATCCCAGAACACTGGGGGACTCTCAACAATTACTGTGCACAACACCCAACAAACAACACACCAGACAACAGAGGAAGCAGCAGCTGAACAACAACACTCTGACAACAGGGAGAAGCCTTGATCCCAAGACATTGGAGGAGCTTCAACAAAACTTTACAAAGCAACAATGGCGGCATCACCAACAGCACCACTAGAGGATCAGACAGAAGCGTTGGCAGCAACACACCGACTCAAACTCAAGCCCCCAACATATGATGGCAACTATTCTACATTTGAGGAGTGGAAATACAAATTCACAGCATACATGGGCCTCATGGACCCATTCTACCCCAACATCCTACGACGTGCAGCAACATCCACACAACGACTTACAGAAGCAGACTTGAGAGGAGCAGCACAGAACATGGAGGAAGCCGACAGATGGGTACAACTAGACAACAACTTGAAGTACATACTTGTGAACGTAACAACAGGAGCTGCAGCAACAGTGTGCAGACAGTATCAACATGAGATGGGACTTGAGACCTACAGGCAGCTCAGCAACAGGTTTGCCATACCATTAGGAACAAGAAGCATAGGGTACCTAACAAAGCTGCTCAAGCCAACATTTGACAGCAACAACTTCGAGGAGTCATTCTCCAACTGGGAATTCGAGCTCTCAAGGTATGAGAGAGACAACAACACAACACTACCAGACCAAATCAAAATTGCAGTCCTGATGAACGAGACATCAGGCCCACTGCAACAACACCTGCACTTGAATGCAGGAGCAACACCAACATACGTAGAGGTACGTGAAACAATCATGGAATATTACAGAGCCACCACAGCCCTTAGCAGGCTACACCAGCAACCTGGGACATCCAGCGTCTCAACACACGCCCAAGGAGGACCGGCACCTATGGACATTGGAGCTGTCAACAAAGGATACAAAGGAAAGTACAACAAAGGAAAAGGAAAGAAGCCCAACAAAGGAAAAGGAAGGAACAAGAGCAACAAAGGCAAAGGATATGGCTACGGATACAACAAAGGCAAAGGAAAGATTGGGCAAGGAATGCAGCCCAAAGGATCCAACAACAAAGGAGGGTACATAGGCAAAGGCAAAGGCAAGCCAACAGGAAAAGGAAAAGGGGTCCCAACGCAAGGATGCTACAGATGTGGCCAACCAGGTCACATAGCAAGAGACTGCCGTGTGGCAGTACACAACCTCAACGAGGTTACAACCAACACATACACTGGCCATTGGCAAGGTGATGCAACAACCCAATGGTATCAACAACAACAGTACTATGACGGCCAATGGTGGAATGATGACCAAACACAGGTCAGCGCACTGCCACAGCAACAACTGGCACTCCCACCAACAAGCGCGCAGGAACAGCAAGTTCCACAACTCCACATAGCAGCCATTTCAATACAGCAGTCCAACAAGCAGCAGCCAGCAACTGAGCAACCGGCAAACACCACAGAAGATTTGATGATTGACAGTGGAGCAGCAACACATGTTTGCCCACCATGGTTTGCCCCAACATACAAAACATATGAACTTCACCCAGAACAAGGCCCAAGACTTACAACAGCAACAGAGGAAGACATCACAGTCTATGGCTACAAATGGGTGTACATGAAGAACAGCAAGCAACAACCGATCGTCATACCCTTTTATGTGTGTGACGTGTCACAACCCATTTTGTCAGTAACAAGACTGGCATCACAGGGTTTCAACATCCAGCTTAGCGATCGCCCATCAATCACCAACACCAACGGCTTTGAAGCAACACTGAAGCAACAACAAGGACTGTATTTTCTTACAGTCAACATCAGCCCAATGCCAAGCAACATGAAGCTCGACATATGTGAGACGTCACATGGCATTCGAGCAACAGTGTCCCCAGTGACAATTACACCAACAGGACCTGAATGGGTCACACACAACAACGACATTTGGATATACAACAGCACAGGATATCTGGTGAGGGTACACAAGAGAACAAGGAAGGCCCTCTTCACACCAGATGCACAATGTCCAGTTCCAGAAGAACAGCTGGACAACTACAGAAGAACAATAGCATACAAGCCAGATGGAACACTTGAGGACTTTGAGGACAAATACAAAGACCTTCCACAACAACGACAGAACAGAAGACTTCCAGGACCAGCATGGTCAGGAGAAACATGGTTCAGAGTCAAAGAGACAACAAAGCCTCCAGCACCACCGTTGCCCAAGGCATCAACAGCAGCTTCAGCGCCAGCATCAGCAACACCAAAGGCATCGGCAGCCAAGGCAACGACACAGCAACAGCAGCAACAAGCTCAGCAGCCTACAGGATCAGCAGTTCGACACAGAGAGAAGAAGCCAGTGGAACAACCTTTGGTACCACAGCAACAGCAGCCCATGAAGCAACAAGCATATCCAGGAACAGCAGTTCCAGGACCAAAGGACACACCAGCAACAGCAGACTACTGGATCAAAGAAGGACAGTACTGGAAGAGAGTCCATGTACAACAACGGACTCAGCTTTACATCCCACAACAAACAATGGATGGTCCAGATGTCACAAAGCTATTGCCACAAAGACAAACAATAGTTAAGCCAACATCAGGAGCCAGAGGATACAGGATTGATGATGACTGGACAACAAAGACCTCAGCAACAATGAACTTCACATGGACAGGTTCAACAACTTTGAGGAGAGCACGGCGTTCAAAGAGGAGTACTACAACATCGATGAGGAAGAACATTTAGATGCCAGAACAGCAAAAGGCATCAAAGCACCAGAGCAGCCAACAGCACAAGAGCGTGCTGAACATGAACTCACACACCTTCCCTACAGGAGTTGGTGTCCAACATGTGTTCAAAACAAAGGACGGGCAGACAACCACCCACGACAACACAGCAAACAACCAGTCGTACAATTCGACTTTTGTTTCTTCAAAACACTTGGAGAAAAGGAAACAACACCAATCCTCACAGGCATTGACGTGGAAACAGGCATGAGCATGGCAGTTCTTGTCAACAGCAAGACAGCAGACTTTCAATATCACGTCCAATGCATACAAACATTCCTCATGGAGTGTGGCAGAGTACAAGCTGTACTCAACAGCACAATCCTACAGTCAGATCAGGAGGATCACCTCATAGCACTTCTCAGAGCAACAGCAGCTAAGATGGGAGGAAACATCACAGTTCGACAAGCACCAACATACACATCACAAGCACAAGGCAGCGTCGAACGCTTTCACAGAGCACTCATGGGACAAGTCAGAACACTGAAGTCCCAACTGCAGAACAACTACGACATCAGACTTACAAGCAAACATCCCATCGTAGCATGGATGGTGAGACACACAGCTTACCTGCTCAACAGGTATGCCATACATTCAGATGGCAACACAAGCTTCTTCAGGAGATGGCATAAAGAACACAAAACACCACTCTGTGAGTTTGGTGAAACAGTTCTTTATATGTTGCCAAACTCAGCAGTCATTCCAAAGATGGAACAGCGCTTCATGCCAGGCATATGGCTTGGTAAAGACACAACATCCAATGAGAACCTCATTGGGATTTCCAACAAGGTTGTTCGAGCACGAACAATCAGAAGGCTTCCGGCACCAGAAAAGTACAACAAGCAACTGATGGACGTGATCAACAGATCACCAACACTCCCATACACCACTGGTGGACCATACGTTTCAAAACCACCACTGGTCTACAAGCCAATGAGGAGACCAGCAACTGCAGAAACAGGCACACAAGCTTTTGGAGCAGACACAACACAACAGCCACAACTTCAAGCACAGCAACTAGCAGCACCGGCAGGTACATCAACACGATGTGCCATTGCAGACTCACCAATGGCAACAGCACCAACAAGCTGTCACACCAGACCATCACTTCCATCACCAAAACGAACAGTTTCAGACGAAGTGGCAGAAGGCAGTCTGCCAAAGCAACATCGAACAGCAGAAGCAGCAACAGGTCCAGCAAGGCCTGACACAGCACAAGAGCCACCAACAAGCAAACTAAGAATCACAAAGGTGACAATTCAAACAAAGAAAGGGGTCGAAATCACAGCATACACTTGTGATGACATCACAGAAGAACAAACAGAGAAGATCCTTTTGGAACCAATGGTCAACAACACAGAAGGATTCGACAAACAGAAGACCATTGAAGGAATGAAGAATGAGATCGATTCCATGAAGAAACAACAGGTATACATGGAAGTCGACATCAACACTCTGACCCCAGAACAAAAGAAGAACATCATACAGTCAAGATGGGTTCTCAGAGACAAAGGCAACAACGTTCGTGCAAGAATTGTAGCAAAGGGCTACACAGAGGCAGTCAACGATCTTGATGACATCTATGCCTCAACACCTATCTTTTGCGTCCTGAGAACACTTCTCACTATCTGCCTCAACAGAGGTTGGATCGCCAGAACAGGAGACATCTCAACAGCTTTCCTACATGCCGCAGCAGCTACAGCAGACTTGTACATGTATCCACCAAAGGAGTTTTACAGACCAGAGGACAACATCATCTGGAAACTCCTCAAAGCAATCTATGGACTGAGAAGCAGTCCAAAAGCTTGGCAAAACCACCTTGCAGAAGTCCTACAACAACTTGGACTTCAACGCAGCACAGCAGAGCCCAACATCTTTATGACACCAACAAGAGATTGCTATATCCTCGTCTACGTCGATGACCTTCTCTTCCTAGGAGAACAACAAGTGGTGGACAAGCTCTTCACAGCAGTTCAGCAACACCTTCTTCTTCGACCAACAGGTACACTTGAACCAGGGAAGACAGTCTCCTTCCTTGGACGCAGCATCACCAACAATGGTGATAGCTACGATATTTCACTATCGCAGGACTACGTGGCCAACATCTTGGAGGAGAACAACATGCTGAACTGCAACCCAGCACCGGCACCAGGAACATCAGCCTTGAAGGCACCAACAGCTGATCATGAACAGCCTCTTTCAACAGACGAACATGCAGCCTACAGGAGAACAGTAGGTAAACTACAATGGATGACATACACTCGTCCCGATATCAGCTACGCAACAAAGGAGCTGGCCAGAGCATTACAAGCACCAACGACGGCAGACCAACAAAAGCTGAAGCACCTTCTTAGGTATCTCAAAGGAACACAACACTACAGGCAGGTCATTAGACCAACAGCAAAGATACCTCCAACACAGATTCCAGACCTCAACATCTATGTGGACAGCGGCTGGGCAGGTTGTCCAGAAACGAGGAGATCAACAACAGGTTTTCTCATCACACTACTTGGAGCTACAATCAACTACGGCAGCCGAACACAGGCAACAATAGCACTGTCAAGTGCTGAAGCAGAGCTATACGCCATCAACACAGGAGCAACAGAAGCACTTCATTTGCGCAACCTCCTCATGGAGCTCTTCAACGTCCAGAAGGTCAACATCAAGATTCACACAGACTCGTCAAGCGGCAAGAGCATGGCAACAAGGATAGGATCGTCAAGAAAAGCAAAACACATTGACCTGAAACATCTCTTCATACAACAACTGATCTCACATGACATCGTGAGACTCAATAAGGTTCACACAAACGAAAACCCAGCAGACATTTTCACCAAATACATCTCAACAGAAACACTCCACAGACACCTGCAGGCAGCTGGGCTCAACACCCAGCACCACATCCACTAAAGAGTGGATACAGCAACAGCAGTTTCACAACACCCGGGCAGCTAATGCACTATGCGCACGCGTGCACAACTGCGTGAGCAAACAATGCACACACAGACACACAGACACACAGACACACAGACACACAGACACACAGACACACAGACACACAGACACACAGACACACAGACACACAGACACACAGACACACAGACACACAGACACACACACACACACGGACGCGTTTGAGCCATGACCGATGTCATCAACAAACGTTGATGAACATCTCCCTTGTTTCGTTTCATCCAGTATTTCAACAAGATCTTTTTTTTTGGAATCCCAACATGGTGATCTATTTCGACTATCAGCATCAACATCATTGACTTAGTCAACATGATTTCCTTTTTTGCAGGATGACTTATTTCAACAAGATCCTTCCCAACGTGAAGGTCAACATGTCTTGTGACGCATGATGATGTCAACACCGTTTGTTGACAACAGTCGTGTATTCAACCTTTTTTCAACAGAACTGGTCACTCAACAGTTGTGGGCACTCAACAGGGAACAAGGGTTCCTCGACATTTTCAACATGCTCAGCTGGTCAAACAACTTCATTTGGAGTTACAACACTCCTGTGAATCTGGCAACAGTTGGAGATGAGATCCCACAACATCTCATCTATATGCTTCAACAAGCCATTCAGTACGGTGGCACTCAACAACTGGAATTCTTGCCAGAGGCAGCAAGGACCAAAATCAGGATGATCCTCAACAAGTGGCATCCTCTCCTTGAAGGAGGACAACAATTCCAATACTTTGGTGTGAAGACACCAGAGAGGTTGAGGGGATCTTCAACACTGGCATTATGGCTGATGGAGCAATCAACAGATGAGCACCTCCAACAGCACTTCGATGAAGTGAACAAGTATCGTGAGCCAACCGGCATGGAAGACAACATGGAAGAGAACAACGCAGAGTGATCAACAATGATCACAACAGGGGTGGAGCTCAGACAACATCCCGGTGCAGAAGCACCAAAACAACAGAGCCCTGCGCAACATGACGCTCAACACATGAGAGCTTGAAGTGCGCATAATTAAGCAAGTGTTTTTTCGTCCAACACCTGCGGCTGCAACAGGTGTATAAAGATAACCAAGCCATCGGCATTTGTACAGAGGATGAACCAACACTCATGCATGAGTAGTCAACATAATGCTGTTTCAGTTTCAACATGTTTATAGTTTCAACATTAGTTGCAACATTTATTGAACACAGACCCATGTAGAATATATAGTCAACATCTGCTGGCTAACATAGCCAACATCTGAGGGGTCGTGTCAATGTACATATTCAACATGTCATATCAACACTGGCCTGTGGTTCAAGGCCTTGAGTCAACTCCTGTTGACAACATACAGATTGAGTGCGTGCAACAGCAAAAGGTGCCGACAGTTGCAGCTTGACAACAGTGCTTGAAACATCTCGCACTTTTACACCTACAACCAATATCAACCAATATCAACCCTCCAAACCCTCCAAACCCTCCAGGGCCCTGGTAGATGGTCCCCGATGGTTCCCGATGGTCTCCACATCGGCTGAGGCTCCTTTGGACTCGGCACGCAGGTGCCCTGGGACGAACAGTTCGTCATCGAGTCTCTGTCGGCAGCCACGGTCAGGTGGAAGCTTTCCCGGTAACGCCAACAGGCTGAAGAACAAAACTGAATCAGAAAGGAACACCATAAACTTTCAGAAATTGTGTGTGTGTATATATATATACATATACGTATATTTCTGAATTTTCAAAAATTGTGGAGGTCCACTTTCCATTCACAACAATTTTGAAAGTGGTCCAGTTTCCATTTTTGTAATTGGAGATGGACAACAGTTCAGAAGTATTCCTATTGATCCTTTCTTACAGTAAAGGGTTGCTTCCGATGGATGGGTGAGGACTGACCCAGTGGACACGGGCTCTTTTCCAGTGCTTTGATGCTCGGGCAGCTGTTGCGAGCAAGTGGCAAAGTAGATAAACGTGGGTCCGGTACATACAGTACCCTCTCAGATATCGACAAATGAATGCACCATATGAATATATATATATATACAACACATATACAACACATTAATTAAGGAGGGGAATCCATGTCCCATTGCAAGGTCCGACAGCACCATCTATATGGCCTACTACACGGTGGGTCATTTGCTGCATGGTGAGGAGGGGCCCAAGGGGCCCAAGACTTGGAGACCCTCAGTCGGGGGGTTTTTCAAAGCTGCTATGCGATCTGCTGTAGGAGAACTTGGATGGCAAAAAGGGCAGCCCGGAAGGGATCAAGGCGATCTGGCTGCCTTAGAGAATATTGGAGACGTCAGGACATAGGATTTGAAACGCACATCAACAGCGGCAATCCTAGCTTCATGATTGGCGGTTGGTATGAAACCTCAACACAGCCACTTCAAGTACGTAAGGAAGTCGTTTTCTAGGCCGCTAGGCCGCTCTTCAAGGTTCCGTGGTGGCTCTTTTCTTGGGGCTGCGTTCCCTATCAGTGGATCATGGTTCCCATTCCATGATATGGGTTTGTTTGGATCGCACTTACTGATGAAAGACGACTTTCCTAAAACATGTTTCCAGCATGATATATATATAAAATGCTTCCCCTATAGTTTTCAGGTTTCCAACTTTTCTATTTTTTTGGGGGTTTGCTATAGACATTTTCTATCAATTTGTCGTGAATCTCCCCAGCCGGGTTGATAATCGCATGTAGGCAGAAGATCTCACGGACGAAGTGTGGGACTTCGTGTTCCTCAATGGGCCGCGGGACCCGGGCCCTTTTGTTTTGGAGCAGCCTATCAGCTGATGCTCAGAAGCATGGATGTTCTGAGCAATTGACGATGATTTGGCGGTTTTTGATGCGCATTTCATGATCTGGATGATTGGGAGGAAGGATGTCAAGAGAACATGTGGAGGAAAGGCGGTGATGATGATGATGATGATGGTGGTGATGATGAGAAGGATCCTTCTGGTTGTTCGAGGCGGCTGTGGCGGGATCGCCCTAAGGCCAATGCCAAAGAAGTCCAAGATCCCCCAGAAGCTGATGGACACTTGGCAGCTGGGAGTTTGCAAGGGATGGTTACACAAAATGACCCCTTAAGCTTGTTCCGAGCCCAACGGTTTCTGAATTCTTAGGGTACCGTAAGGAAATTTGGACATATCTATACACATCAAACTGTACATATACATAGTTACATAATTACCATTATATATATATTATATAAGTTTGCATCATTACAATAATAATAATGATAATAATGTGTATATATATATGTATGACATTGACGCTCTCTCTCTCTCTCTCTCGCATATATATATAATGTATATACATCAATATATATATATATCACATATCATATATCTGTTCGATAATCATATCTGTATCTATGTCATTCTATATATCTCAATTCTCTTCAACCAAATATCAATATCTAGTATTTATACCTATGCATGTGCATACATCCTGGTCAAACGTTGGCATGCGCTGCCCAGGAAAAAATGCGAAAAGAATTCAGGTGCAGATTGGACCATTGGAGGGTCGGAGCATCTTGGAATATCTTGGAGCCGTGAGAGATCTACGAAGTGAAACAACCCCATGCACTAAATGCCAATGATTACCCTATGGTAAATAAACATAGACCCTGAAAATCACCCATTTTTAACGGAAACTAGTCTTCCAACCCCTATCTGCCAGGGTCTATGTTAATTTACCAGAGGGTATATACTATACTTTGTAAACACATCCCAAGCCCCGGCAGGTTCTGGTACCCCATGGACCTCCGTGTCTCGGGCAAAGATCTGATCCAGAACCACTTGACCATGGCCTAGAGCTCGGCCGGGAGAACTTCCATAGACCATCATAGACCTACCATGACTGGGGATGGTTTGAATCCCACCCATGAAAATGGTGATGTCGGGGATGGCTTCTGATTTTATATGACTTTTAAGGCATTGGAAATGCCGCGCGAACATGTTTGACGGAATTTTGGTGGACTTAGGGAACACATGAGGTGCCAAACGTCTAATGTCCGAGGGTGCGTCAAATTGCCCCAACAGCGTGTGTTGCCAAAACCTGAGGCTCTGTACAACCATGCATGCGTTTGGGCCAGGGGCTTACTGGCAGTTTGGGCAATTTGCTGCTGTCCATCATCCGGATGCTACCCTACCACAGCCATCGAAGAAGATTTGAGAGGGGTTCTATCCTGCTCGAAAAAATGGGTGTTTGCTACCCAGTTTGTAAGTCAAACTTGCAATCTTGCTTAAGCAGTGTTTCCTCTTCTTGCTGAAATTGAATGAGGGAATTGCATGGGCCACGCCGATTTTTATGGGTGGGGAAGCCGCTGGAGTAGACCAACATGATGAACATCTTGACAGCTGGGAGATAACAAGCCCGGAGGGTCAAATCTCATGAATTTCAGAAATATTCATCTGACTTCAATCATCTTCAATTATAGGTTTCGGGCAGTTGTCCTTTTCGTCGCCGATGTCCCTTGCTGTCGTTGCCACTGAGGAGAAGGAGCCGGAACTGTGGCCAAAAAGCTTCTTCTGCAATGGTTGGCTGTTGGTGAACAATGCTGGGCGGCCCAGTGGCAGCTGGTGAGGGGAATGTCTCAACTCTGTTGGTGAAATGGGCAATGGCTGCATCCTGCACTGGCCCGCAAAGACGCAAGTCACTGCTTTTTGGTTTGCTCATGCCATGTGGTTCGGTAGCTGAAGCGAGCGTGGATCGATGCCCTGTTCCACCATAATTCGCAGCAAGATTGGAGAGCCTTGACATTTTCAGTATGGCTGAACGTGTCTGAACATTATCATCTTCCGACATCGATGGATTTGAGGGTTTAGGGACGCTTTAGTATGGTTTAGTACCAAGGATGACCATATTTCGATGCCCTTTGGTACTGCATTTTGGGTCACCATAGCTCTCCGAAAAGTCATCAGAATGGCGCAGGAGAAGATGTCCAAATCCAAGGGCAACTTCTTCACTGTGGATGAGATCATCAAACTGCGCCCAGGGCTGGGGTTGATGGGTTGCCTTCAGTTGCCGTCTCACCTGAGATGTATGAAACACTTCCAATCAATTCCAACCGAACATTTTAATTATCATCCAGAAATGATGAATGATGATATATGATGATGAATGCCCCAAAATGGCGACTTTTTAGCACCCTTTTCCAACAAACATGCTGGCAAAACCACCCGGAACTGGCAATGGCAATCTGCGGGACCTTCGGGCGCTGTAGATTTTGATTCCAGTCATCACCCAAAAGTTAGGAAAGTTATATAATGATCACTGTTTCAACAGGGAATTACGTTTCTATCTTTTTGGTGATAACTATGTGCAATATATTTATCTATACATATATATACATATATAAAACACACACACATATATATATATATACACATACATGTACACACACACACACATATATATATATTCTTTATAGATATGCATATATCATATATCATATAAAGAGGAGTAACCATGGCCGCTAGGTAGTGGTACGACGGTTTATGCGTACACATGTGTGCGCAGCCGTTTGCATCTCAAGCCCAAATCGGGCGAGTCACCATCCCTTACGAGGGTGATCCCCCATACGTGGGAGGACCTCTCCCCTCTTTTGAGGGGATGCCGGGGCCATGGATTCAGAGTGCTTTGGACCCTGGCTGGCTGGCTGGTCAAAGCTACCCTGAAGGTTCCACGGTGGAGTTCGTTGCGTACTGGCGGGGCGCTAGGACTTTGAGCCGTGTGCTGGCGACTGTCCTTAGCACCCAAGAGCTTGGAACCCCCCGGCATGAAACCAAAGGAAAATGGCTGGCGATTCAGGTCAGATGTGTCGAAGATCATAAATTGTTCCAGTGGCTTGGAGCCGGCGGTGGTGCCAAACAGAAGGGGCGTTTTGACCTTCACCTGTGCTTAGGTCAGGTTGACAGGTGTACCCTCGTCAGAGACGAGGAGGAGGTGGAAGTGCACACGGATACGTTGAGGATGATAGGGCCTCGAGACCTAGAGGAAAGGATCTCTGAGTGGTGGACCACGAGCCCAACAAAAACAGACTTTGAGGCTCTGCGGGCTCGAGTGTTAAGAAACAGCAGCACAGGGGCCAAGGCCCAGGAAGTGCCTCCTCAGAACGTAGGCGGCACGGAGGCTAGTCAGCCGGGCTGTCCAGGGGTCTCGACAAAGGCCTCGCGGAGGAATGAAGGCCGCGATGCCGTGGGTGTGCACTTTTCCTCTCCGGCTCATGACGAGGACCGCTCAAGGGCGAAGGGTTCCGGCCGATGTCGGTCCCCAGAGGAGTCGAGGAGATCAAGGAGGTCGTTCAACCGGGGGAGCCCCGATGGTTCTCTAGGTGGCAATGTGGGCCGCTGGCTAGTGGATGCACCGTCTCGGCGGGGACTGAAAAGCCCTGACTCATCAGGAGCGGGTGGAAGCGGTGACGGTCGGCTTTCAAGAAGGAGAAGATCGTCACATAGGGAACCTAATCCCGAGAGGGCCAAGGCTCTGAGCTCAGACCATGGAGATCAGAGAGCCGGGCGAAGCCGGTCCCACGGGATGGAGGCAGCCCGAGGAAGGAAAGGTCGGGGCCCTTCGCGGAAGGGTGAAAGGGGCCCCGGTCGAGAGGACATTTACCGGCATGAAAGGGAGCCGATGAGACCTGGCCGGGAGCCGGATCATGTGCATATACCGGGTCAAGCTCTACGGACAGGGCCGGACGGGCTCGATCGCGGACTGATCCGCCTGAAGAGCGCCGTGGCACGATCCGGTTGCGGAGCATCAGCCCCAACGCAATGGCTCAAAGATCTCAAAGGACTGCTGATCAGTCAGAAGCTGAGGATTTGATGTGTCAAGGAATTGAGGTACTTGGAGGCATTGACTCGGGACCAGAGGATGAACGGCGCCATGCGCAGCTGTCGTGTCCTGGGAACCAGAAGGTACAGGGAATGTGGCAGGCACACGCCAGGTCGATTCTCACCAAGATGTGCTCCTTCGGGAGTGTGGGAGGTCACCTGTGTGACTTAATATTGGAGCTGGATGGCCCCCTGGGGGAGTTCGCGCGCCTGTATTGTTCAACGCAGCCGCCTCTGGCCGTGAGGCCTTTTACAGAGAGGCGCGGTGACGTACTCCCCATTCATCCGGAGGCTGTCACCACGGAGCTCGAGGACATTGACTCCCGGAATTTGCAATGGGTGAGAGCGACCATTATTGTCCTAAACTACCTGTACTGCTGGGGCGGCGCCAGGCCTGTCGCAGTTCCAATTCAACCCTCTCTAGGATTGAATCAGCTTAAAGCTGTGCAGAATCTAGGGGAGAACTTCAGGCTCAATTTTGGTGAGAATGACCAGGTCCCGTCACTAGCTAGGGTCCAAGCTATGATGAGCAGCGGTGGCAACGAGGACCGGGGAAAGCCCGTCAGGTGCATTGACACGTTGGACGCTGAGAAGGTGATCGCGGCCTGGCCCCCGGTCGGGGGCGCGAGAGCTGTGCCCATCACAGAGATGCTGGATGGGTATCTGATGGGAGCGGTTCGTGACCCTACGGGGTGGTGGCTTCCAGATGATGTGCGGCCGCTCAAGCGCACTAGATCTGAGGTCAGGGCCTCAGATGAGACCTGGTACAAATTGTGTCGGGCGGCCCATGAGCGGGGTCTGATGAAGGTGGTGTCCGACAGCCTCTTGCATAAAGACCGAGAAGGCCACTATGTCACGAACGGGGCCGGAGGAGTTGAGGTCCAGGTGGACGTCAGTGGCCGATTAGTGGCAGCTCAGTGGTTTGTCCCGATCATGTTGCCCAGCAACGAACACTCTGAGCGGCTGCCAGGGGGCCGTGATGTGCTCCCCTACGGGGGTTTGTTGGAAGCGATAGTTCTGCCTGAGGAGGGCGATTACTACATGGAATCGTGGCCACTATCGCGCGCTTTGTCCGTGTTCTCGGTCCCCGACCTTTGGCTCCCGCACTTTGCTTTCTCAAAGAAGGTATGCGCATCCGCCTTTGGGGGAACGAAAGGAGTGCAAGTGAGGCCAGCGTGGTGTGTGCTACCTTGTGGTTGGAAAAACACACTGGCTTTGGTGGAAGGAGCCCTGCGCCTCTTAGTTTTCGGAAGATGTCGGGTGCCGAGGCCGGCTCCCACAACAAATCGGTGGCCCCCGCTGAGCAGTGATCAGCTCGCTGTGGACTGCTCCGACTTCATTGCGGAGTTGCTTTGTATGAGAGATTTCTGTCAGGAGCTCGACGCTGGGGTGCACTCTGAGAAGCACCGCCGTTTCGAGACGGAGTGCAGGGCCGCGGGCCTGCCAATGGAAGCGACTCGGCTGGTGATGGAAACCCTTACGAGGGGGGTCAGTGCAGGGGCCATGGACGGGCCCACGGAGAGCCTGCGGGCGACGAGGCAAGAAGTTATGGACTTTGTGGCTTTGTCGTTGGGCCTACTGCAGGCACAAGTATGGCGGGCACCGCACCTGCACTATAGGAAAAGCCATTTACATGGCGTCCTTCAACCGCCCATTGTTGTCTGTCTTGGAGGCAGTTTTTCCGAAGTTCACGTGGGAAGCAGAGGAGCGTGCACCTTCCTTGAAAGAAATCGAAGAGGTGACTTGCTTCATGGTCCTGTCTGTTCAGGCCAGCTCCCCACTCAAGTTCGTGATGTCAGAGGTGATTTCGTGCTCCAGCGCAACGCCCACGGGCGGGTTTTGTGTGTGGAGCTTGCGGTTGCGTATTAGAGCCGGACACAGCAGTCTTCCCTTGCCCACGGGCGTGTGGGATGCGGGGCTGCACCATCAGATGCGCCCAGTCGCACTTCGAGCAAGGCGAGTGCCCGCGAAAGGACTTTGCGATCCCACGGTTCGGGGAACGCTTTGCTGGAGTCAACTATCCATTGACGATGGCAGTGGCGCTGGCCGGCGGAGCTGTTCAGCGACCCCTGGGTCTGATGATTGCTGACAACTCCTGGGATTATTTCTCGGAGCCGGGAAAGGATGCGTTGGAGTTCCTGGAGGAGGACCCTGCGCTGCGCTGGCGTCATTGGTCGCCCGACAGCTTTTCCTTTACAGCCACCCTGAGACGCGCGGGGGAGAGAAAAGGAAAAGGAAAGAGGAAGGGCCATGCTCGACTCAGGACAGAAAACCAGCCCTGGGGCGTAGATCGCCTGTCGCGTGACGATCAGGTGATAGTCCGGCAGGAGAATAAAATGGCCAAGCGCTGCCTCAAGGGGCTGGAACCGCCAAGGGGGCTTCGCGGCCCTGCTACACCCCTACGACTCTCTCCTATGGCGCACAGAAGAGGTGGAAGAAATTCGGTCACGCCCGGGCTCCATGGTCTCCTCATGTTCGTTCTGTTGTTTTGGGGGCCGCAAGGCAAGTTGGATTTCGCTGTTGCACAACTCTCCCAGAGTGCATCAAGCGTTGCACCACCCGCGATGCCACTGCGCCCGCTCCGAGGAATCAGGGGTGCACCCGTCAGGGCGGTCAGGCCCGGGGGAGACAGGGACAGAGGAATATCCCTGGCGGTTCTGTGTGGCGTATGCGGGTGCTGTCGTCGCAGATTTGAGGGCGTTGATGATTCCGCCCTTTGGGACGGCACAGTTTGACCTTCCCCACCTCTTGTACAACCAAATCATGGGGTCAGCCAGAGGAATGCAAAGTGAGGACCTGGTGTATAAATTGGTTGTTGAGGTGGAGGAAATGGTGAGGCACATGGAGCTGGGAGATGAACAGAGGCACCTGGCCGGCCTGGCGAGGCATCTGAGACTCAAGGGCACAGATGCCAGGCTGCTGAGCCCAAAGGAGGAGACAAATGGTAGGGAGGTGCTTGTCCCGTACCCAGCTTTTTGGTGGAGCTGGCGCTCTTGCCTGGCCCATGAGTGGCCATCACAACATGGCCTTCGTGGTCTTGAAATGGTGGCCATGTTGGCCGAACTGCGCCGCCGCGCCCGATCGCCTCAGCAATTTAACCAAGTGTACATCCATGTGGTGGACAGTGTCCCGTGTCTTTGGGCCGTGGAAAAAGGCCGTTCCAAATCAAGGCGGGTCAACCGGACCCTGCAAAGATTCCTCGCCTTGGCTATGGCCGCAAACATTCATCCACTGGTGACGTGGACCCTGACCAAGTGGAGTCAATATGGAAAAGTGAAACCGCAGAATCGCGGGTAGGTCCAGGAAGGCACTCATCCTTCCACCCCGATGAGTGGTGTGACCGTTCAAATTTCAGTTGGGACGATTGCCGAATTGCCCTGGGCTCGGGTCTTTACCCCCCAAAGCCCTTGAAAGGCATTGAGCGCCGAGGAAATCCCGTGATTCGAGTTGAAAAGGCGCCTTTTTCACCTTTTGGTTATTTTGGATGCCACCAGTATTTTTCAGCAGTCGCGCCGCGCGTCAATAGATTGGCATGTGCCGCTTCCTTAGGCTGAATTTGTGATTTGATGCCCTACGGGGTCGTTGGATGCTGAAATATCAGACGCGCGCGCCTGCTGGTAGTTTCACTATGTACAGCAATAAAGCGGTTGAGTTCGCTCCGGTACATAAACTCCCGCAGCACCAAGTTCTTCTTTCAAAGGGAGAAAAAGACGATCGCTCTGCTTTTCTCTTGAGAATCGCGGGCATGTCTCCAGTCGTTTTACCTTCTTGAGGGTTCAGGAGACTAGTCTATCACACTAACTACCGTTTTAAACTGTGGTTCTTGAACCGGCTTTTCTGCCGCTGCCCCCCTTCCTTCTTTTCCCTTTTGGCTTTCGGGTTGGTTTTGGGTTCTTTAACCCTTGCTTCTTCCGTTTTGCGCCTGCGGTGGCTTTAGTTGGCTCTTGAGCCCTTGCTTTTGAGTACTTTTCCTTTCCTGTTTTTAACAACAGCCAGGTGGGCAGGTTGGGGATTCTTGCCACGGCAAGTCCATCTATGGGTGGGGCCCCTGGGGTGAAACCCCTAAATTGTATAGGCACTTTCAAGTGCTCCGTGTTCACCCCAACCTTGATTCCCAAATCGGCTGCGTTGAAAAATGTGGGCTAGCTTAAAAAGAGGAGTAACCATAGGTAGTGGTACGACGGTTTATGCGTACACATGTGTGCGCAGCCGTTTGCATCTCCCTTCCCTCCCTAACCCTGGGCAGGTTGGGGATTCTTGCCACGGCAAGTCCATCTATGGGTGGGGCCCCTGGGGTGAAACCCCTAAATTGTATAGGCACTTTCAAGTGCTCCGTGTTCACCCCAACCTTGATTCCCAAATCGGCTGCGTTGAAAAATGTGGGCTAGCTTAAATATATATATATATATTATATAGACGTATGTGCATATGCCAAGCCTGTAGAGGATCCCTGCCATAGCTCCATGGCATTTTTTCCGAGGTACTCCGCGGACACCGTGCGACTGGCCATGGCCAACAGCGGCGACACTTTGGAGCCGGCGAACTTTGATCAGTCCGTGTGTCACTGGGCCAGAGATCGGGCCATGGGTTTTACGTTTTACCCATGGAAAATGGTGCTTTTACCCATGGAAAATGGTGGTTTTAGCCATGGAAAATGGTGATTGAACCATCCATTTTTGGGAAAAACAGGGATTTATGGAGACTTTTTGGTCGTTTTTTGATTGCGAAAAGTATGACCTTATTGTTTTGTATCAGAAATGAAATGGTTTTTCTGGTCAGATTTCAAATTCCAGAAAGAATAGGATCTGGGTGAAGTGATTGGCCAGGGGTTGATGTGACCTTCCTATGAAATGCTAGGATCCCAGTGCCATAAACCGGGACGGTTTATGACTGGCTGAATCTTCACATTCTCTGATGTGAAGACATCATATGAAATGAGCTTAAACCATATTAAATTAGCTTACTGTAAATCATGTTACCCTAGGGTAAAGTAACGTAGATGTGGAACATCAACCATTTGTAGATTACTTTCCTGGGGTTTTCCCCCAGGTTTTCCACATCTACGTGAACGTTTACCCTATGATAAATCCAGTTACTCAGTTGCTTCATCCAGTTCTTAGTTGGATCATATTAAATCAGATCTAAAACCATATTCAATCAATCATCGCAAACATCACCGCAAAAATCCACTCAGTTGCTTCATCCAGTAATCTGCAGAGAGCCAGGCAACAAGGCGGTCTTGACCCTGGCCGTCTTTCTGGACTTGATGAAGTCCATGGTCAGTGGCAGCGAGCCACTGGACGCAGGCCGGCCTGACATAGGGGTTTTTAGGGCCTTGCGGCCAGTAAGGTCAAAATGGGGATGATATATAGGTGGTTAAGAATGGTTAATAATGGCATATAATGGTTAAAAATACTAGTTATCATGAAAACTTGAGACACAAACTGGCATATTTATTGGGATATATTATTATATTAATGACGATTCTAATGATGGTTAATACTGATTTATAATGGTTACGAATGGTTGGTACTGGGATGCTATTTAATGGGAACAATGGTGGCTATAACTATGGGATATAATATCCCATTACCAACCATTGTTCCACAGTATATCCCATATGTCTATCAAAAATTATTCCCATAGTATAATTATGCTATGAGGGTATAACCAAGAATAATAGACATGTTGGTCGTTCATTGGTCAAAAAACATCCCCATTTCATCACCATTTCATCCCTCTGGATCCGCTGGAATCTCAGCAAGGCGCAGAGGATGGGCGTTTCGTCGATGTGTGGTTTGCCAATGAGATGAACCGCCTGGTGTTCCCTTGGCCGCAGAGAGTGTCCAGCGGTCGCCGGGTCGCCGGGTAAGCGGGGTAGCCACTTTGCTACCGCGAAAGCCAGCGTAGTTGAAAGGCCTGGCAACTTGGGATGCCGTGAAAAACATCATTTTAGCTCTTCTTGATGTTCAAATCTTTGGTCCTAGAATTGGATGATGGGAAAATTTTAACCGGAAACCCCATCAAATTAGATGGTAAAAACCCATGGGTTTCCGGCTTCGATTTTCCCACCAATCCATTGATTTGGTCGTGACTGATTGAAACTCGACTTCCGAGGCAAGAGGGGAAGAAGTTCTACGAGAGCATGTGCGAACGGAACAGATGGGTCATGTGTCCCATTTTTTGGGCCCCAAAGCAGGATGAGGATCTCAAGTAACATCAAGTAACAGGGAAAAAAGTCTTGCCTGTAGTGGAATTCAACCCCATACTTGAAAGGTACATGATCTACCATGTCTCAGGTACATTGTTGTCCATGTAACTGTTCTGGCTCTAGAGCTCGACCTAGGTAAACACAAGACTTCGTCACAAGCGGACAGAGGAAAACAGACATTTGCGGAAACATAACTTCTTTGTCACTTTAGTTCCTCTATTTTTCGAGTTGGTAGCGGAGCCGGGAACCCCGGCAGTAACCCCCATTTAAGGTATCTGCTATACCCTAAGGGTCGACTCGACTGTTTTCATTTTCTTTTCATCCTTACTCCATTGATTGTCATCATGTTCACCGCCGTGCTGAAGTTGTGTGCCGTGTTAGTAGTGGCACTGGTGGGGTCTGTCTCAGCCAGTACTGGGCTGGTGATCAAGAGTCGCAATACCAGCGCTCTTGTGATCCAGTCCAGTGCGGTTGGGGCAGGCTCGATCAGTGTCACTACACACTGGTATGCAGCGAGCAATGGTCGCAAAGCCCCAGTACAGGCCAGGCCCGAAGGCGAGTACAAGCCCAGTCTGGTGAATGGGGATCAGTGGAGGCAGGAGCTGAATTCGGCCCTGGTGCGGCTGCACCACTCAAGGTGGAAGTTCAAAACGAACCCTCGGGATCAGCGTAGGGCAGAGCTTTTGCGTAGGCGGCTCAGACGGCAGCAGAGATTAGTGTTTGAAAGAATGCTAAACATGTACGACTCTAAGCTGAAACATCTGAAGTCTCGTCACAAGGAACTCTGTGAGCTGATCTATGGGAAAGATGCAGCCATTAGATCCAGGAACCATTGCATGACCGGATCCAAAGCAGGCAATCGGAAGGTGAAGTCTCCTGAAGCCCATGTCAATTCGGGTTCGATGACCGCTGGTCACCGTGATGGTAGATCGCTCTCGGATTCGACACTATTGCTAGCCGCTGGAGGCGGTCTTAGCACATGTGCATTAGTGGCTTGCATGGTGCCAGGAAGGAGTAACCATCCAAGATTGCCCCCCGCATGGAGCCCAGAAATGGAGCATCAGTATAGCTTCAGTACTTGGTCTAGGGACATCTTGATTTGGAGCATTGCTACCGATGGGGATGCATCTCGAAAGGCGGCTAGTGTGATTTCTCAACTGCAGGGATCAGCCAGGGAATTCAGCAGAACACTTCCGCCGCAGACCATTCTGACAGGGGGGACCGTAAATGGTACCCAAACCGACCCACTAACGTTTTTGATGTATCAACTTAGCACCCGATTTGCCAGGCTCGGTGAGGAAGTCCGGCTAGGGGCAGTAGGAGATCTGTTGTCATTTGGAAGGGAATCCAATGAAAGGATCGACATGCTGCTGACTAGGTTTGATACTACCCGCATGCGTGCGGCAGAGACAGGTGGGCTCGCCCTGAGCTATGCTGGTCTTTCTTGGTTGCTGATCCGTGCCGTAGGTGTCTCGGATTCTCAATTGATCCAACTTCTACAGCCACTCGGTGGTGCTCTCCCTGCTGATGAGCAGCAATTCACAGGGTTGAAAGACTCCATCAGACGTATGGGTAGGATCATTGAAAATGCACCAGGAAATATGTCCAACATGTTGCGGGGTAGACAACATCCAACACACAATTACCATATTCAGGACGAGCACTCATGGAATGAAAACGTATTCACATCTCAGAATGACCAACCCAGTAGTTCATGGCATGACCAGAGTTCTTGGCAATCCCAATGGCATTCATCCGAAGCATACCCCACTTATACACAGCCGCAAGATCCATACGTGTATTTGTCAGAGGGTCAGGGTGACAGTGGCACAGACACTGACACCAGCAGCGACTATGGCGAAGAAGCCTGGCCAGCTGCTGAGGGTGCCACGGCCAATGAGCAGGCTGCCGAGCTCTACTGGGCCTACTCTCGTGCTAAGGCACGTTGGAGGTCATTCATGGGCAAGCCGACCCGAAAAGCTCGGAGGTTTGCCCGCAGAGCCATCTACAAAGGTGGAAAGGGTGGTAAATCGAAACTTTGGGAAGAATCCGAATGGCAAGAAGTATTAAAATTGCCTACTACTGTCAGTATCGTGATTCACCAATGTATGACAGGCCAAAAGGGCCCTGATGGAGGACCAGCTAAGAAACCCACGAGATTCATCGCCAATCATAGGACTCTCTTAGAACCATTGACCAAGTATGTTTGTGATGGAAGTCATGAACATGAATTACTCGAAGGAGGGAAAGCTAGCCATTGTAAACTGTGGACATGGAAGCTAGCTACATCTATAGTAGACGGAATAACCAACCTTCGAGAACTGGTCAACTCCAGAGAGTATGCCTATCCAACTATCGGCACGAGCACTGATGCATCCGAGCCAAGCAGTGAACCCGCTGAAGATCCAGATAAGAGACCAGCAGTTTGTCCAGGATGCAAAGGACATCTAAATAGGAATGATCCACGGCACACTCGTGACCCTGACACATGTAAATATCCTTTAGATGCCCCCGTAATATGGACATGCCCTGGATGTAAGAAAATGAAACCTGCTGGTGACAGTTCACATACTTATGCCCAAGGTGAGTGCAAACACATGACCATAGCTCACCGTAAGGGCATTCATCGAAAAGGCCACCATCCCAGAGAACCAGCCAAGCGGGCCGATGAACTTCCGGTTCAAGACTCTCAGGCCCAACTGCCTGATGGAACCGATTTGGGAGCCGGTGAAGGAGCTGCCAGTAGTTCAGCCGTAGGGGCAGCACCTCCAGTAGAAGATAGGATTGTCCCTTACAATCCAGATGACGGCGAACCCGCCGAGAGCAGGCTCCGAGGCCCTTATCGAAAGTTCCGGGATGCGGCCGCAGGCAGTGAACATCCATCTGACTGGTCTAGATTTGATGTCACTCATAGTCTCAAAGACCTGAGAAGTAGTCATGAACCAACAATTATTCGAACACTCAGGAAGCTGCATTTAAGATGGTGGCATGCAGGACCCACCAACATGACTAGCGTTTTAAGAAATGCAGGCATACTTGAAGAAGTCATAAGCTACATTCCTGACATCATTTCAACCTGCCGTGAATGCCGCAAATGGGCACCAAAAGCCAAAGATACTCAACCCTCTGTTTCTTTGGCCATGAACTTTAACGAAGTAGTAGAAACCGATTTGATGTTCTATCGAGAATTTGTTGTACATCACTTTATTTGCAGAGCGACAAGATGGCATGTTGCGGTGGAAACTCCTAACAAAACAGAAGACCAATTAATCACGAACTTCCACACAGCATGGGTATCCATCTTTGGCCCACCTCGACAGCTTGTCACCGACAGTGAAGCTGGTTTGACTTCATCCAGCGCTGAAGCAAGATTGAAGCGTATGGGTGTAGTCTTAAAGGTAAGAGGCAAGGACCAACACGCTCGGTACATCGAGAGGAGAGGAGCGATCTTAAGACATGCAATGCATGTGATGGAATCCCAAGCCATAAGAGAAGGTATTGACATCAACTTCCCATCATTACTTGCCAATAGCGTCTTTATGGGCAACGCACTAACACATGTAGGAGGAGTTACACCCTACCAGGTAGTGATGGGAAGACAGCCAGCTTGCCTTCTGCCAATCACTGACAACGCCGGCTTGGAAGAGAGAGTTGATGCTCGCATCCGCGAACTTGCATTGCAGTCTATGGTTTCAGCCACCAGTGCATCTCGTATCAAAAGAGCTTTGGGGTCCAAAACTGCCTTGTTGGGAGAAAACCGTTTTGCAAAAGGAGACTTGGTAGAGTTATACCGAACGCCCCCGAGCAAAGACATGAGTGGCTGGACCGGTCCATATGAAGTCGTAGAGTGTGTAGCCGCAGATGGCATTGTAGCTCTTAAAATAAATGGACAGACCAGACCATATCGCCTCCAAGATGTACGCCCAGCACAATACTATGCAACAGTTTCTCTTTATGGACACACCAATGCGGATATCTGTTTGAATGCCATGGAATACATCCATCAATTTTTGAATGAACTCCCTGATGGTCGTGTTGAAGTTTTTGGGTATGTAAATGACAGACTGACGAAAACCACCAAACGATGGCCCAAAATTTCAAAAGCACTAGAGTTCATCATAATCAATTCCCTCCAAATGGATGATGTCTGCACTGTAAGAATTGGACACAAGATCAAACAGTTGCAAGATCTGAACGACAGATACCGCAATGTGATTTTCAATTGGAACATGAACAACCCAGACGCAATGCTCACACATGTTGCTGACCATCCGAGACAAAACATCAACAAAATCTTTGGTCCACAGGAGTCCTTCGTCGCAACAATGCAGTGTTTTATGCTAGACAGAGATGTCGGAATGACACTTGATGATTTTGAGGAGAAAGTGCTGGACCGTCCGTCGGCTATGGCGCATCTCGATCGAGAGATCGAGGTGGGTCGTAGTGATGGGCGGCTCAGTACGATCGCCGAGGAATCTCAAGTTAGCATCGACTCCCCAGAGGTTGAAGCATTGTATATACAACACTTCGAAGGTGCTCCCAAAGAAATCCAAAGTGATCTCAAGGAGCTGTGCTGGGTAGTTCTCAACGAACCGGTAGATGAAGTAGCAGATGTGGAGATTAAAGATGATTGGTGTTACTTCTCAAGTCCAGATAACCACAATGATTGGGATTCAATACCACCAACAGTCAGTCCAGATTTCGACGAATATGATCACACTTTTGAATTTGATGAAAATGATGAACCATTTCTTGAAGTGCTGATCTCAGAAAGTATCACTGAATGCTTCCAAGACAGTCGCGATGTGTCTAAACCCAACACAATGAAAGTATTCCTTAATGCAGAAGCCAAGAAAGAAGTCATCGAGAGAGATACGGACTTGCTTACTGCTAAGGAGTTGATTGACCATCGTAAAGAAGTTGATGAAGCAACAGTTAAAGAGTACGAAACCTGGCATAAGTATAATTGTTTTGAACGGATCCCCAAAAAGAAGTGTAAGGTTCTGATCGACGCCAAGCTAGTCTCTAAGTGGAAATATGTAGACGGGAAGCGCATCATCAGGATGCGATTGGCCTTGCGAGGGTTCAAGGAACCGCAAACCGAAGATGAAGTGAACTTCTCGGCCACTGCGCAAAGAACATCCCAAAAGATTCTAGCTAGTGAAGCAGCCTGCCACAAAGATTGGAGTTTTGTCGCTGTGGACATAAGCAAAGCATTTCTTCAAGGGCTCACCTTTTCCGAGATGAATAAGTTGACCGGAGAGCCCGAGAAACACATAAGCTTTACTGTCCCGGCAGGAACAGCCAAACATCTCAGACGGATCCCAGGATATGAAGATTTTGATGAGCGAACGGAAGCTCTCAAGTGTCTAAAACCTGGCACTGGCTGTAGAGACGCTCCCAGAGCATTCAACTTGAGGCTAATCAACATCCTCAAGGAATTAGGGTTTCGAGCATCTCTATATGACCCCCAATTATTAATGCTACATAAGAAAGAAACCCTAGTCTTAGCTATAACCGTCCATGTAGATGACATCAAGATGGCAGGTCTGAAATCAGAAATAGATTCTTTGGTTAAAACTCTGGAACGACACTTTGGGAAATTGACGTATCAAGAAAGTGAATTTACAAACTGTGGTATTTGCCATAAAAGACTCCCAGATGGTACCATCACTCTTGATCAGACAGAATACCTTAGTGCATTGAAACCTATAAACCCAAAACACTACGCCAATCTCCAGAAGGACGCACCATGCCCCGAGCACCTCAGAGCGCTGTATTGGAGCTTGTTAGGAGCCGTTGCCTATTCCGCCCTAACACAGGCGTGGGTCTTAGTCTACATAATCTCCCTCCAACGTGTAACTCAGAACCCCACTGTTACACATGTCAAAAGACTGAATGCACTTACCCGAGAGCTTCAACGTCGTCCCCAGAAATTAGAGTATAGCTCAATGACTTGTAGCAGAGTTGTTGAGCTATATTCTGATTCAGCATTCTCTAGAGAAAATGACAAGGGATACGCTTTGAGAGGAGCAGTATACCTTCGAATGGGCACTGATGTGAGAGGAGTAAAGAGATGCCATTTGATTGAGGCCGTTTCTCAATCTCATAAGCTCGTGGTGCGCAGCACATTCGCCGCTGAGCTGTTGGCACTCACAGCATCCGTTGATCAAAGTTTTATAATTATAACTACCCTTCATGAAATATGTTTCGGACCCCTTAGCCCCCAATCCAGCATAAATTTAAGAGAAAATGGTGGTTACCTTATCGAACTTTATGTCTGGATAGACGCCAGGTCCGTTTTTAGTGCGGTGGAAAATGAAAATTTCAAATACCCAACGGAAAAGTCACTACTCTCTCATATCTCATGGATCAAACAGTTGACCACCTCGAGAATTATCAGCATTTTAGGTTGGGTCGACACACGCGACATGATAGCCGATGGAATGACCAAAGGTTCCATCGATCGGTCGCAACTAATTAGTGCAATGAAGGGGTACGTACGAAGACTACACCCCGCTGAATTCATGAAGGCCAGAGGGACACGTCCTCTGGCGAGCACAGATACTGAAGTTTGAGCTCGAGCCAGTTACAACATCTTACCAACTTACAGGAGAACACCCGACTTGAAAGGTACATGATCTACCATGCCTCAGGTACATTGTTGTCCATGTAACTGTTCTGGCTCTAGAGCTCGACCTAGGTAAACACAAGACTTCGTCACAAGCGGACAGAGGAAAACAGACATTTGCGGAAACATAACTTCTTTGTCACTTTAGTTCCTCTATTTTTCGAGTCCCATACGTTTCTTTTCTGGTTACTGTGGTGGCGAAACCCGTGGGTTCATGGAGTTACTCAAGTTTTGGGACACGCCCATATGGGGCGGTTCAGTTTTGGGGGATGGAGCATTTGGAACTTTCTACAGCGCGCCAGATCGCTCTTTTGGCAGACAGGATGTTGAAGTGATGAACTGCCCGAAAGCTGTATACATGATATATCATGATATGTTTCGTTGGTGTTGAACTGGAATCAAGACCAACAAAAACCGGTATTGGCAGCATCTGGCAGCATCTGGCAGCATGGTTGTTTTTCAAGGGCCATATTTGGATTCCACGCCTCGACCGAACGATGTGGAGTGCAATGGAGGTACTATCGGGAGGCCCTGCGCACATGCTATTTTGAGTTCACCTCCATGTTCGATCAGCTGCCTGGCTGCAGTCTCACCTTGATAGCGATGGATCCCAAGGGATGCTACACCATATATTATGATCAACCAGTGCTTGGGCGGCACTTGATGATCAAAACGGGTGGATTTTTGAATGTTCTTTTCAGTGATGCAACAATTTAAGCATCATCTGGGGAAGGTTGGAGAAGATTATTTTGCACATTTCCAATGGTTGTTGATCTCATTGGATTGGTTTAAGGGAAAATCTACAGGAAAGCCCTATATTTCATGGTAAAAACCATGGTTTCCTGTTGATTTTCCCATCAACCAATCCATTGATGATCATTTTCCCATGGGTTTGGGCAACGTTTCAATGGGCCATGGCTCGTCACACCCCGGTGGTGACGTAACGGTAACGCAACGAAAAAAGCGCAGGTACCGCGACATCTGCAAGGCGGCGGGAATAGCGCCGAACAAAGCCTTGACCCTGCGGTGCGCCAGGGGAGCCATTTGGCAAATCATGGTAGATATATCCTCTGGTTATGACTAGCATAGCCATGGAAAATCCCTTATAAATGGAGGTATTAATGGGAAAATCATCTATAAATGGAGGTATTAATGGGAAAATCCCTTATAAATGGAGGTATCTAGCTGGGAAAATCATCTATGAATGGGCCATCTATACCATGGCGAACTGTTAAATAACCAGATGCTAGCGGTAGCTAGCTGGAGTTACTCTTGCTTCAGCAAGGGGAGGGGCAGGTCTGAGTGAGCGGTGCTGCCTGAAGCCATTTTTCGTGGCAGCCGCAATATTCAGTGAACTTGAACGGTTTTCAACGTATTGACATGTGGTTATCTTAAAGTCTTAAATGATAATATCCTCACTTGTGGATATTCCATGTGGAAATCATGTTGCGTGGCAGGTGCAGTACTTCAGACGCCTCGGCTACATTCTTGTAGTGGCCCTCGCAGTTGTTTTTACAACCGAAACCGACAATTGTAACTTATAGTGGGGCTGTGGCGTCAATGTTCCCTCCGACGTCGAATTTTTGACTCTCGTTTGGCAGTGGTGCTCATTTTGATACAGCTTGCACAACCTTCCCGTCACTTTGTAATTTTGGATCGTTTTTGTTGTGCCGCCTTGCTCTCGCGGCTCTAAACCCTTCATGCGTTTTGGATCGCACTGCGCGGTGCGGCGGTGCTCATTGTGATATCACTCGCACAAGCTGCTCGCACAACCCGCTCGCGAGTTTGAGTGGTGTGGATCGCCTAAGGTCTAAGGTGTGACTGCTGGAGCTTTGTGAGAAGAGCTTGCTGAGATCCTGCTGAAATCCCCGGAAGATTCCTTCTATAAATCAAGATCTTGAAGATATCGCGTTAGCATTTGTGGCATGCTCTGAGGGGGTTCTTGTAGGAGGGGTTCTCCTTTAATCATTCCTGTATGAGGTCCTTGTGACAAGATCTTGCGAAGATCCTGGCGAACTAAATCCTCTACAAGGTCTTGGCGTCCTTGTGAGAAGATCTTGTGGAGATACTGGTGAAATCCTCCAAGAGGTCCTGGCATGAAGATCTTGAAGATGCCCTGTTAGAGGTGCTTGTACGAAAACTCTTGTGGGATGCTCCTAAGAGGTTCTGGTATTAAAGATCTTGTTCCTTCCTCTAGAAGGTCTAATGAGGATCTTCTGAGATTCTCGTCTGGGTCCTTGCATAAAAATGTGGTAGCGGTTCTTGTCAGGGTTTTTCCCCAAGCAGCGCGTCCACACTGAGGGGTTCAAGCGTAAAGACCGTTGCTTGATCAGGGTGCTCCATCTGCTCCCCAGCATTTTTCCTGTAAACTCTCGCGTAAAATGCTCTTGTGCGATGTCCATGCGCACTTCGACTGCGCAGGCTCGCACAAAGTCTGCGGCATGAGTTTTGCTAGCTCCTGGGGCGCGGCGTTTTCCGTGATAATTCTCGTATAAAATGGTTCTTGTCACATGTCCATGTGTATGTCGACTGCGCAGGGTCGCACAAAACAGGGGGCTAATTTCTGGGGCGCGGATTTTCCCTGAGAATTCTGGCATAAAATGCGTCTTGTGAGATGTCCATGTGCCTTTCGACCGCGCAGGCCCGCACAAAACGTGGGGCTAAGTTCTAGGGCGTGGCATTTTTCCCGAGAATTCTCGCGTAAAATGCTTCTTGTGAGATGTCCATGTGCCTTTCGACTGCGCAGGTTTGCGCAAAGTCTGCGCCGCGGGGGTCTCAAGCTCTGGGCCTGCAGCAGTTCCATTGTGAATTCTCGCATGAACGGGCTCTTGCGGAAGTCCTGCTAAATTCCTTCCTAGCAGGTCCTTGCATGATCCTGTACCGGCCCTCGACAGAAGATCTTGTGGAGATCCTGATGAAATCCTCTCTAAGAGGTCCTTGCATGAGGAGCTTGCAGATGCCATGTCTGAGAGGTGTTTGTATGAAAGCTCTTGTGTGAGGCTCTTGGCTTGTGGGAGGCTCTTGGGATCAAGATCTTGTAAGATCCGCTCCAGCACCATAGACGATCTTGTGAATTTCTCTTAGGGGTTCTGGCATGAAGATTTCGCTCAAGGTCCTTACAACTCCTTGTGCGAAGATTTTGTGAGATCCTAGTGAAATTCTGTCAGGGGCCTTTGCATGACCGCGTGCAGGTCCTAAATCCTCCCGGTGTCCTTACATGCTCTGGCACAGGTCCTTGTGAGAAGATCTCTGGAGATCCTGTTTAAATCCTCCTCAAGAGGTTCTTGCATTAAGATCCTGAAGATCCTCTGCGTTGGTGTCTGTATGAAAGATTTGAGCTCCTCTTATAGATCTACATAAAAGGTCCTCCGGCTGCAGTTGCGATTATGTCCAACCTCACCTGTTACTGTTTCATAGCTACTGGTGCTTGTATCGGGTACATTGACTTCCTCCCCCCCAAACTGTTTGGGATCTCTTGCCGGCGTACTTTAGCAGATGTTCGCCCCCACACTGTTTGAAGCCTCGTTCTAGGATAATTTATCAACAGTTTGTTCAAAAAAACGATGCGCCCGTAGTAACTCTCAAAGACGTGGCTCCAGATGATCAAGTCCGTAATGACCGAGAAATTGTCAAGTCCGTTTGACCAAAAATAAATTGAAGTATGGTTTTCCAGGAGCCTACAGACGGAGAACGCCGTTTTTTTTTTCAGCTAACGACTTGTTTCTCCATGTTGGGCAGGCCGAGAAAAAGATCATTGAAACACGGGGTACCATCCAAGTGCTTGCTTCGACCCCGGGTTTGCAATCGGTACCCAGCGGCACCAAATATGATATTGGATTGCGTTTGTCCTGACAGGACTTTAGGAGTTTCGGATGCTGTTTTATTGCGCATGGACTTCGTTGAAAACCTCCACAGCAGACCCATAAACACAAGGATGTAAAACCAAGAACAATTACAAACATGTGACTTCGCATGCGTCCGATACCTACCTGCTCTTAACACATTTCACCGTTTGGGCTTCAGGTTTAGCATCGTTCTTTCTTCCGGAATAAGGTTCAGGCGTTGAAACCTCCAATGCCTTGGCAACCCATAAAAATTCACCATTTCCATTTCGTTTTTCACATGCTTTAGAGATCCTTGAAGCACCCCAATTCGGTTTGTATTTCTTGGATTTTGTAAGATTTTGTTGGGTTGGCTGGTTTTAGTGCTGCACAAAAAATTATGTCGAGCTGCCGGCAGCTGACTCGGATGACGACTCAGAGGGGACCATCGAAATTTGAGATTTCATCCCCAGGGATGGTATTCCATTCCTGGCCTTACCCACCTTGAGGATCTTTGAGGTGGTGGTTCAGAGGTATCCTCTAGAGCCACATTTATGTCACATTTATGGTCAGTGGATATCAATAGTCTGGGATTGTTTTCTTCCGGATTCATTGATGCGTTTGTTCTGTTTTTTTTTAGGCAATTTGACAGATACTGACCTATCTATGACTCTGGGCTCGATTGTCTCTGGGGTTCCGTTGGTAAAGAGTCAAAGAGTTTGAATTTGACGCAGTTCATGCTGTCATGCTCTTTGACCATTGACCATGATGGCCATGGTATCGCCATGACCAATGTTTCGCCCAATTTTCGCGCATGTGCCGCGGGCACAATGAGCAACGGACATCCTTGCGTTAGATTTGAAAGGGTCCAAGTCTTGCGGTCCGGCCAACAAGCCTGTGATGGGGAAGGAATAGAACTAGTGTATCAAGCGTGAGAGCCAACAGTGTAACAGGTCACGCATTTTCGTTGATGATCTATGATGATCTTTCATGTTGTCGTGCTATCACGTGCTATCTTGTATTTCTATCACGGGTCCCTTGCAACTTGAACTTTTGAATTTGACGTGTTTGCGCGGGAGAGTATCTACCCGTGGGACACGGCTTTTCCTTTTCCAGTATCATGCCAGTTTCAAACTGTGACATCTTGGCAGAGGTCACGAAGTGATGTTGCTGAGCTGTTCATAGAAGTTGGTGTTAAGGGCGGCTGCAGGTCTGACCAACAGTCCAGCAGTGTCACTCGCGATGAGGTTTTCCATTTCCGAGAAAAATGCACCACCATGCGTAGCACCGAGATCCACAGGCAGCCACTGCCAACTGGCAGGTACTTGGAATGGCAGATGATCATTCTGTCTCCCATTTGTGTTGATCTCAGGGGCGCCGAAATCGGTGGAATTTTCCTTGGTAGATCATGGCGAGCAAATGCCCAGAATGGAGTGGTGCCGAAGGGGTGCTGGGCCTTGAAAGTTGGGTTTTTGGGATTTACACTTCAACTGAACATACACTATAAACCATTATAAACCATCAAAATGTGTCTCCAGAGAGACTTTGGAGTGGCCCAACATCTCTTCAACAATGGTTTCAGATGCCAACACTTCTGCGAGCCGAGGTCCACACTTCTGCGAGCATGGTTGGTCGATCCTGGGCAAGCCTGGTTCCGTGCTGGACTCCAGGCTCCGGTGGATCTTGTATCGAGGAAGAAAGTGCCATAACTTTGATCGCACACTGGCGATTTTGGAGATCATTGTTTTTGGAGATTCACGTTGACAACCCGATGTTGTGGCGACAATGATTTAGTTCCATACTTGTACGCATCTTTTGTTTAAAGTTGGGATTTTCAAAAGTGGTTGTGATTCCAGGGTGGTCACAAATTTCTGCTGCAGTCCTTCTAAACTGGTAGTTCTAAACATATTATGATGGCCCATCATTTTCTGAGATTTTGATGCAACCCGTGCCGAATTTCGGATGGAAGCATGTTGAAACCGGCTTTACTGCATGTCCTGGCAGTCCAGAATGTCTCCACAGGTTTCCTTCGCCAACAAAGCCAGTGGAGATCTCCCTCACGAAGCAAGGCGACTACATGTTCAACAAGGTGCCGGGCCTTGGCGACCCGTTGGGCGTAGCGGTAGCTGCTAGTGGCTTGGGAACTGGTTACCCAGTGGCAATCGCCAGGTGCCGCATGACTTTATTAAATTGCCGGGAAGCCCAGCCGAACCTCCCCGTGAAGCGAAAACTGGTCACCTTTATGAACCTTGTTGGAAACCCTCCTTGCCGGAAACCCTCCAAAAGAAATACAAAACCCGATCCCCGTTGGAATATCTAGTAGTGAATTATGCTGAACCACTTCGATTTGGGGGTTTCATGGGGTTACCTTTTTCCCAGGGGTCACTTCCGAGGTTAGAGAAGGCTTCCAAGGGCGGAACTGCCAAATCTGCGGTGGTCTACGTGGCGAAGGTCCGGTTTGCACCAGATTTAGCGCAAAGTGGATGGCAGCTTCAGGTGGTGTTTGGAGTAACAAATAGATAGATATATGTTTATTCAACATGAAATTGCATTTTAAGATATTTTAAGTATTCTTTCCATCAAATTGAGCATCATGATGCCCAGAATCCATGTGTTCTCAGCTTGGATCGCAACATCGTGGCTGGCCCGGCATGTTGCAGGAATATCCGGATTGGAAGAAGCATCTTGGAAAGCAGTGAAGCGTTCTGTCACATGAGGTCTGCCGTTTTTAGGGCTGGCTCCAAACCCCATCCACGGAGAACTCAACTTTTGGACGATTGAAGGTCACCAGTCATTGGTTTAAACTTTAAGCCCAGCTGGAACATGGTTGAAAAAAGTGGTAAATAGCAGTGGGCAGCCAGCAAAATCAACAATCATCATTACACGCCCAGACACCTCATTTCGCCCATCATTACTTTTAGTTTTATGAGGTTTTAGGGTTTAAGAATTAGGGTTCGAGGGTTTAGGTGTTTAGACGTTGCGGTTTTCTCTCAATTTTCCATGGGTTTCAAGGTTTAGTGTTTTGGATTTAGGGTTTTACGGTTCAGGATGACTTGTGAAATGAGGCACAGGTCCCCTACCTGAGCTTTTCAGGAATGCAAGAACGACCCACTATGTGCAATGTTTTGAGAGTCTGTCGGGCAAAGTGAGGAATTTGCCCGTAGTTACTGTATACAATATCAATTCAAGAGTGGACTCAAAAAATATAGGTAGAACAGGCCAACTACTCATTCCTACAGGGTCTGTTGGGAATTTCAACTATCTTGTATTTTCTCGTATATCTACGATGATGATCCCATGATTATATACTCGAATTGGAGGAAAAGACACCTGCAGGAAGTCCCTATACTGGCACGGACAACCCTGGTTTCTTGCAAGAGAAACCCTCGAACTAATCCAATGAGAATTATTTCGATAGCTGATGATGATTGGGTTTATGGCTACTATTATTGTCGCATATTCATAATTTATATTATTATTGTTCTTCTTCTTCTTCTTCTTACTTCTTCTTTTTTCTTCTTTTTTTTCTTCTTCTTCTTCTTCTTACTTTTTTTTCTTCTTCTTCTTCTTCTTCTTACTTCTTCTTATAGCTATATGTATATATATATATATATTGTGATTTCTATCATTATTATCATCATTGGTGGTTCTGCTGGTGGTTGTCGTCACCTCCGCCGCCCTTGTGGAACCAACTCGCTGAGGACAGTCTTGGCGAAGCTCAGGAAGTTCCACGGCGAGAAGAAGCTGCCCCTGGTTGCCCAGGTGATGGGTTGATGTTACCCTCTGGTAAACTAACATAACTATTGAAAATGGCCATTTATAGTGGATTTTCCCATTAACAATTGTGATTTTCCATAGCTATGTTAAATTACCAGAGGGTATCATCCTGTGGGGAAACATGGGGAAACCCTGGGCATCAAAATCATCAAACATGAAGCCAGGAGATATGGCAGATACGGTGAATTTACAAAGTTAAGTTGGGCTAAACAGTTTTTTTCCAACTGGTGATGGGTACTTGAATACTTGAGTTCTTGGCTTGAAATGGGAATGTGCACAAATCGGCAAGAAACACGAATTTCTTTCAGAGTGTCTAAGATTGGGGACCTTTTACATCTCGACATGGAAAAATCTGTTCTGTTCATTCTTCGTATTCTTGGGGTGGGGCAACCATATGAGGTTGAAGCGAATGACACGTGGGAAGGATTCTGGGTGCGTTTGGGTGGGCGGGGCCTGGTTATCTTTCGTTCAGGAAGACATGAAGGACAACCCAGAGGCAGCGCAGCAGTGGAAGAACATCATGACCGACCTGATGCAGGACTGAAAGATCATGAGTGTGGTAACTCAGCGGTGAGTTCAGCCGGACCATGGGTTTTGTTGGTGATTCTGCAGGATGCCTCCCTGAAGCCTTTCGGGAAGCACTTGGGGCCCTTTGCTGCTTTCAAGCGCGACGAGGCGGAAATTTCAGGTGTCCCTTTTTCATCCAAAATCCGGTGGGTGCAAGATATTGCCACCCAATGCATCACCGGTGTGATCTTCATTCTTTTCATTAATTCACAGAGTTGGTGAACCTCCCACTTTTCCTTGAGTCTCAGAATTGAAGGGAACATCTGCTAGAAATTCATATGGTGGGGATATTACAACCATATGGAACCCATACATTGAGCCATATAGTAACACGTAGAACCCATACAACCCATATAAAACACATATAATATCACAGTAGAAAAGTGGAATACACCACCCTATTTCAAGAATCTGTAGCCACCCACTGCTCTGCGCACAATCTGGTGGAGACCGCCCATTAGAATGTCTGCTTTTGAGGTGGAAATTCAGCTATAACACCCGCACAATTAGACCCATATAATGTGATAAAACCAACAATCAGCAATCCCCAATCATCAGAAACGGATGGGTATGAATCATCACACATTTGGGGCTTATTACTAGGTTTACCACATGCACGACCTATAATGATATGTATATAAGAAGTACATACTTACTATAGGTGGCCCCCCTATATTTATTTATTTATTTATTTATTAATTTATACATTATATAGTAATTATATATAAATAAGTTCGTTTATACACCACATTAACTGTTACAATCGTTGCATGGACATAAACCCTAGATATTGCAGTTAAACACCAACGCTATTCCACCTTGTAGATCATTACAGCTCATAAATATACATCAAATACAAGGTGGGGCATTGAAACCCATAATTATTTGACCTTCCGGAAATCCATCATGTTGCAGTACAGATACATAGTCGTCCTGGAGAAGATAGAATATGGACATCTCAAAAGACCCCACTAGGATGGGAATAGCTGTGAAAACTCAATACTCTATCTACTTCGGGATGACTATATATATATATACATACATACACATACACGTATATATCACGTCACCATCTGAAAAGATCATTGACCAATAGAAACATTTCAGGTCCATCAACCATCATGATGTTTTATGTGGCCACATAAGTTCACATGATAGTTTATCATTAATATCAAATATGTAATAATAATCTCAAATAACTATGATTTATAACTAACATCATATATACAACATAGTGCCAATAATGTCAATGTAATGATGCGGTGTTATTAATCATGTTGGTATATATTTATATATGTATAATATCATGAAATATTTTTCAGTTATAAAGTGTGTTAACAGTTAACACATATCAAACATCAACATGATATACCGATATACCATTATGTTGACATGATATATACCATTATATCACCACATATGCCACATATTTACATGATCTAATTAACTTAATTGGGCCGATATAAATTCTGGTTGATTATTAATTAAACTGTTTATAATCAACATCAACCATCATGACATAACATTGATGCATCTGTGAGGTTTGTAAAATACCATTGTTGATCAACTAGTCTGTAATATAATTCCATATTTGACATCAACCATTATATATTCCATTATCACCAATCAACATTTACACTAGTGGTTATGGATTGATAATAATGCTGATGAATAAAATATGTTATATACCATTCTCACTATATAATTGGAGTATGATATATCAGACATTGGTATATGCTGCTGTATTGGTATAATCATATGTTTACAATAATTTTGGAATATGATATACCATCTGGTTATTTAACATAGCCATGGAAAATCACCATTTTTAATAGGTAAACCATCTATAAATGGGCCATTTCCCATGGCTATGTTAAATAACCAGAGGGTATCAGATATAGGATATACCAATCATTATCGAAGGAAGTTTGGAAGTCAAACTTCCGACAATATGGAGAGATGAAAAAGCAGTCAGCAGGGAGAAGAGTCAGAAGAGAAAAGATCAGAAGAAAGAAGATGCAGGTGCGCGAAAAGGTAGGAAAGTCGCGAAACACTGTGTTTTTTCGTGGTTTTGTGGCTCCGGAGGGTTGAAAAGTAGGCTCGCTAAAGCGGCGGGTGCGGAGACATCTGGGGAGATGAGAGATGAAAAGTTGCACGCCGTTGTGGCGCGAAGCACATTTGGAAGTAAAATGTGTTGAAAACTGAGGGGTTCGGACCACTTTTGGAAGTTGAGATGTTGAAAAAGTGCACGCCGTTCTGGCGCGAAGCACATTTCGAAGTCAAAATGCACAAAACACACCAGCTTCGGACCACTTTTGGAAGTTGAGATGTCGAAAAAGTGCACGCCGTTGTGGCGCGAAGCACATTTCGAAGTCAAAATGTACAAAGCACCACATGTTCGCGCCACGTTTGGAGGTTCAGATCTCGAAAAAGTGCACGCCGTTGTGGCGCGAAGAACATTTCGAAGTCAAAATGTACAAAACACACCAGCTTCGGACCACTTCTGGAAGTTGAGATGTCGAAAAAGTGCACGCCGTTGTGGCGCGAAGAACATTTCGAAGTCAAAATGTACAAAGCACCACATGTTCGCGCCACTTTTGGAGGTTCAGATCTCGAAAAAGTGCACGCCGTTGTGGCGCGAAGCACATTTCGAAGTCAAAATGTACAAAGCACAAGGGGTTCGGACCACTTTTGGAGGTTCAGATGTCGCTTCGCTTCGCTTCGGGTCATTACACACACACTATACACTCCACTACACTACAGTACTTTACACTACACTACACTCCACAACACTACAACTACAACTACAGAACTACACAACTACACTCCACTACACTCCACTACATTAAATTACAATACACTACGCCACATTACACTACACTCCACTACACTACACTACATTTCACTACACTATACACTCCGCTGCACTACACTACACTACATTACACTACACTATACACTCCACACACCACAGTACATTACACTACACTACACTCCACAACACTACAACTACAACTACAGAACTACACCACTACACTCCACTCCACTCCACTACACTCCACTACACACCGCTACACTAAATTACACTACACTACATTACACTACACTAGAAAAATCGATAGATAGATAGATAGATACATGGAAAATAGATAGGTAGGTAGGTAGATAGTCAGAGAAAGAGAGAGAAAGAGTGAGAGAGATCAAGCACCTTTCAGTCCATCAGTGGCTTCGCTCTGCCAGCCCGGATTCACAACAACCAAGCTCTCCTATAGGTTTCCTATTTTTGAAACTTCCGCCACCGCCTTGTGCGGTACTACTGGTATAATTGGGTACCCAGAACTGGTTGACTGGTTGATGTTGACGGTCGGAAAAAAAAGGCCGTGGCCTCTGGTGCAAGTGCCCTGGATGCCTCCCTGCCCTTCGACGAGTTTGCCTTGGTCACGGAGAACGTGCCACGGCGCGAATGGCGGATGGCGTTTGACCGGTTTCGGATCAGCGGGGAGTGGAGAAAATGCTCGGAAAACGAGGGGAAAATGAGGAAAACATGGCAAACACATGTGAAAACCATGAAAAAACCACGATTTTGGAGTTGACACAGACTTTTATTTTCGGATAAGGGGTCAAAACGACGAAGATTTTGTGCAGAAAAAAAGATTTGGGGAAGCAATAGTCGTTTATTTTTAATCTTTTTGAATCAACAGATTTGGGGATTTGAAGTAACTGAAAATGGGTAGTTAAACCAAGATTGGATTGGGCTTTAAATGGTTTGGACCAATCGACAATAGGGATTTGTTCAGCAGCAATTCTACGCTCTAAGCCACGAAAGTGATGACACAACCATAGAAAGGCAGCATTTTTCGCGCTGCATTTCCACATCTTTTCACCGAGGTCGCATACCTCAAACAGAAGCTGCAGGTCCTTGCGCTGAGTCCACCAAAAAGGGTCCGCCAAAAATTGCATATTTGAAGGATAAGCAGCCTCCAATTGAATTTTTGAAACCGATGGGTAGTTGGGGTATGCAACATTTTACTCGCTCGTTCTCACCCTAATTACCTGATTTGATGCGCAATTTTGTTCCGATCGAAGTGCCATGCGAGAGGCATTTGTGGCAGACTCATAGCTACCCTTGAGACTGATTTGGACATTTTGGAAGGTAAACGCAACATTTTGAGTTGGTTTTCTTATGCTTTCTGGGCAGGAAGCGGTTGGAGCTGGATCAAAAGGATCAATTCCGTAAATTTGATGCGTACAATTTTGATCAATTTTGTTCTTTTGAGCTATATAGCCTAAGTTGAAGCACCATGTGACTAGGATAGAACACCTATGACCCTAGTTGAGCATACTTACAATCCCATTCACAACTGAGTCATTGGGTCATTTGACTCTGGCACCTTGGTTTTGACACCAAAACAGCTGGTGTAGCTGGATGTTCACGGATCCCAAACTGGTAGATGTGGCTTTCCTCCAGGCAGATGTGGAAGTGCGAACCGCCGATTCGTTGGCCAGCCCAGACCACAAGGACACGACTGGGGATGCACCAAAACCATCCAAAACCTGGGCAGTTTGGTAGACTCCTTGGCAACACCCAAGCTCTTTAGGGTTTCTGAAACCACCGGATGGGGTGCCAGGGTGAAGATAGGAAGGTCATCAATTACCACCGGAGGCGGCTCAGTGGATTCAGAAGAGCATCTCCAAATCTGAAACAAAACCCAAAGACGAATATGAGACCCCTCACAGTGAGGATTTTTGCCACTGAGTTACCAGTTGGTGGTTGAATTTCTTTTGTAAACCCATCCTGACGAATAGAGTTTGCAGGATGCCGCAGCGAATGCGCAGTCGGGGGCTGAGCCAATGCTAAGTCATACGCTGGAAAAGGTGCACTGTTAAAGTCTTAATCAAGTAAACTCGGTGAAAAGAGAGAGAGAGAGATAGAGAGAGAGAGAGAGATAGAGAGAGAGAGAGATACACACACCCACACGCACACATAATTATATATAATATACATGACGCGCGCACACACACATATATATATATATACATATATTTATATACACATTTGTATGGAAATCATGCATATATATATATACACCATTCATATTCATATTCATATTCATAATCATAATCATATTCATATTCATCATCATCATTATCATCATCATCATCATCATCATCATCCTCATCCTCATCATCCTCATCCTCATCCTCATCCTCATCCTCATCCTCATCCTCATCCTCATCATCCTCATCCTCATCATCATCCTCATCTTCATCCTATATATATATAAACATAGATACGAGTATCTTTGATAGTGGTGTGTATATTAAACGGGTGGAGTGCTCAGCCATCGTCCAGTCCGGTCGAAGTCCCGATTCAAGGCCTGGTAAGCCAGGCATTTTCTTCGTCACGGAGCAAGGTGGAAGTCGATGGGGAGGGAGCCACGAAAGATTTGAAGATGATAGGCATGTTTCTTTATTTGCATATGTGGATATATATATATATAAAATTATATATATATATATATATGTACAATTATGCATATATGTGTATATTTATACATAGACTTGTAGAGATACATGCTTGTATTTGTGTGAATATGTACATTTGCTCATCCAACATGAAAATGGGTCATACAAGAAGCAGCAGCGGTGACACGTAAGAAAATCAAGAACAGTGGTAGTAGTGAGGAACAACCAAGTAGCGGAAGAAATGAGCAACAAGAGTGGAGATGGTTACTGTCAATTATTGCACAGACATGGGTTTGTTTGAAAACAGGGAACCCCCAAAATCTCATCATAATCTTTGATCATCATTTTTCCATATAGTCATGTTATTCTGGTGGTATTCCCGTTTTTTTTCTCCCTATAATTCCATTCCCCTAGTATTAGACACACTCTAAATGGCTCTCAAGATATCTAAATCCTCTACTAAACCATGGGTTCTATGGAGGGGAATACTAAGGGGAAGAGATGATTGGTGATACATATCATGAATATTAATAGTTATTATTGATATTAGTAATTAAATAAATATAAATATTAAACCTATTAATATTAATATTCCTTGTCATATTCATATTAATATTAATATCTATTTATACACCATAGGTGCCTAGGTCACTAGTGACTATCTCCTTCAACGAGCCTTGACAGGTGCCAAAGGTGGTGGAGGTGGCAAGGCCAAAGCAGCTGCCAAAGCGGTGCCCTGGCCCCAATCCGCAGCACCTGAAAAAATCACATGAAAAAGTAACAATATGTACATAACATAATTTGTATGTAATAATATGTTATGTATGATAATATTCTATATTGTTATGTTATGTATGTCATATAATATCATATTTATGTACATTATGCATGTTATGTTATGTAATAATATGTACATAACATACATACATACGGTGGGTGGAAGAAATCCTGCACCAGTTGACAGGTGGTTTATCCCATCATTTATAGGGTTTCAACCATCCAAGGTGGTGCAGGATTTCTTCCATCCACAGTACATAATCATACATGCATAACATGCATATATATATATATATACATATACATATACATATCCATACATATATGCATGCATGCATCCATCCATCCATCCATCAATACATACATACCTACCTACCTACATACATACATAAATACACACATACATAAATACATACAGACATACAGACATACAGACATACAATACAATACAATACAATGCAACACAACACAACACAATACAATACAATACAATACAACATATAGAACACGTAGAACACATAGAACACATAGAACACATAGAACACATACAACACATACAACACATGCAACACATACAATACATACAACACATACATCACATAGAACACATAGAACACATACAACACATACAACACATACAACACATACAACACATACAACACATACAACACATACAATACATACAATACATACAATACACACAGACTACACACGCTACACACACTACACACACTACATGTACATACACTACATACACTACATACAACACATACACCACATACAACACATACAACACATACAACACATACAACACATACAACACATACAACACATACAACACATACGGTACATACGATACATACGATACACACGATACATACAATACATACAATACATACAATATATACAATGCATACAATACACACAATACATAGAATACATACACTACATACACTACATACAGCACATACACCACATACACCACATACAACACATACAACACATGCAACACATGCAACACATGCAACACATACAATACATACAATACATACAATACATACAATACATAGAATACATAGAATACATAGAATACATAGAATACATAGAATACATAGAATACATACAGTACATACAATACATACAATACATACAATACATACAATACATACAATACATACATACAATACATACAATACATACATATATACAATACATACAATACATACAATACATACATACAATACATACATACAATACATACATCAATACATACATCAATACATCAATACATACATACATACATACATACATACATACAGACAGACAGACAGACAGACATTACACATTACACATTACACATTACACATTACACATTACACATTACACATTACACATTACAATACATAGATAGATAGATAGATAGATAGATAGATGGATGATATAGTATATGTATAGATTAGATATAGCTGCCAATCTGCAGGATCAACGAAAATTGAAGATGTGTCAACCAAACTGGTTGTTTTTGGGAGTGGGGGAGGCATAGTCAGTCAAGTTTTGCATAGCATTTTTTAGAATTAACATTTTTTGGAGGTCAATTAAATCAGGTCTAAAAGATGGTTGAGTCTCAGCTTCAAGACGCAGGCCACATGATGTGAAACCCAGGCGGGTGAGTTTCATTTACATCAACATATACATCTACATCAACATACATGTACATATATGAAGGCGATGGAGAGAGAGAGAAAGAGGGAGAGAGAGAGAGGGATACATACATACATCATCACATAGTTATGTGCATGGTCAGGAGTAAATCCTCCCAATTGATTTGGGTTGCTATTCACATCCCAGTAGAACACATTCTGTTCATTTTTGGTTCCACAGTGGTCCAACTTTGGTTTACAATTTCATGGGGTTGAACCTAGGTGATTCGAGAGGAAGCATCACTATAAGTCAGTCGATCATGGGAATCTCGACCTTAAGAAACCAGTAGAACTATGGAACTTATACTGTAACTTATCATGACCTGTTGTTTTTGTGCCAAAGTTCTGAGGATTCCAAGCCCGCCAAGACCAATGGAACGGCTCCAAACGGAAGCTCCGAGAAGGTGGCTTGATAATAGTCCTGGAAAGGGTGCCAATGCGAAAATTCATCTGTGATCCAGTATGATCCAGCTATCAATGGAACAATGAATATATATATATATGGTCATATATGGTATACATCCAGCTGGGGGCCTTGTCAACAAAACACATGTCAGAGATGGACTCGAGGTCTCCACCATCACAGATGTGAAGAAGCTCAATGAGCACCTGAGTACCAGGACAGGGCATATCGCTGGGGCTATGATTGCTGGGCCAGGTGCTACTGTTGGCATTTCTGTAGGAAATGTGCTGGGAAAGCATCACAGCTGAACGCAGTCAGTGGGATTTTGGACGGTTGAAAATGAGGATGTTTCAGAAGTTTCGGTGCGTTTTTGTGTGTTTTCGTGTGTTTCAATATCAGCTGCTAATCTTCAGTGTTCGATTCTGCCGAGGGCGAGGGATTCCAAGGGTCAAAACTGGGGATTTCCAAAACTGGGGCCAAGTCCTTCCACCGACATCACCGTCGCACGTCTTTGGTTCAGCCGCGGCGGTGGGTGCCATGAAGGCAGTGCTGGCGCTCATCCTTGCCGTGGGTTTCACGCTGCGATGTGCAGCCCAAAGCATTCTAGCGTACAAAGAGAAGGTCTCGGAAAGCCGGATCATCGTGCAGCTTGATGTGAATGAGAGATGATGGGAGTGGTGAAATAGGTGGTTCAAGAGACTACATCTCATGGGTTTGTGATGGTTTATGACTTTGCGCTATTACAGAATCCCTGTGATACGTCAATAAACTTGGGATAATGGGTAGCCAAGAAATAGCTCTGAAATCAGTGTCTCAAGCCCCAGTATGCCATTTTAGTTGGGTTGATTGAAGGGAACACCGACTTTGTCACCAAACCGAACCGTTGGCTTACATCTAAAAAGTAGGGTGCCCCAAGAATTTGATAGTTTGAACATTGACACTTCAGTTCCCATTTTTTTTATGACCGGAACTTGGCAGTACAAGCTAAAAATTCCAAAATTTGGAGAAACCAGCATCACCCAAGGAGATAGCCCCAGTGTTTGATTTGTTTGAATGATTCATTTTTTATAACTCGATATCCCAACATTCACAATTTTTGGGCGTCATCAGTCAGAGGAGATATCCCCGTTCCACTGGTAACGATGATATCTCAACAAAACTAAAGATTTTTCAATAGACGGTAGTTATTCCTGATCCATCTTTGACCCCCACATCAGCCAGGGAGATACCCCGCCATTTATACCTCATTTCCCTCATTCTCGATCCAAGGGATGAGGCAATCATGGGAAAACATGGGGAAACATGAAAGAAAAACAATCCATCTTGGACTCCCAGTTAATCCCACCCCCCTAATATTGAACACCCCATAAATGGTTCCAATTATGTGGATTTTCCCTACTAAACCATGGTTTCTAAGGGGGTGTTTAATATTAGGGGGATGGGATTATACAGTTATACACCCATTATTGGCCGTTATATGCCGTTATGAACTACTGTGATTAACCATGATCACCTTGATTCCCCACATCAGCCATCAGTAACCATACCATGAACCACACCATGAAGCATGCTAAGGATATGGATCATATCCCCAACTAAGATCAACTAAGGAGATATCCCCAGTGTTTCACTGATGTACACACACACACACATATATATATATATAGATAGATAAATTGATGAATAGATAAATACGTAAATGCATAGATAAATAAATAAATCAACACACACACACAGATATATATACATATACATATACACACATATATTGTGCATTTATTGCCCAGCCAGCCCAGGAGATATCCTGAGGGTTCGAGCGAGGAGCAGCTGGCGCAGTATGTCGCGCGCCTGGAGCGGATCCGCGGCGTGCGCCGCGCCGAGCCGCTGCACCGCCTGGACATGGCGGTGGTGCTGTGCCACGCGGGGGCGGATGAGGAGTTTTGGGGCCCTGCTGCTGTGGAAAGATGGGAAAAACCTGGGAAAAATAGGGAAAATATGGACAAGATATGGGAAAATATGAGAAAATCATGGGAAAAATGATGAAAAAGGTGGGAAGACATGGACAGCTATGGTAACTTGAGGGGAAAATCTGGTGAACACCCCAGGAATCGTGCTTGTGGGTTAGTTCAGGTTAGTTGCATAAGGGCAGGAGGATTAGTCCAGTGAACGAACTGGAGTGAACTAATTCACTTACTAACTGCAACCACCAGGTGTTGACTGGGAATATCCTAGACCTGGCTTTCGGGGATGCACAGCCCAGCTGAAGATTTGATTTCCCATGATCTTGGGTTGCTTCTCCGTGTTTGAGTGCCCAAAACCCTTGCGTTCTCGAATTTAAGTACCATGCTCATCATCCTAACGTTGCTGTTATCCATTATACCCCAACACCATTGGGAATTCAAGACGCACCAACTGTTTTACCCTCTGGTAAACTAACATAGCTATGGAAAATGGCCCATTTATAGATGGTTTACGGTTTACCTATTACAAATGGTGATTTTCCAGGTCGCTATGTCAGCCATTACCAGAGGGTAAATCCCAACCCCAGTAGTGCAGCTGTGGTTGGCGCCAGGATGCAATTTTGGAGGCCATCGATGCCGAAAAGCCCGTCGAGCTGGCGGTTCCGGATAGTCGCTGGGTGGCACCTGATGCCAAGCCACAATGGAAACGGAGCTTGCTGGGGAGATTTCCATATTTATATGATATTATATAGTATATTATAGTATAACATAATATAATATGATAAAACAAACATAACATAAGATAGAATAACACAATATAATATAGAATAAATTAGAATAAGATAATACAACATAGAAAAGTATTACAATATAATATAATGTAATTCAGTTTAATGTAATATTCTTTACTATAATACAATGCAATACAGTATAGAGTATCATATAACATAATATAATATAATATAATATATTATAATATAATATAATATTGACATATGTAACCCACATATATATATATATCATATAAACATATGGTGTAATAAATACACATATAAATAAATATATGAATAGATAAATACATAATTAATTAGATGAATAGATAAATAAACAAATAAATTGCGCTATATACGGTAAATATATATGGTACATACATATATATGTGATATTATATATACATATATGTGATATGATATATATATATATATAGGTGATATATATATATATAATATATATATACAGTATATACTTATATTATAGGCTATGACTTTGGATGGATTTGAGGCTGGCTTGGGTTGCGGTTGGCAGGTTGGGTGTACGCCTTCGGTGGCCGGAAAGATGCTCAGTGTGCATCGCACCCTGAGTGCAGGGCATTTAGCTTGCAAGGCCGGGCCTGGAGCTTGACAGGTGGTTGAGTGATTAACAATGTTTATAATATTTCATAATGTGGTTCCAACAATAGTAAACCATCCAAACCTCACCTAATGTGGTTAAACCAATGGTAAACCATCCCCAAAATCACCTAATGTGGTTCAAACAATAGTAAACCATCCCCAAGATCACCTAATGTGGTTCAAACAATAGTAAACCATCCCCAAAATCACCTAATGTGGTTCAAACAATAGTAAACCATCCCCAAAATCACCTAATGTGGTTAAAACAATAGTAAACCATCCCCAAAATCACCTAATGTGGTTCAAACAATGGTAAACCATCCCCAAAATCACTTAATGTGGTTAAAACAATGGTAAACCATTCCCAAGATCACCTAATGTGGTTAAAACAATGGTAAACCATCCCCAAAATCACCTAATGTGGTTCAAACAATAGTAAACCATCCCCAAAATCACCTAATGTGGTTCAAACAATAGTAAACCATCCCCAAAATCACCTAATGTGGTTAAACCAATGGTAAACCATCCCCAAAATCACCTAATGTGGTTCAAACAATAGTAAACCATCCCCAAGATCACCTAATGTGGTTCAAACAATAGTAAACCGTCCCCAAAATCACCTAATGTGGTTCAAACAATAGTAAACCATCCCCAAGATCACCAAATGTGGTTCAAACAATAGTAAACCATCCCCAAAATAATCTAATGTGGTTCAAACAATAGTAAACCATCCCCAAGATCACCTAATGTGGTTCAAACAATAGCAAACCATCCCCAAAATCACCTAATGTGGTTCAAACAATAGTAAACCATCCCCAAAATCACCTAATGTGGTTCAAACAATAGTAAACCATCCCCAAAATCACCTAATGTGGTTCAAACAATAGTAAACCATCCCCAAAATCACCTAATGTGGTTCAAACAATGGTAAACCATCCCCAAAATCACTTAATGTGGTTAAAACAATGGTAAACCATTCCCAAGATCACCTAATGTGGTTAAAACAATGGTAAACCATCCCCAAAATCACCTAATGTGGTTCAAACAATAGTAAACCATCCCCAAAATCACCTAATGTGGTTAAACCAATGGTAAACCATCCCCAAAATCACCTAATGTGGTTCAAACAATAGTAAACCATCCCCAAGATCACCTAATGTGGTTCAAACAATAGTAAACCATCCCCAAAATCACCTAATGTGGTTCAAACAATAGTAAACCATCCCCAAGATCACCTAATGTGGTTAAAACAATAGTAAACCATCCCCAAAATCACCTAATGTGGTTCAAACAATGGTAAACCATCCCCAAAATCACTTAATGTGGTTAAAACAATGGTAAACCATTCCCAAGATCACCTAATGTGGTTAAAACAATGGTAAACCATCCCCAAAATCACCTAATGTGGTTCAAACAATAGTAAACCATCCCCAAAATCACCTAATGTGGTTCAAACAATAGTAAACCATCCCCAAAATCACCTAATGTGGTTCAAACAATAGTAAACCATCCCCAAAATCACCTAATGTGGTTCAAACAATAGTAAACCATCCCCAAAATCACCTAATGTGGTTAAAACAATGGTAAAGCATCCCCAAAATAATCTAATGTGGTTAAAACAATGGTAAACCATCCCCAAAATCACCTAATGTGGTTCAAACAATGGTAAGCCATCCCCAAGTCATCACCATTTTTTTGGGTGGTATGAACCATTTAAACATGGGGTAGTTTATGACATTGTTTTACCCACATTACAAGATTCAATGGATTCGTTTACGGGAAAAATTGCAGGAAAACCCCATGTTGAACGGGAAAATCGGAAAGTTTCCGGTTAAGATTTTCCCGTAAACCAATCCATTGAAATATGGAATCAATGATCTATTTGATGGAATCCTATGGAATTATATCTATGGAATATTTGGTGAATAGCCTCATAGTCCAACGAAGCGGGGGAAAATTAAAAACCGCTGAAGGTCACAACCTCGCGGATTGACTATATTTGACTCCATTTTTCCAATACGTTCACCCGTTTTGGAAGATGTTTCCCAGATTGCCATGGAAGATCCAGCAGATTTTCCTCCCAAGCAGCACGAATTTCAGCGCAGGTGAATGCTGCCCGGCTCCCGATGGAGTGCTCATGGCGTGTTGCGCTCTGCCTGCGCCGAAGCGACCGGCGCGGCCGCAGCACAAAAGCACCATCTCGTTACAAAGCGTGGCCTGGCGAACACGTAAATGTGCATTCCAGTTAGGATGGCTGAGGGTTCCATCGGACTAAGATTTGTAGTGACAATGTAGTGACTATCCCTGTCATATGCTGGTTATAACCTGACTAAATTGGGATGCACAAGCAGGGAGGTGATGATTTCAGCCTGGTAAAAATAATGATTTTGTAGCGATTGTAGCTCATCATCCACTAAACCTTAGCGGCTTTAGACATGTTTATACAGGATGGCATTCTGGGGGTTGACCACATTGATCTTGAGCGGAGCCTCCACAGTACGTATATACGATGATGTACGCATTTATTTTTGTTGTTCAAAGGCGCTGGATATGTCCGACGATGATGATGATGATGATGATGGTGATGGTGATTATGCTTATGATTTGCCCAAACCATTTGTGATCATGATGTCCGGGATCAAATCATGCAGGGATTCCCGGCCGTCGGGAGGTTTGTGAGCGCAATTGACTTTGGAAATCCTGATAGGTCTTGCACATCCTGTTGGGTTTGGTTGCAGGCAACGATCGGGAACAATTCGGTTCCTCCCCTTCTTGATTTACATCTGATTTTGGTCACCGAATCCGTTCAGACCCTATTTTCATCGAGTATTTATATGTATTTATTACCCCCTACTTTTCTACCATATTTTCCGAAACCATATTAAGAATGAGACTTCCACCCTGTTTTCATCAACAAATTATAACGTAACCATGAATTATTATACAGTTAGAGCTGCAGCTCCTACTTATGATGTCCTTTTTCCACTGGTTGATTATGGTTGATTCATGAACATTGCGGGCTTCCATTCAACAACAATGGGTGGATGGTGAAGATGATAACAAATATAGTAATAAATATTAATAAATAATAAATTAAATAGTCTTTTCCAAACCGGCCCCCAAAAAATGATTTCCCTAAAAGGACACTGCACTGCTGCACCATGGGAATCGGATCAGGTGCATGGCGGCTTCATCACAGTCTCCAAGATCGGCGTGGTGGGCTGGCGTGGAAAGAAGACTGACCCGGACGCGCAGTTCCACCTGGAAGCGCACCCGGACGGCGGCTCCAACGGCAGGGGATGGATGGGGATGGATGGTTGGTGAATTTTCATGTGAGTTTCAATGTAGTTTTTAGCCGACAAATTAGCAACAACAACAACAACAACAACAACAACCACAACCACAACCACAGCCACAACCTCATTTTTGAGTATTTTTTTGATTCTTTTTTGGGGGTTTGGAAGAAGACACACTGTGAAGCTGCAACCGGTTGGGGCTGGAGTGTCGCCACATGCGGGGGTGTTTCACCCCAGGTTACGTCTCCTTGATGTCCAACCATGACACCTATCTGGTGACTTCGCCCTCGGGCCAGTTAGTCGCCTGGCACCGGGGGCACCGGGAAGCAGATGACTGGGAGAAGTTTAAGCTCATTTACAACTCAGATGCTGGGCGGCAAAGCACATGGATAGGGTTGGATATGGGGTTGGGATATGGGGTTGGATAGATGTATTGAAAAAAAAAACAAAGGGATGGTTGAAAAAACACATGGATACCCTCTGGTCATTTCTTATAGTGTGCCAATTGGAACACATATAATCTCACATAGTTTTATTTTACACATGTTCTTTTAAGAACAGTACATCATCGAGGTAAATTTGCAATTTTCCATAGCTATGTTACATTTCTAGAGGGTGTGGATGGTTATAGATGGGGTTGGATGGGGGATGGATATTCCGTCATCGGCCATAGTCATCCGGGGGTTCATGGGGACGATCATAATGGTGGGCCTCTGAAACTAAGGATGACACCATCTCTCTTCGTAGCAAGGTGTCGGACAAACATGTGAGCCTGGAAAATTCCAGTTCAGATACTTGGCTGCAGGTCTCAGGTGAATTTGAGCCATGCAATGTTCGAATTCCAGGCATTCACCGGCCTGGAGTTTCGAACGTGGCAATTTCCAGCACCACTTTCTGCAGAATTACTAGACCAGGTCCTGTGGATCCAGTGGAATTTACTCGTGGCTGCTAGTGGATTGTGATGCTCTGGTTATGTTATGTTAGGTTATGTTGTGGTACGGAAACACTCCGCCTCCGATTATTTTTCCACTCTAGGTAACAAGCACACGGTATATATATATATATGTATAACACATAGAAATACCATGAAATACTTGTGGACCAGCATCCTTTGCGCGTGCTTGCTTCCGACTCTTTGCCAACATGCTAACATGCTTTCGTCTTGCAGCGCGCCCGGATTCAAGATTTGGTGGGCCTAAGAAATCCACCCATTGTTTTTCTGGAACTGCGGAATCCGGATTCCAGGATTTCTTGACTGTAGCATCACACTGCCATAACCGATTTTCAAAAGATCCGATTTTGACGAGTTTAACCGAGTTTCCTGCCAGAAGCGTGTTTAGAATTGTCCCTTTAGCTTTTTTGGGGATCTCTTAATTTTCTTGGGGATCTCTTTGGGTTTTCTACCATGGCCATCACACTGCAAGGACATGTTGTCCGCGACCACTGAGAAGGTTGAGATCAGCGAGCGCTTTCTGGTGACGATGCGTCACGGAGAGGAAGCCGAAGTGCCCAACGACCAGAGTTGCCGGGCGCTTTATGATGGTTCTGTGATCCCATTCTTTTCCATCTCTGTTTGGAATAAGGAAGACTAATCTGATTTTACCTGGTTTACCCTAAAAATGAATGGTTATAATGGTTTACCCACGTTTGACCAGTTTCAAAACCATGGCGATGTAACTTATTCGAGTGAGTGTTATTTACCTACAAGAGGAAGGATTATTCGAATAGTGAGTTATTAAAACACAGTAACAAGTTACCTACAGGATATAACTTATGATATAACATGATATATAACCTACATTAACCTAGCTATTCGAGTTGTCACTGTGGTTCAAACAGCACACCTTGCGCGGTGGCCGTGCTGTTTGAAGGCTTATCAAAGCTCTGGGCTATGGACCACTTCGGGGATCGCGACATCGATGCCTTTGAAGCCTGGAAAATGTTTAATCCCAAGCCCCAAGCCGAAGGACTCCGAGGGATGGAATGGGATGGATCAAGGGTACCCCAAATGGGGTACCATCCACATCCATCCACCATTCATGGATGATTGACCCATGAAAAAGCCTCGATTTGATGAGGCGTTTTCCAGCCCACGTTTGATTGCCTGAAATTTGGTTGAGTATTGGCAGAGTGGGGATGAGGATGAAGGTGGGGTCACCAAAGAGGTGTACGCTGGGGTGCAAGATGTGACACTTGAGGGCCTCCATGTGATGAAAGAATGGGGCAGAGAAGTTACGACATTTTTGGATGGGTGCTATTCTTTTCTTTTGGAGGGCCTTCTCATCAAGACAATCACAGGGACTTGGCCAGCAAGAGATTTCCAGCTCTTGGTGTTGCTCTGGCGCAGGAGTCATTGTGGCAATTATCGACACGGGCATTGACTACACCCATCCGGACTTGCGCGATTCCATGTGGGTGAACCCTCACGAAATCCCTGGCAACGGCATCGACGATGATGGCAATGGCATTGTAGATGAACCATCAAGACTTGCTTAACGCAGAGTTTGTCTTTTTGGAGCAACCATATGTTTGCAAGTCCCAACGGTTGATATTCCCATCAGTATTGTATTTTTGCCCAGTAGGAGTGACATCCCCCTTGTTGGGTTTTCATCGACCATGAAGCACCGGTTGTTGCACCCAACACTGTTGGTTGATATTTCTAGTTTGGTGCTTTGGGACTCTCGATTTGTTCTTGGACATTCTTACACCCCCCCGAAATCTAACATTGAACCTCAAACAACGGCCATTTTCGAGACAATTTTTCCGGTGCAGAGTTGCATTGCAAGCGGGCTAATCCCCTCAAAGAATCGGGTGCATTTATCAGTCCTGGAACAAATGATGCCATGGACAAAAAAACCACGGAACAAAAACATGCTGCGCTCGCTGGGTTGGAAGGCAATTATTGTAAGGTCCGGGAATGTACATACCCCGCTTACTAGTGTATCTAGTGTTGAAGACCTGGGGAAACCAGTCAATCGTCCCGGAAAAACCCGTGAACCCTGTTCTACTCCCTGAGCCACAACTGCCCTTTGATTTTCAAATCTGGCGATCGGACGCCTCCTGTACATAGATGTATGCATAGATCATTTTCCCGCTTCAAATTGGGATTGTCAATGCCCTATTTGTTTAAAATCTGAAAGTACACTCTTTCTCGTTTTCGTGCTGCCTCAAAACATGTAACGTGTCGCTTAGCTGGCTGCAGAATGTGTTAAAGGGCTTTCAGAGACAAAAAGTACTGGTGTGCAGACTTGTTGCAACAGCACCGTGCTAGTTCAGATCCCCCGTGCTGGCTCAGAAAAACCAATTTTTGAGGTAGACGTGTGAGGGGGAACAGGAACATAGAATTCGAATTTGATTCCAACATGCTACCCCCCTTGCAAAGCTCATAAAGCATCATAAAACCACATCAAATCCAGAAAACAGTCATCTAAGATCTACAAAAACGATCTAGAAACCATCATAAACATTCATGAGAGCATCATAAACATTCATAAACCATCTAAGACTATCCATTCCAAAGCTTCCAGCAGCTTCCTGGCTCCAAGGACATCCACGGGGTCGATTTCACCAACAATGACGGAGACCCTATGGACGATCAGATGCACGGCTCTCACTGCGCGGGGACCGTGGCAGCCAAGGGCAACAACACCCTGGGGATCGCGGGCGTGGCCTGGAAAGGTGCTGAGAACTGGGGAGGATGGGAGCAGCGTAGATGACCAAAAAACTCGGGGAGTACCGCCCGAATTTTGACCATGGCTGATTTATTGGCTGACCTACCACCAAAAATGGGGAGTACCCCTGCGATTAAAAACCTTGGATGAATAAACCTTAGTTGAAACATATGACTTCCACTAATTGATTGATAAGGATTGATAAGGATGATAAGGGGAAGGGATGAATCTCTCATGAGAAAATCCTGGTGATGGGAAGCCGCCGAACTGGGGTGAGCTAGCCATGGTTATAGCCATGGTGAGCTCATTCCTCATTCATAACTGGCTTGTAACATCTTATGGCTACACCCACTAACCGAAGTATACGTATAGAACCACGCAACCTCTATCACTGAGATACATAATTATCCGTACCTCTTTACATTACAATCACACGCTAACCACTTGCGAAGTCGAAGATGTTGTACTTGGATGTGCATCCCAGTTCGCAAGTGGTTTATAACAGTTATATATTTTTTGAAAGGTCACACACACACATGCATATATATATATATACATGCTCAACTGCAGCTACTCTTTTGTTATTCAACATAGCTATGAAACATGATCTAATTATTTAAAGGCATTTTCGTTCACACTGCCCCGAAGGGCTGCAGGAAAGCGGGTGCTGCTTTCTCCGGGTACGGCCCGTGTTTATGTTGAATCCTTTTGGTCTTTTAGTAGATGACACAAATGCTGATTTCCGGTTCTTAAACATGGTGATTTTCCAGTTCGCCAACAATCGCCAACCGTTAAATTTCCCAAAGGGAATATTCCCATTGTCTCTCCAATTTATGGGATCAGCCATGAAAAAAATACAACACATTCCATTCTGACCATGTTCCCATTACCTTCCCACTTTCTATACCCACTCCTTTCCGGATATGAGTTACACCTCATTTTTCAACCATTCTTATTAAAATCGTTTTTCAATCTGCAGGAGATTTTACATTTTTTTTAAATAAAGGAACCATTTTTCTATCTCGGCCATTTTTTCCAGGTGCCAAGTTGATGGCCCTGAAATTCCTGGACGGCACTGGTGGGGGTCGCACCTCGGATGCGGTGAAATCCATGAACTACGCCGTGGCCATGGGAGCTCAGACGCCTGGGCTTCACCGTGGACGATTTTCACGGAAAAAGTGGGGGAGATTTTGAACTTTTCAATATATTCAATGGATTATATATGGTTATATGGATTATATGGCTTATATACTTTCAATATATTCAATGGCTTTATAACCATATAACCATATATCATTGTTTTTGTTTCTTAAATGGATTATATATGGTTATATGGCTTATAAAATGAAGCCTGACATTTTTTTAACGTGCTTAAGCAACAATGTAATCTTACATTTCATACGTGCCCTCAATAAAAACACGTTTACATTACATACGTTTACAATTTAACATGTAACTCACATTTTGGTATGGCTCACTCCTGTTAAAACGGAATAATCTCATAACTTATGACCTAATAACTACTGATTAATGGATCTTATACTTGATTATAGTTCAGTGTGTAATGTAATGGACTATCTTTTGGATTATATAATGGGGTAGAAAAGGGGTGTTGGTGGATTATAATGGATCATAGGCCATGAACAGTCGGATATTGTAAGTGAGGACTTGCAACAAAACAACAATATTTGGCAGGTAGTTCCATGATATTCCTTAGTTTCCTACTTGGATGTGCATCCCACTTAGTAGGTGGTTTATATATAATTTTAATTCCTATCTAAGACATATAACCCCATACATCAGTGGGGATAGTGTATTACTATATTTATATATCTATATATATGGATGGGGGTATAACCCCGCACCCCCCAGTAGAGAGATGTGCCTTGGTTCATCCCAAGGATTTTGAGCAATTCCTGGGGCGGTGGCGGCTCCAGCAGCGCCTTACGCGTGGCCATTGAACGCGCGGAGCACGCGGGCACGCTCTTCCTGGCCGCCGCGGGCAACGATGGACTGAACAACGACGAGCTGCCGTCCTACCCGGCCAACTATCCCATGGACCGGGTAATGCTACGGGGATGTTGGGGGAAGATGGTGTTTTTTTTGGGGGGAGGGAGGGGGGGAATGGGGGTGAGTTGATTTTGGCATGTTGGATTGAAGTTTAATGTCAGATTTTCCCGTAGATCACCAACATGTTGGATTGGATTTGTCCAACGATCGCCTCAAAATTGGATTGGATTCATGAACAGGTCATGAAATATGTGCAAATTCCTGCGCCTTCTTTAAGTCTTGTGATTGTGGGGATCTTCCACGCACCACCAAAATAACGTGACCACCCCATAGACTGTGTAAGGAAGTTTGGAGGGTCCGGGACCGGGAAGGAACAAAATCGCACACTAAATATATTGCAAATCAGCAAACATCTTCAGGAACCGTCAGTAAATATCAAGTACCATACCCAATTTTACCTTTTGGGAGGTTCACCTTTGAAATTGTAGTTGGGATGGTGCCTGGTGTGTAACCTCTTCCAGCTGGAAAGCCACTGCTAATCTAACCTGGCAATGGACTAAGGGGGAAAATCACCTGTGAATGGCAGTGAATGGACATTTTTATTGGGGAAATTCCCTTGGAGGTTTGATTGTCCTTTGCTAATAAAATGTGGTAAGCTGGCAAATTCAAGCCATCTTTGATGACACCAGAGGGTACATTCCAGCTATCAACTGTATCAACCGCATTAGATCCTCCATGGTTGTTGGTTCAATCCCCATTTTCCCAGAGCTTTTCCGATGGTGTTAATCCTCTATGGTCTTATGGATCTGGCCTTTATCCCTCTCCATCTGGTAGTCAGTATGTAAATGGATTTTCCCATGGCTTTTCCCATGGTTTTTCCCATGTGTTTTTTTTTTTCCCCAGTGTTTTTTCGGTTGAAATCCTCGGTGGATCCTATGGGATCCAGGAGAACATCATCTCGGTGGCCTCCACCACTCAGAACGGTGACCTCTCGCTCTTCTCCTGTGACTTGGCAGTGACGGGGGTCCAAAAGGGTCAAGGCCGGTCAACATCAGTCCCGGGTAGAAAGAAAACCACTCCCACATAGACCATTCTCCAGTTTTTGGGTCATCCCATAGATATAGATATAATAATATAATATGATATATATATATATATATCAGTTTTTTTTAAAATAAATGAATAAATAAATATATATATATATATCAGTTTTTTTTTAAATAAATCAATATATATATATATACAATATATATATAATATATAATAATATATATATATATCTCTCTCTCTGTATATATGTATATCTATACAATTATATATAAATAATACTTTTATATGCATATGTATAAGTACATGCTTTATCAGGCAATTTTTGCCGTTCAAATTGCTATCGATTGCCCGAAAAACGTTTGTTTTTGGACAAACCCACATTATTCTCCCCAACGAATTGAAATGTTCACCGGGTTTCCGGAAATTCAACAGCATCATTATATGTGTTTCCTTTTGTTCAGTCTTTTGTTTGCGTTTATCTCGTCCGTTTTTTTTGGTCCAAAATCACTCCGTTTGGTGGAACATGATCTAAAATCCCACCAGTACTAGTTAGTTACTAGTGATAGTCCCCCCAAACATCATCCAAAAGTCCAAAAGTCCCCTTTTTTTGATCCACTCAAAACTCATCGACTCATCGTGTCGTGGATGTTAGAACTGTTAGGCTATGGCAAGAAGTCCGTTGACCTGGCTGCTCCCGGTAGCGACATCTACAGCACCATCCCCAACGGCAAGTACGCCTCGCTCAGCGGGACCTCGATGGCCACGCCGCACGTGGCCGGGGTGGCTGCCATGGTGTGGATGATGCGGCCAGAGTTTTCCATGGTGCAGGTGAAGGAGACGGATGGGAACATCTAAAAACTTGCAAAACGATGGGAAAATATGGGAAAAACAATGGGAGAAAGATGGAAAATAGGAAAATAGATTGATTTGTAATGTGAACCTCGGATTTTGCTAACCCCCTTAAAATGGGGTACCATTTTGGTAGCAGATGATCACTACTTCGGAGGTAACCTCCTAATTAACAACCAGGGTTTATTCATCTGGAGCTGACTTTGACAATATGGGAAAACATGGGAAAACCGTGGAAAACTGCTGCTCTGGATGATGTTCCAGTTCCATTGCCAGGTGAAGATATCACTGGAAATTGGGATTTTAACTCTGACTTTAACCAAACAAGGGGTCCACCACCTGCAGAAACCAACCTGGACTTTGGGGGTTGGGTGTGGGATGGGTGTGGGGCGCTGGGCCAGGGACTACGGTTGGGGTTATTGCACCACCACAAGTTAGGGTATAACCCCTCCAACTATGGCGACAAAGGCCCACTTACGAAGTGAAAACCGCTGACCCAACAGTTGCAGAGATTTGAGGTAGATTCTACATGATCCTACCGTATTCTACCAATCTATAGATGCATAAAAACCCGTGAAAACCCTAAAGGTGAATCCTCACCACATTTGGGTTTATCCTTGGGTAATTTACATATATATATATATGTGTATTATATATATATATATTATATATGTGTGTGTGTGTATATATATATACATACATGTATATATGTATTTATACATACGCATAAACCACAGGGAACCTCCGAAAATCCACCCGAAGCTTCAGGAGATTCTGCTGAGATCCACCGTCCCGGAGAAGGCCCTGGAGAACGCCGTGGTCACTGGCGGCCGCCTCAACGCGCGCCGCGCGTTGGCGCTGGCGGCCATCTATCCAGCCCCTCGGCCGCCGATCCACGCGCCGAGCCACCTGACCTTTGTGGATACCAACCCAGCAGTGGGACGCATAGGAGCGGAACACATCTGGAAGTGCTTGGGTTGGGGAGGGTTAAGTGAAAATTAAGTGAAATTCCAAAGTTGGGGAAATTGGAGGTTCAAACTTGGGAGGGCAATCTACTGGTGTGGCAATGGACAATTCTATGGGAATCAGGAGGGTTTTTTGGGAGATGGCTGAAGATGGCAGGGTGTTTCCATTGAAGATCCGTGACAATTTCAATGGAGGGGGTACGCTGAAGCCGAGGTTTGGCGCTTGGGACATTTGTTGGTCTTGTTAGATCTCAAACACTGATTGTTCAAATCATGGAAACGGAGCCAAGCAACTCCGAGCTCAAAGACAGCAACCCGAAGTCTTAATGGAAGTACGCTCGGTTGGATCAAACCCTCCAAAATTTGGCTGGGCTTCAACAGTCCCGTAATGAAACACACATTTGGATGATCAGTCCCGTTCTTGAGTTGAAATTGCTACTCATATGCATAAAATCACATGGATCAAACTTTCTCATACCGCACTAGACTAGACATTTGTAAACTTGAACCAACTTCCAGCAAATCTAAGTCCAGGGCATTAGCTACCGCTACAGTTTTGCCGGCTCTTTCCACATGGTGTGGGATGGGTAGCCCTTGGTTTAGGGAGAGAACGAGACTCACAACATTTGGAATTATCTTTGTCATGTTAGGTTAAACCAGGTTGATGAGCCACCGTGATGCTAGCTCACAAAGGCTCATGTATATATTCTTGATGATGCCCCCATTGCTTAAGTACATCCATTCTTTCCTGACCATTCCCATAGTCAGATTGCATACAACAGCCAACGTGGATGAGCTGCCAGCAGCCCACTGATCCCCGACATTGGGCAGGAGGTGATGCAGTAATTACTACACCGGAGGACCAGAGCGATGTGGAACACTACAGTTTTTCGGGCGAAATTGGCGTCAGAGATTTGGAGGTACGGTCAAAATGCAGGATCAGAGTTTCCCCCTATACAGACCTTGATGAGGTTTCCCACGGTTGAACCCTTCCAACAGGGTAGGGCTTTCTTTTTGAGGACATCATTGATTCAACTTTGGTCATGCATCACTCCGAATCATCTACGACCAAACTTTCATGACCTTGGACATCTACGAACTCCGAGGTTTGCATTTTCTCTCCTCCGCGGGGGTTTTGATGGAAAGAATCGGGCGAGCCAATGTCTCGAACCAGCCGTCTATTCAGCTGACCCTGGCTAACCTCACAATCCCACGCTTTGCAAAGAAGAGTCTTGGCGACGGAAAGGTGCAGTCGATCGCATGGATTTTGAGAGGTTTTTTCCGAGGGCATTTTTTGGGAGGTTCGTTTGCTGTGAGATGAGACTTACTCCTTGTGAATCTTGATCTTGGGGTGCCCAAGGGCAACCACCGCAGGCCAGGCTGTTAAGTATATAATATTATATAATAATTAATCTAGATGGGGTAAATCCTCCGAGTGTTGGGATTGACCTGTTCCCTGTTTGATTCCATACTGTAGTTAAGATAGTTCAGTATATTATCCAGCTAAGAACTTTGATTTTCTATGTTCAACCACTGACGAGACCCTGCAAATGTGCGAAACTTACACCCCAGAGTCTCTTGCATACCTCACTGAAGCAAATCTGCCAACATTATGCGCGCTGTATATAATATCTAATATATAGTACGTAGGTATATGCATATATATATATTATTTGTATATGATGTGCATGCAAGACAATACGGTGTAACATCCATTCTGTTTCTTTGGCTTTGGACTTTGGACCATTCACAGCTACCTCAAATGACTACACCCCACACATGATAGTAAATATTGGGGGAACCATGAGAAGCTGCCTGCTGGTTTACTGCAGGTGAAAGTTCAGGAGGCCTGTGTTTGAAGGAAAAAAACAGGTGTTTCACGTTTTTACCATAACATGTCCCATGGAAAACAAACCAGTGAAACAGTGAAACTGGCACTATTATATAGGGCCCAATTTTATCACCATCAATAGTAATGGTTGTATTAAACTTAATGCCATAAAACTAGTATTGCCAATAAAAACCATCTGGCACTACTATTTATCACCATTTACTGTAAGCCAATTCTGAGAAGGCAGAAAAATGGGTCGTCGCTGTCCCCACGATTCCCCCACCTACAACGCTACTTGGTTAAGCTAGTTCTCTCAGTTGAGAGACAACAGCCCTGTTTCATGGGTTGATTGCTGGGAACTGGGCAACCCAGATATACAAAGAACGCTGAGTGACAAGAGGATGCAAGTGGTGTCACCACTTCCTATCTGTAAAAATCAATGATATCCTGCAGATTTTCGCATCCATTGAACCCAACCGAGATTGATTGGCTTTCCCAAGTACAACCCCATATAATCATATCATATATCATATATCATATATCATATATCATATATCATATATCATATCATATCATATCATCTCATCTCATCTCATATCATTAGTATCATAATATATATATATAATATATAATATATATAACATATATATATATATATTAATATATATATAATATGTATATATAATATTATATATATATAATCCCCCAAGAATCTCATCAGATTTCCTGATGCATCCCCTGTCATCCTTTCGAACTCGCGTCTTTCGATGTCCCCAGGATCGCTGCCGTGGCCGTGAACAGCAGCGGCCGCATGCCCGCGGAGACGGCGGCCGTCCCTTGAGAAAGCCATGGTCGCGTTATAGAAAAACCACTAAAAAAACCATAAAAACTGGAGGATTTCACCGTAGTAGTGGTACCCTCTGGTTATGACTAACAGTTCGCCATGGTATAGATGGCCCATAGAAATAGATGGTTTACCTATTAAAAATGGGTGGATTTTCCATGGCTATGTTAAATAACCAGAGGGTAAGTATAGTAACCATGAACTGAGAGGATCTCAAAATTTTTTTAAACCCATCGATTTCACCAATATGGTTGACGGGATAGATTGGGGAGATATAGCTTGGGGATATTAATTAACTCAAACCCAACAAAGCGATAATGATAAGAGTTTACAAGCAGAGATGATATTTTGCTTGTCAAGCATGACAGGAAGCTATTGTATCCTATCTTTTGTAGCATGGTCCCAAAGCCAATTCACATTGACGTGCCAGCCCGTGAATGAACATACCCGCAGTCTGGGCAAACTTGGAGAGCCCCACCCCCCAAAAAAAAACATCATGACAGATGCGCCAATATTCAATATGGTGTGTCCACCTGAATTTGATGCAACCAATGATCATTCACGGCGAACAAACTTTGCTACAAAGAGCTGGGCCGTCAAGCAGCACAATGGGATCATGCAACAAGCAGACAAACATCGTTGATTTGACCCATCCTTCATAGTAGCCCCAGCCCCAAGAAAAATGAAACATGCAGAAAAGTGATGGTATTACCCTCTGGTAATGGCTGACATAGCTATTGAAAATGGCCATAGAAAAAATGAGTTTTCCCATTAAAAATGGTGATTTTCCATAGTTATGTGACAGTTTACCAGAGGGTAATGGTATGGATGATATTTACCCCCATCTTTCCAGGCGTCTAACTATTCTATCTACGACTGGGGGCCCAGTAGATGCAGAGGATTCCCAAGTTCTCCATGTTGACCATGCGCCTTGCCGCCAGCTCCTGGCGCAACACTCTTGCGCACTGAAATAGAATCACATAGAAACATATGATTCAATATCAATATCAATATCAATGTGATTCACATATTAATGATCTGAAACTGATATGAAGGAATATCAATATCGTGTCAGATCATTAAGATCCCAAAAAGAAACTTTGAGCTACTGAAGCTACTGGGTACTGCTCAGATCAGTGGGTTTTTCCCTGGGATGTCCTGGCAAGGTCCTGGACATCGAAGATTATGGTGTGCCACAGGACCGCCATTGGAGGTACCATATATAAGGCCTATTGTTGAGGCCTATGTAAGGGAATATCCCCACAAATATGGTCTTATGTGGTACAGTCCATTTTAGGATCCTGAAATTCCCATTGAATAGATGAACCAGCTTTTGACCACTTTGCGTCTTGATTGATGAAACAGCCATTTTGGAGACAGATTCTTCTTCCCCTTGTTCTGGGCTGAGACGACATAGAAACCACAGAGCCACCAGGAGCAAGAAGGATCAAGACTTAAACATAGCTTTTGAACCAACCCCTCTATTTTTTTAGCTGCTGACATCAAACATTTGAGCTGACCACTCCACATTTCTTGGGTAAACTCAATTTCTTAGTAACCCTTAGTTGTCCCAAAATAACTTTCATGTTTTTTTCCCCAAGGGCACCATCAACCTCCACTTTTTGGTCAGTTTGTGTGCAAAGCTCCAGGACGGCCCTGGCGCCGTGGCCTTCAAGGGCGACGCGGACGTCCGGGGCGGCGTGGTGAGTGGCGAAGTGCGGCTGCGGCGCGCGGGCAACGAAGCGACGGTCACTGGGAACTGAGGAACAGGTGGAAACCAATGGTGCCCAGTGCCCTTTGGGTGAGGACTTAATGGGAACCAATAGGATTTAATGTCATTTCATTATGTTTTAATGGGATTGAATGAGGTTTAATGGTGATTGAATGAGATTTAATGGGATTTAGTGGGATTTAATGGATTGAATGAGATTGAATGGGAATTTACCCTCTGGTAACTTGACACAGCCATGGAAAATCCTCATTTTTGATATAGGTAAATCATCTGTAAATGGGCAAATTTCATCCATTTTCCCTAGCTATCTTTGATGATCAAAGGGGTAACCATGGAGGATTTCACTATGAACATGAGGGATTTGACATGATTTGACTATGGCAAGATGGAGATATCCATGATGTAGTGAGGTGAGTCACTACAACATCTATTGGCAGAAGGGCTGGCAGAAGAACTTGCTGGGATCCGTTCCGGCCATCGGTTTTTTGGCCACCCGATGCACTGGAGATTGTGCGGTGCTGAACACCACCCGTGAGGACCCGACGATGTGAAAAAAAGCTGGTTCAGAACAAGATGTAGCCCCTGGTAATTAAACGGTTTGTTATGGAAAATAGTTATTTTTATATAATGGCACTGTATAAATAAATATAAGTCATCAAAAATTATCAAAAATGGGTCATTTTCGATATGTTAAATATATACCGGACTGCCCAAAACTTTTTGTTGGTTGAGAGCCTGCAAGTATATACATATGATTATATATGTATATATATATAATACATGATTGTATTAAATTTGTGTCTATGCCTTTACCTATATCATATATCATTCATCTTATACCATATATCCCATATCCTATATCTTATATCAATATCGAAAACAATATTCTATATCTATATCCATACCTATATCTATATCTATATCTATATCTATGTCTAAGTCTATGTCTATGTATGTATCTATATCTATATCTCTACCTCTCTCTATCTCTATCGCTATCTCCAGCTCCCATCTATCTGTCTACCTATCTATCCATCTACCTATCTACCCACCTACCTATCTATCCACCTACCATCTACCCATCTATCTATCTATCCATTTGTCTTCCTATCTATCTCTATCTATCTATCTATCTATCCATCCGTCCATTTACCTATCTTCTCCATCTATCCATCATTATCCATCCATCTCTCCATCTACCCACATTTACGTCTCCGCAGGATGGGGTGCAAAGATACCACCGAGAAGCTTACGGCAACAACGAGCTGGCCGTGATCACCTTCAGTGGCCCTGCCAAGGTGGGGATTGGCTGGATTGGCTCACTGGCGATGAAGACATCACTGGCTGATGCATCAGTAATAAATCACAGAATATGTAGATGGGAATTAGATTGAAATATGTAGATTTATTAATGATTAATACATCTAATATCATCTAATTTTAATGGATTTTATGTATATATAAATATATATTATATATATATTTCAATCATCCTCAATATGACGAGAATTGTGCCACTTGCCCAGATTCACAATGGGGGGTGAGGCGAGGCTCAAGGTGTCGCGAGTGCCCTGATAGGGATCAGGATTGTGCAACAAATTCCACAACTCCTCCAATGGAACCATCAAAAACATCTAATTATCAAAGAAAGTTCAACCTGGAAGCACTAAAAAACACATGGAGAGAGGAAGATCATTTTCTAGACCCATTTTGTTGGTGATTCCATCTGCAAATTTCTCCGCAGGTGAAGATCACCAAGTTTCTGACTGAGAGTTGCGTGGAAGCATCCTGAAAACCAACATGGGACCTAGATGACCTAGGACATTTCCAGCTCATCAAATGTGGCTGTGGGTTAAAAATGGTCAAACATGGTCAAACATGTTCACAATGCGGCTTTCAGGTGGGAGAATCACAGCATAAACCCTCCCATTTTGGCTGATTACAGTACTAATTTCTGCTGGGCGCACTAGCCGATCTAGCTGGTTGCAGCTGCAACCACCTTTCTAGTCGGTCCAAATCGCAATGTTTCTTGTTGAACCAACAGTTTTTGCTGCTAAACGCCTAGAATTGTTTGCAAAACCAGAATTCCGGGTGGTTTTCCATCATCATTTTGCTATATTTTGCCGTGGCTTTGAGGCTACTATGACTACTTGGAGATTGCCGGAAACCGCGTCAGCGGCACGGATGTGGAGCTTCCGAAGGTCGTGGAGGTTCCTGCTGGGGAGCAGACCATCACCTGGCTCAGCGATCACAGCGAAGGAGAAGGCGTGGATAGACATGGAGGATTTACATGGATTTACTGGGATTTATCAACAAGCAAATAGAAGTCTGAGACTATGTGTATACTGTATATGTACATACATACATACATATATATATATATATTTGGCTGCTGAGTTCTTTCTCGTGCCAGCGTCTTGCAAACCACACACACACACATATATATGCATATTTTATTTTATTTATTTACGTATAATATAATACATATATTGTAGGTATGACGGCATGCATGCATGCATGCATCCATACATCCATACATTTGCCTTTGCATTTGCATTGCATTGCAATGCATTGCATTGCAGTACACACACACATATATATATATATATCCACCCCCCAGGTAAGCCGCTATCATATACAATGTGCACGCCTTCACCCCCCCTCATCCTCACGCACATATATATATATATGTATACATACACGTATACCTACCTACCTACCTACCTACTTACCTACCTACTTACCTACCTACTTACCTACCTACTTACCTACCTACCTACCTACCGTACATACGTACGTACGTACGTATATTTATATATAGACATATACAACTAACATATCACTAAATTGGGGAATTGAACTAGCTTGAATGGGGATATAAACCAATTAATATATCACTGATAGATGCCAGAATGGAGTGTTGGAGAAACACACATTGGGGATTTAACGGGTAAACATGTGGGATGATACAGGCAAATTGGCCGTTAGCATATTTGGGATGGTAATCCCCATTGGGGGTTGAAGCCACAGAACCAACTTTTTGGTGATGTTCACAGGGTCCTTTCCAGGGTAAACCATGACTTTTTCAAGGCACGAGAGAGAAGCCAAGACCAAGGGGGCCCCGGCAGGTGGTTGGACCTTTGAGCTTTGGCAGGAAGGTGAGCAGGCATCCTTCAGCCTCCCTGGAGTGCAAGCTGATGGCACCAGTAAGGCGTGTGCCTGGTGTGGTAATCCATCCCAGATGGAGGATGAATGTCATGAATGTTGCCTCGTTTGTACTTAGACTCGTGACGAAGTCGATCCTTTGGGAAGTCCTTCAAACTTTGGGCGCTGTTCCTTTGTTTCTTTGGTGGAATCCGCTCCATGAATCAACATGCACTCATCTTCCAGCTACACCAGAATAAAAGTACTTGACCTCGTCTCATCCATCCTCCCATGAACATCATGAAAAAACCTAAATCTCTTTTGCCATCACAGGGTTGCCCCCTAGCCATGGCAGTTTCAAAACCAAGGCAGGGTTGATGATCTTTCGGCTGCCTTCTGCACAGGTGGAGGTAGTGGCAGCCTATGGCAAGACCGAACTCTGGCAGGCAGCGCAGTCCTGCCAGGTGAGCGATTTTGACCTGAAGACTATGCCGCCCTCGGAGGCCTTTCTTCCAAGTTCAGTGCCCTGGCCCTGGCGTTCGTGGCGAGGACGGGGAATGGGGTTTACACCCATGATGTTACAGATTATGTATATACAATTACACAGAGAGAGAGAGAGAGATATATATAGACACACACACATATATATATATATACATATATATATACACATATATATATACATATATATATATACATACATATATATATATATACTGGGATGAACATCCAAGCAAAATTTAGGGGATGAGCATGTTCAAGCTATACTGATTAGCAGGGTTTTGATCCTACCCAGACGCCCGTGCCGAAGATTTCTGGTGTGGTTTTGGTATGTCTTGGAGATGTCGGCTGTTGGTTTTCCCATGACTCCTAAAAGCGGTGCCACCGCAGTACCATGATGCCCAGCTCACGCACAAATTCAGGTGGATTTTCCAGATGAACACGTGGATCAAGGAATGGTGAGTGGCACCATGACACTGCACCTCCCGAAGGTTGAGAATGTGAAGAGTAGCTTGGCGTCCATGGCTTGGCCGCTTGGCCATGGGGATTTCCCAATGTTTGATGTTCCACCGGAGGGTAAACAACCCTACTCGTTGGTTATATATATATCTCCCCATGACATCCCTATTATCTTCCTTATATCCTTATTATATCCTTATTATATCCTTATTATATCCTTATTATATCCCTATTATCCCTATTATATACTCCTGTTTGCCAAGTCTCTGAGGTGTGGTAACTTCGTATGTGGTCTACTTTGCCGACCTCCATGGCAATCGTCTGGGGAAGGAGTGGCATCTGCCCATCGAAGGTCGGAACATGTTGAAGCGGGGGCCACACACACACACACAAATATGATATATAATATTATCTATACACATTAATAATTGGCATACATATACATATATGTGCACATTCCGATATATATATATATATACACAATATACATACATACATATATATATATAATTATGTATATTATACGTGTGATTTTATCTAATGTATGTATGTATTAACATGTATGCAGATATTTAAGTGGTGCAAACGATTGACACCATGGTCAATGAGATTTGTGTCGCCGACTCTTTTGAGAATCCCAGACAGGGATTGTTTCCCATGGTGACGATTCCTTTTCGGGGTGTGGGCTCCACACTGCGATGAATCATTGGTCAGTTTTATGGTTGTCATGTATCTACATGTAAATACATATGCTGCATTCTTGTCCATGATGTCAGTTTCTATCCCATGTTGCAGGCAACCTGCGATTTTTGGTGGTTCACTGCTGGCTTCAGCATTCCATTTTTAGAGTGTCAGCACATTTTTAGAGTCTCTGCACCTTGAAAACAAGCATATCTAGATGATGTCCCTTTTGGGACTCCTGATTTTCAAGCCCGATATTGCTATACCATACTTGCATGTGCATGTGCATTCCATTGAGAAACTGACCCAGCATATCCCATGACTGGGTCGGAGCTGCACTGGGCTCAGGTGGCAGGCCTACTTTGGAGCTCCGGCTGGATGCGGTGGCCCTTCCAATGGGCGCGCAGTGGATCATGGTCAGCGGGGAGAACTCTGCGGGCCGAGGGCCGCCCCTGAGGAGTAAGCTGGTGGATATCGTTCGCAGCCGACCGGTCCATGCGAACTTTTCAGGCATGAAAAAAGACAGAAAAAAATGAACACATATGAACAATTTGCGAACACAACTAAGATCAAATGACCACTTTTGAGGTGGCACAAAGCCAATGGGGAAGTAGCCCACCTTGATCTCAATGGGGATGTCCAGCATCTGAACATCAAACTCCTTGGTCAAGACCTGTCGATTGATGTCTTTCTTGTGGCTTCCTTGGAGTGATACCTTTGAGACAAATTGCTGGGGAGCCGATGGTGGTTTGCAGTTGAAGTCTATGGGATCCATGCCCAACCCAAGAGCAGCTGATGCATCCGATACACGGTTTGTGGAATTGGGTACCCTGCAGTGAACCAACATAGATATGGACAATCCACTATGTATATACCCTCTGGTAAATTAACATAGACCCTGCCAGATAGGGGTTGGAAGATTAGTTTCCATTAAACATTGGTTATTTTCAGGGTCTATGTTTATTTACCAGAGGGTAGATCATTTCCCAGGCAAACCAATGGATTTCCATTGCTATATTAGTTGACCGGTTCCGGTCGGACTTGAGATTCGCAGGTGACGAAGACCCCGTGGAGCTGCAAATTGAAGGCCGGGTGATGATCACTCCAGCGCAGAACCCCACCAACGTGATCGCTTACAGCATTTACTTGGCCAAGGACGCACAGAAGCGAACCTTGTTGGGCCGAGTGGCGGCCAGTGGTAGTAAAGCTGTAACCTTCAAGCTGCATGCAGCCTACAAGGCAGGGCAGCACTTGTTGGTGGTGAGCTCCTATTCTGACCTGGACATGGAGGAAGGTGTCTGAATGAATTGGCTTGCGACCCTCTTTCATCCTTTCTCATTTTTACTTGTTCTTTGATTGTTCATAGCTAAAAAATACCGCACCCACACATATCCACACAATTCCACACACATCCCACTGGAAGCACTAGAATATCTTCTCCTTTCCCAGGCCGCTAAAGAACCAAGGTGTGGTGATCCCGGTAGAAGATTTCGTGGAGGCTTACAACGACGGCTACAGTTGGTACGACTGGGGCGGCTACGGCAGCCACGCCGCAGCTGGAGCCGGTCGGCCCAGCCGCCCCCAGAACCGCTCACGGCCCTCGGCGCCACGGGCAAGCCCCGGGAGCCCCGGTGGGAGCCAGCAGGGTCCGAGACGACTGCGGGAGTTTTGGCTGGAACCCAAACGAAGCATCAACGACTTCCAACTGCTTTGGAGCGATGAAGCGTTAGGATCCCTGCCGGTGCTCACTTCAGGATCGACTGGCGATTGTGGCCTATTTTTTGGGGGGGGCGAGTGTGACAAGATATGGGCCCGGGCTTTCCACTGTTTTTATGTTAGAGCAAGTTTCTTGCTATTTATAATCAACAATGGTTCTACCGGTTAATTGAGACATTCGCATGTCACACGTTTATTTCTTTTTGTGGGTAAATTCTGCATGAGAGACCAGTACTAAGTAGCAGAATACATCACAATGCCATCCGCAAGTGGTGGCAAAACTCAAGAGAGACAGACAGAGAGACATTCTTTGCAACAAACTGGACAAATGCACAATGGTCCAATGCCAGACAACAGCAACATCAACGAATTACAATGTGTATATATATATATATATCAAGCTGGTGTCCTGATCAGTAAGCTCGATGGTTCATTACTCAGAAAATATAATACTGTCAAAACATGTCATCTACACGTGCCTTGGTAACTGGGGAGAGCAATGCGCAAGCCCAGGTGGATGACATTTTACGGCACCCTCCTTGCGATTGTGGCCCTAAAAATTGGAAAATGATCCCCGTGGCAATTTCCACTCTAGAACTGGTGAACCTGTGCATAGTTTAAACGATTTTTTTAATGTATTGGAATTTTAAAATTGATGTCAGGCTAGTCATTTTATTGTTGGGGGGTTGGTCTGAGCATTTTATTGGCAAGGTAAATCCTGATGATTTTTAACATGTTAAAATTCCATTCTCGTTTTATTGCAAAAAAAAGTCTGTTTGGAGCATTTTATTGCAGAATGGAACCAATGCTTTTCCAGGATCTTTTTATATCGATTTTATTGGGCATGTCATTTTAGATCAGCGAATTTTAAGGATTTTGAAGGAATTCTAAGGAATTTTAAGGAATATTAAGGAATTTTAAAGGAATTATAAGGAACACTGTGCACTAAGGAAATTTAAAGGAATTATATATAAGTAAATTTAAGGAATTTAGAGAGCTTTAAGGAATTTTAAGGAATCTTAGAGGAATTTAAAGGAATTTGACGGAATTTGAAGGAATTTGGAGGATTTTTAAGGATCTTTAATGTTTTTAAATTTTAAAGGATATTTTAGGATTTTTTTGGAATTTAAAGGAGTTTAAAGGAGTTTTAAGGAATTTTAAGGAATTGCCACAAGAATGCCACCGTATTTTGTTGCTATAAAATGCTATAAAAAAAAGAAAACCACTTAATATTTGGGCACCTTCACTCTAAAATACCCCTATCTAAAAAGAATTTCCTGCCCCCTTTTTTAAGAGGCGTTTCTGAGGGTCTTCGAAATTGGATGAAGTTGGATGCAAATTCGGCATGAATTTGCTGGCAAGGCATTTTATTGCAGAACCAGTTTTCATTGTTTTTGTGCATTTTAAAGCCTGAGGCCCTATGCACAAAAGTTAGACTGCTCTAAAACTCCTGCACAGCTTCACATAATGAAATGGAACCCCGATGGAAAATGATGTTCTAAAGCCATACTTACGCACAGTCCTTTAGGAACAATCCTTTAGGAAAGCCTTTTCATTTCTCAACTAAGACTGAGTGCCCAGCACTGGCGTTTCAGGGCGGCTTCCAAGAGAAACTGGTCGCCCTGCAATCTTTTGCATGCTCATAATCCATGGCTTTCTCCGAAAAACTGCCGGTACCTCGAAGCGGTTGGATCGCTTGATGATTGGGGGATGCAATGGGTCAGTGGTGAAAACCAGGGTATTTTAGGTCCCCAAAAGTAGCCTTTCATCAGCATCTGTGAAGTCGAAGTTCAAGGAAGTTCGCATTTTGGGGTATGATTAGACCTGCGCCCAAAAGTACACCATCACTATCCAACATCAATTATGCAGAGTTTTGAAGCGCAGAAAACCAACTTGTGTGTTTGGTCATGGACCCACCTTGCAGCCCCCAATTAGAACAGACGTCGAGCTTAACATTTTGACTCCCCAAAATCGAAGACGATCCTCAAAAACTATTTGAACTCTGACATATGATCACACATTCTTCTATCATTATCCTTTTTCTTGATTTTCTTGGTGCCCTGCAACTTGTGAGCCGTCCGTTGAATGTCCTTTTCCTGTTGCTCAGGAGATGCTTCGGGGCCCCTTTTCCGGCCTCAGTTTGTGCCGCCAAGTGTGGAGCAACGACAAGGTATAGCAGAGACTCTTGCAGATGCACTGCCGGGTGTTGAACATGGACAGGCGCTTTGTTTGGAGAGATGGGACGATTTGAGATTTGGGGCGGTGGCGCCAAGTGAATGTTTTATCATGTTTCATCTCTAATCCATTTTGCGGTCTCAAAAGTCATTTGCCATATTCCTATAGATATTCCTAGGGCAGAAAAGGGCAACAGTTTTTTTTTGGGACCCAGGAGGGCAGGTGTTTTTCGATGTTTTCCGGTGCCAGGTGAAACTGTCCTTGGGCAGGGCATCAAGGTCGGTGACACCTGCCGACTCTGCAGATCTGGTGATCGATTTCGAAATTCTGCCCCCGCGAAAAGCGACCGCAGAATCAATCCAACTTTTTTTTGACCGTCGCTTGGAGATAGCTGAGATAGCTGCAGAAAGGTTGGGGGCGAAGGTTTTCTCTTCCGTTTTTTTTTGTTTGGGTACTTATGATATCTAACTGGATCTTCGTTGGTGAAGGGTGTGAAGGGGTTGGGCGAGTGTAGGCACCACATGGCTTCAAAGATCAAGGGCTGGCAAGCAACCGCGACTAAGCTAGCATGGCAAAGGACATTGGCCATGAACTTATATAGATATAGTGTGTATATAATGTACATATAAATAAATCAATTACATATGAATATGAAGTTATAGATCATAGATCTTGCTAATGGGTATGTAATGAAACAAAGATGGGGGTTACCATTGTTAGGTTTGACCGCCAGAGAGTCTAGTGACTTAGTAGTAGTGCCAGTTCTGTGTCCGACTTGAGAAGCCTTCCCCACCAGCTCCGAAGTAGTACATCATGATTGATTTCATGACTTTGCAGCATACGAAAGCCGTATCTTTTTTTTGGGGGGGTGGTTCCCTTTGGAACAGCATCAAGCCGGGAGTCCAGGCTTCCGGTATGTTCCGGTTCCAGTTCCAAGGTGTCGAGGCCAAGCTGATTCTACTCAGCCAGGGTGGTGTTGCTGCATCACGTTTGGCCTCGTCGCTGGTGTCCCGTCGCATCAGCATGGGGGAACCGCAACAAGTCGCGCCGCCCAGCGGGCCCAGCGGGCATGGGCACGCCCGGCTGCTGTCAGAGCAACCAGAAAATGTGGCAACACCAAGCTCCGATGCACAGAAGGTACAGCTCCCTGGCTAAGAGGGATGGTAAATGATGGTAAGGCAAGGGGTGTTCTAGGAGTGGGACAACTCAGTTCGGGTACTCGATTTGATCCTTGAGGATCAGTCAACATGAGATGGTCATCCAGTAGGAACGTGAAAAAATCAATAGCTGAGATTCAGGCTGCTCGCGTGTGAGTAGAAGATCATGGACACGGGTAACTACATGTAACTACAAACATATCCAAATGCCAAATAACATCTAATCATGTGATCAATTCATTAAACAAAAAGAAACCACTCCCAATCTTTCCGATGGATTGCAAAAATCATGCCCAAATGGATCCAAATGGTAGGTTTATTGTTGGGTTTGTCATATGCCAATGAGATCATATGAGATCCATTATGTATTTGGGGTAGTAGAATTGCAACGACCTCACAACGACCTCGCCATGAGAGGAAGGGGCACCTAATCGATGCCAATCGCTGCTACCAGCTGATGTTGATAGAAGCTAATCGATGCTAAATCATGCTACTGGATGCTACTCGATGCTCATTATGCTACTGTAATTGATGCTAGTTGATCCTAATTGATGCGTGTCGATGGCAATTGAAGCTAACCGCTGCTAAATTATGTTAATTGGTGCCGGTCAGTGCTAATCAATGCCAAGTGATTCTCATCGATGTTAATTGATGCTATGCCTACTGCAAGTTACCTGCACGCTTGTGAACTATCAAGATTCTCAATGTTTTTCCAGCTATTCACCCCGCTTCGCGTGGAGTGGCCGCCCACACCGCAGGTTTATTTCGGTCCGTGAGAGGGGCTAAGGGTGGTTTTCCCCCGTGGGGGCTCCCCAAGCTAAGAATTTTCATTTTCCCCCCGCGTGGGGGCTCCCCAAGCTAGGGAATTTTTACTTTTCCCCCCCGTGGGGGCTCCCCAAGCTAGGGAATTTTCACTTTTCCCCCCCGTGGGGGCCTCCCCAAGCTAGGGAATTTTCACTTTTCCCCCCCCCGTGGGGGCTCCCCAAGCTAGGGAATTTTCACTTTTCCCCCCCGTGGGGGCTTCCCAAGCTAGGGAATTTTCACTTTTCCCCGCCGTGACAGCTTCCCAAGCTATGGAATTTTCACTTTTCCCTCCCTTGGAGGCTCTCCAAGCTGCGGAATTTCAAATAGCTAGACAACGACGCCTAGATAGTCCCCCGTGTTCTTTGAATGTGTTTCCATGTTTTTGCAATGGTTTCCTTCAAAGCACGGTACTTTACACTTTTGTCGCCATAAAACCGGTCGAAAACATCATGTTCGACAATGCTTCCAATTCCCTTATCTCCCCAACCGTTGAAAATACCGCTATTTACAGTGTTTTCTTCAATTTTTCCATGTTCCAATGCCGGTAGCCAACTCCAACATATATATATATATATAAGAAATCCTTCCAAAACATTGTTTTTGACAGTGTTTTTCCAATGTTTCCAGTCAAACAGACGGTAATTTACACGTTTTTTGCCATAAAGGCAGTAAATCCTTCCAAAACATTGCTTTTGACAGTGTTTTTGTAATGTTTCCAGTCAAGCATACGGTAATTTACACGTTTTTTGCTATAACGTCAGTCCAAAACACTTGTTTTTGCAGTGTTTTCAATGCTCTGGCATCCAAAAACCCTGCAAAATCTTGCTATGTACAATGTTTTTTTCATTTTTGGCCGTTTTTCCATTGCCGGAAAGCTACCAAAATGACCCAAAATTCCATTTCAATACCCTCTTGCGCTCAGACACCCAAAAATCCTCGAAAAATGTCGAAAACACCACCGTATTCTGGTCTCGGTGCGAAACCGTTTTTGGCCCCCCCCCCAGCTAAAGCTGATATAGCGACTGCTATATTAACAAATGTCATTGAGCATTTAGTGTTGCTGTTGCCCCCCAATAAGCACGCCTTCACCGCCAAAGCGGTGTGGGCGGATTTCCAGCATTTTCCAGCTATTTCCAACTATTCACTTCATGTTCTCCATAAAACTATGTCGGCTGCACCAAGGCTACCTGTGCTTGCTGGTGTGTTTGGCCTGGTTGCCTTGATGGCAGCGGGCAGCGAATCGGGATTCAGATAACTTGCACTTTTTAGTGATGGATATGGCACAATTCAGAAAATTTCGGCCCCACCCCGGAAGCTTCAGGTTTTGAACCCAAGATTCAGGTTTTGGAAGATGATGATGTTTATTTGTGTGCTACACTTGGGCAGGATGCCATATTAGGTATAATGCATACATACATACATACATACATACATACATACATACATACATACATACATACATACATACATACATACATACATACATACATACATACATACATACATACATACATTAATTACATACATACATACATACATACATACATTAATTACATACATACATACATACATACATAGATACATACATACATACATACATACATACATACAGGCAGGCAGGCAGGCAGACAGCCAGACAGACAGACTTACTTACTTACTTACATTACATTGCATTACATTACATTACATTACATTACATTAATACATACATACATGCATGCATGCATGCATGCATGCATACATACATAGACAGACAGACAAACAGACAGACAGACAGAAAGACAGACAGACAGACAGACAGACAGACATACATATATATATATATATATATACGTAAATGTATATGTATGTATCATATTTGGTGCGGTTCATGTGAAACTTCTGGGCGGCTTTCAGCCTCGCATCCCAGAGGGCAGATCTCACCAGAAGATCTCAACTGGGCACAGCAGACGCCTGTGGGGGCTGGGGCGACAATTCACGGCACGAAGGGGCTGCATCCTGAGACTTGGGAAACCTCTCCGAAGGTGATCCTTCTCTTTTTCTTTGAAGCATCATTATGAAATAATAGAATGTGATGGGTTATTTTTTGGAGATTACCACATTGCATCCATAAAAAATAGGGAGACATTCATAAATCTAGAACCCATGGCGTGACTGGGAGGTGCCTGCCCAATTTCGGGATAGGGCCCCAACTGGGTCTGGATCAAAATTTGCAAAAAAAGGGGTGGCCATCCAAGTTTAGGATTCCATTTGCTTGAAGGGTTTTGAGATGTTTCCACTATTCTTTTGGAAACGATGTCGATGTTTGTTTCTCAAAGGAAATTGAGATGTTTTCTTTCGATCTTTTTGATCCATAGCCAACTCTTCGTGTGCCGAAACCGGCACACCGCAAAACGATGCAAAACGCCTCGCGCGAAGCTCGCCTTTGGTTTAATTGTCGTCGCCTTTATCCGGCGGCCGCCGAACTGCGCAGACAAGAAAAGAGTAATGTTAGACCCAGGATTACCATAATAATGTTATCTATAAACTCCCAGTTTTTATAGATAGAGGGGGGCCTAAAATTTTAGTACCTCAATACATCTCAATACTTCATGATTTATGAAATTTTATGAGTATCTTTTTTAGGCTCCACGAAAGCTGGTTGCTTAATCCGGGGTTGACATCACCACTGCACAGAAAATTTCGGTGCAGTGGAGAGAGTGGGCACTTCATTTGGCAAAAAGAAAGGGTGCAGCAGCGGAGCTGGGTGATGGGTGTGGGATGGTTGGCCCAAAGTTGTACTCGTGCAGACCGTTAAGGGCCTCCCTAAAAGAGACCCACCTGCAGTGAGCCCTGCAGACGACACTGGGGATGCGTGGCCCATCATGGCCCTGCTTGATTTTTCTTGGGAGAGTTTTCGGCTCCATGAAGCAGATGCCCCTTATGTCAGGCATAGCACGCGATTTTTACCCATCATTCCCACCTGCAGTTTTTTTGCAAGTTGGCCTTTTCAACCCAGCAACTTGCCACCACTTTCATTCTTTCATCTCAAGGATTTTGCTGAATTTTGCGTAGATCGAAGTTTCAGCCACGGCAGGTCACGCAAAACATTGATACAACATGATACAACCCATACATAACAGGCTTCAAACCCCAAGAGATGAACGAACCAAAATGGAGTTGAACAAAGCTGCCCTTGCTTCGCAACGCCGCGGCTCTCCTGCAGTTTCGGGAACTTGTTGCCATCCCGATTTGGTTCAAGTGGGAAACTTGATGCCCCCTGATTTGAAGGGAAAAACCATGAAGTTTGTCCATGTTTGTCCGGCATGGTCCTGATGTTTTTTCTGGCCTGCCTCTGTTTGAGATTGGGAATGTGCCAGAGAAGCTGGTTGAGTATATGCTTACATTTTTTCCCAAGACTTATTTCAATTTCGAAATAAATAAATCGACCCAGCGACCTACGGATTATTGTAATTTACCCAGATATATGTGCATATGTGCATTCAAGTGTATTCACATCCAATTGTTTGCATGTTTGTCATGCCATGCTGCAATGCTCCATCCTTGGACCTGAGGTGATTCAAGGCTCTACAGTGGTGGCCTTTTTCTTCAGCGGCCGCTGATGGACAGCAAAGGACAGAGAGTGGTGGATACACATAGCAAAGGACAGCTCCAATGGATATCCAAGTGAGATCATGGTGGATCATGGTGGATGATAGTTGATTATGATGTGCCACTGTGGGATTGGTGTTTTTTGGATTTATATATAGAACTTGGCGCTGTTAGGTAAGGGGAAGATGGGCGAGGTGCCTTCTAACTTATAAATATAGATTTACATATAAATACATTTTGAATTTCAGTGTCCTTGATTTGGGTCTGTAACGAAATGGTTGTCCGCGTGAACAACACCAAGGAATGGTGTCATCGACCCGAATTGTTGGGATAGCGAGGAAAAAAATCTTGAGTTGCTTTTTCAGCTGGCAGCGATGCACTCAGATTGCAAGTCATGTTGCGCTCAATGAGATTGTGCAGTCGCAAATCATGTTTGTCACACCGCAGTTGGCTCAAACATATAATGTCATATACCATGTTATCTCAGCGCGTGCGTGTTCGTTAGCGACCCTTCCTCATTTCCGCGTCCCAAAGTGGAAACCATGTTTCTGGGGATCCTTGTGCTCAACATGCTTGGAGCACCCACAGCTGAGAAATGTGAGTTGCAGTTTATCCAAAACCAACAGAATTGCTTCTTGAAAAATCCAGCCTTTGATTTGCCACAGAAAACGCTGTATGCCTTGAGTCCTATGAGCGTTGTGGCTCACCAGAAGGGGGTGAAGGAGGTGAACGTTACGCCCCCAGATTCCGCCCACGCCGACTTCCAGCTCGATCCCAAGAAGTTTCGGATCAAAGAGGATGAAATCCCTCTGAGGTGCGAAAGAAATGCGGAAGAGTTCCCAAACGCATGCAGTGGATATTTTGAAGTGCAGAACTTGGAAAGCGGGTGGAAGCAGAATCTTATGAAGATGGTGCTGTATGTTTACAGCACATACGCCCCAGAAGATGGCAAAATCCATGAAATGGGACAGGCCGAGTTCAGATATATGAAATGGGAGCCCAACGATGATGATCTTGACGAGGGCGGGTTTTACTTTTGCACCGCAAAGATCAAGTTCAACTCAGGGGAATGCTTTGGCATGAGTACCACTCGTGAGCCCAGGGCTCCTCAAGATCCTCCTGCTATAAGAGATGATGACTTTCAGCCAGTCAAGGTGGTGCACCCACCAACCACAACTTCGTCCACAACCACAACCACAACCACAACCACATCCACAACCACAACCACAACCACAACCACATCCACAACCACAACCACAACCACAACCACAACTTCGTCCACAACCCCGGAACCAATTCCACCAACACCTGCGCCAACACCAGCGCCAACAGCTGCACCCACACCAGCTCCCAACGAAGGAGCTCCCAATGAAGGAGGAATGGGTGCTGGGACTGTGATCTTGATCTTGCTCATCTTGGCCCTAATAGGTGGTGTTGCGGGTTTCTTCCTCAGGCGTCAGAGGCTTCTGCAAGAAGAAGAAGCTCTGCGCGATGCAAGGTGGAGTTGAATTGAGGGATGCGGCTGTTCGCAGGTATGATGGACCGGTGTCACCCTTGCCATGCACTACAGCTTCCATGTCGGAACCGAGAAATACCGTAGATTTTGACATGTTTGACCCATGGCCATGTGGGACAGTAAGGGGACGAAAAACGCTTACAACACGCAGAGGTCATCAGCTTAGTGCTTTGGTGACCTTTAGAAACCAAATCGGTGACATGGAAAACGCAGTTCGGTGGGTGACCACTTGCGGCATTCAAACCTCGTGCTCTAGATGGAGATTGTCCCAAAAACCTTGCTGGTGCTAAGTAGGGAATGACCACCAGAGGGTGAGCACTAGTAATCCTTCCCTTCCCGCCCTTCCCCCATTCCATGCGATCAGCACCCGTAAGAAAAAGGACCATGGACTGCCATGGACAAAAGATTTTGAACTCAAATCAGATCTTTTGAGGCGCTCAAACAGTTTATGTCAGTTTACATAGCCTCCATTCTCGGCATGGTTTCAACATGATGAAGTTTGAAGACCATGAAACGCTGCACTCGGGTGCCGCCGACACTTGAAGGCTTCGAGACTGCCATCCTGCATGGTTTCAGCTTTCCATCTAGAGATACCGTCAAGATAGCAAGCGCGAAAATCACCCTATGAGCTGCCAGAGAAAGACATTCCATACTAATGGCAATTTCAATGCAATTTGGATAGTTGTGGCGGGTGAACTCCCTTTTTGGACAAAGCCAGCCACTTGCCATCACTTTCATTCTTTCATCTCAAGGATTTTGCTGAATTTTGCGTAGATCGAAGTTTCAGCCACGGCAGGTCACGCAAAACATTGTAAAACATTGATACAACATGATACAACCCATATCTACATAACAGGCTTCAAACCCCAAGAGATGAACGAACCAAAATGGAGTTGAACAAAGCTGCCCTTGCTTCGCAACGCCGCGGCTCTCCTGCAGTTTCGGGAACTTGTTGCCATCCCGATTTGGTTCAAGTGGGAAACTTTATGCCCCCTGATTTGAAGGGAAAAGCCATGAAGTTTGATGAAGTTTGTCCATGTTTGTCCGTCATGGTCCTGACGTTTTTTTCTGGCCTGCCTCTGTTTGAGATTGGGAATGTGCCAGAGAAGCTGGCAGTATATGCTTACATTTTTTCCCAAGAGTCTAACCCATGAATGCGCATTCTTTTCCAACATTCGGTCTCAATACCTTTATCGTTCTTTTAAGCTGGGGGAGATGCAAAA